CTATCAATAAAAAGTGATTTAATTTGCTTTTGTACAAAAGTCGATTGCTTGGGTATCTCTGTCCCATTCGTGTTTCAACGGTGAAGCAGTTGTGTTTGCATGGTTGTGTTTCGGTTTGAAGGGTGGGATATAGGCATATTGCTAGCAATGGGGCTATCAAACTCCATTGCTAACAATCCCTTTTTTCTGTCGATCTTTGCGAGGGATTAGAGTCTATGTTAATATCTGTCTTACAAAATCACCAAGCCCTCACCCTATAGACATGAGTAGTAACCATGGACAACAGAGTATACTGTTTCGCCCATGATACCCCCATGCGTTGCCATTTCTGAGGACTCAGGTGTTATTCCTTTGTACCCAGTAAATTCACGCCATATCCCACCCTTCAAACCGAAACACAGCCATGCAAACACACAACCGCTTCACAGTTGAAACACGAATGGGACAGAGGTACTCAAGCAATGTGCGTTATGAGTGGACCTCCGTGCGTGGGCGTGCATGTGGACGCGGTCGACTGTGCGCAATGCATTAATGTACCCGGTAGCCCTTCTTACTAACAATCTTTTCTCTTTTATAAAAGAATCACTGGCGTATTTACGATCATTATGTACTTTTAGACATGCCTTTGATCACAGCAGAAAGCTTCGCGCCTGATCCTGATATGGGTACTGGGCTATTTTGTGGGCACTGAAGAGAGCAACTTATTTCATATAGATTTTGAAAACAAGGACCAATATGAAATAAGTTTTTAAATGATTTAAGTAATGTTTTTATAATTCTGCCCATAAAATGGTAATTCGCAAAATAATCGAATTAAAATATCAAGTTAAAAAATAGGTTTAACTAAACGGCGCCTCAGAGTCAATCCCAATGTATCAGGTTCAAAAACTTTGAAACTAAAACTAGTTGGGATCAGACTTGATGATTCTCATGTAAAATGAAGCACAACGTGTATTTTCCGTTAACTCAGTAAAAATATTTAACTCTTTTAGGTATTAAAAGATCGCTTACTAGCGCGGAAAAAAAATAGAAGATACAGAGAGGTTAAAAAATGAACAGCTCAATGAATATGTTGCCCACTGTAAAAGAAATTTAGAAAGAATCAATTTAAAAAAGAAATGAATTACCGCATATGTCACTGGAAGAAGCTGAGCAACAGAGAAAAAAATGGCGAGAGGCAAAAAGGAAAAATGCCAATAAAAGAAATGAACGGAAAGAAACAGTGACTAGAGTGGAAAATGAGCCAGGAAGTCTTATTTTAGACAAGATCTTTTTGTAGTAAAGCATCAAGTTCTAACTGAGAGTAGATAAACTGAAAACGTAAACCACTGATTGCTGCTCCGCGTTATAGGACTCAAAATCAATCCTCCTTAAACGTCAAATTGCTTATAAACCCACTTTTAGATTATTTCTATTCACAAAACACTTTATCATCATCATCATCATCATATCACCCTTTAAGCGTCCACTGCTGATCATAAGCTTCCCCCTTGGGAAGGTTTGGCAGTAGTTGTCATGCTTGGCAGGTAGATTGGCAACCACAGTTAGTCTTTGGAGATCTTTCTTCCATGCACAACCACTCTTTAGAATCAACTTCCACCAGCAGTATTTCCGAACTGATACGACATCATAACCTTCAAGAAAAGAGCATATTCCTTTTTAAAAGGCAGGCAGTACATCAGCCTTTGTTATTGTGGGTAATCATGGGCGGCGATAATCACTTACTATCAGGTGAGCCGCATGCTCGTTTGCCCCCTGTGTTAAAAAAAATGTTTTAAGAGGGACGCTGCAGCACCAAACACTTTATGTCTTCAAATAAACTATTGAATTTGTTGCGGGTTCTCCTCAGCAGATAACAACATTCCAAACTCAGCATTGGAATAATAAAACGTCTAATAAAAATAAAGTGACAATATAGAAGAGCGTGTAACCAAGTCTATTTGAATATAGATTATGGCTATTCTGTCACTAAACAATGGATAAGATGTCCACAATAGATCCAATGGATAAGGGATCACAGTAGATTTCTTATGATAACTGTGCCACAGATGAGCTAGCTCAAAGAGGTCCTGGACCGAAAGCGGCAGGTCCGTAACCGCTTCTTTCTTCACGTGTCACGCACACGTAATGTAACAAGTAACGTAACACGTGTCCTTGCATTAAACCTCTAATAAACGTATTTTAGTTATTGAAATGTTTTGTCTTTTTCTTTTGTTTTAATTTCTTAATTTGAAAGACAGCGACAAAATACGAAGAATAAAAGTCCAATCTGGAGTATATGATCTACGCATGGCCTAGCTATGGCCAAGTTTAATATAGGGCAAAAGAACTTTTTAGTAGGGCAGAAGCCATAATTGACTTCGAAAAAGCGTATCTAATTTTCTTGGGGTCTTTCATTTTAAGGTAGGGCATTGTGCCTTTTAAATTTAGAGCATTGCCACTCAATGCCAGCTTTGCTTGAGCTTAAATCAGTTTTGCCAATATTATTATTATGAACTAACACTGTTTGTCCTTTGAGGGTAAGCAGAGGTCATAATCTTCCTCCAACGTCATATTCATCTTCCTGATTTCAAATGCCACTAATGTGGGCTTCTTCTTTTTCTTTGACTTGTTCAACTTCTTTTAAATATACCCCAAAAAACTTAAAACTACTATAAACCTATTTTAGCTGTTGAACTGTCTAGTCACTTTTTTAAAACTGGAAATAAAAGAAAGGAACAAAACAGTTTAATAGCTTAAATAGTTTTCACGTTTTTATGAATAAGAGCGATATTTTTTTTTTTTTTATTATTTTTAATTTTACCATTGCATTACTCACCTTTGGTGGTGTTGATACCATAGATTCGTAATCTGTTACTAAAAAAAAACTAAATTATGCCACTCTATTGTCCATAAAAGAATCAAGAGTCATAAAAAAATTAAATTTCGGATTAGGACAGCAAAAATTAAAATGGATTTTTAGAAATTCTTCCGAGAATGTATCGTGATGGTAAAAAAAAACCATAAATCTGAATTTAAAAAAAAGACGCAAATTCGACAGTGGGGCTAAACTGAAGGTTCACTAATTTTGGAGAAATAATTTTAGATTTCTACTCCACTGTACCGTTATATTGAGCCAGTTATATCATTAATGCTTCAATACAATTTACATTCATCTTCGTTCAGCAAAAGAACTATCTGCTTACATTTTATTTCGTCTTAATGATAATGACACTTCAATATCGAATCCACCGATTAACTAAACTAAGAACGCCGAAGAACTACAATCGTCAATTACAAACTCAATCTCTCTTTTTAGGTGAGAGAGCGACCACGGCATCTAAGTCCACTATATCATCTACCAAACGCAATCGCCTTATGAAGAGAAATGCTATAATCATTCTAGAAACTTCCACAGTCCTACCATTCAAATGGCATAGACACAACTACCTGTGTTTCTACTGCCACAGAGCATTTAAAGATCCTCAAGTATTAAAAGAACATACTAAAAATGGACACGAAAAGCCTAATATAAAAGCTGCTGTTTCTTACCTGAGGAGAGATGAAAAAGTCAAAGTTGATGTTACACTACTATCTTGTGATATATGTAATGCCAATCATGCTGATATAGATAAATTAATTGATCATTTAAAGCTAGTTCACAAGAAGGCGTTTACTGAAGATTGCGGATACGGGTTGATACCTTACAAGTTAAATAAAGATACATTTCAATGCCCAGTTTGCCAGGAAGACTTCCAATACTTTATCAAGCTGAACCAACATATGAACAAACATTACGGAAACTATATTTGCGAGTTATGTGGCAAATCGTTTTTGAGTCAGGACAGACTGCGATGTCACTCTCTAAGTCACGGATCGGGTTTCCGCTGCGATTTGTGCTCGCTCACTTTCGATTCTTTGACCCAGAAAAATACACATGACTCGAAAGTCCACAATAAAGACAAATTGCTGAAATGTTACTTCTGTACCGAAACATTTCCTAATTATACTCAAAGGAAACGGCATCACAATATATCCCACAACGTCGAAGTGCCCGAATTTAGTTGTCCAGTTTGCGGAAAGACATTCCAAATAATGAGCAAGATGAAGGTCCATTTAAAAGAGGTTCATATGAGGGAGAAGAATTTTTCATGCTCCATGTGCGAACAGAAATTTTTTTCGAGGACACACGTTCAAAAGCATATGGTTAAACATTTTGGTGAGAGGGTGCATCAATGTGATGTGTGTTCGAAGTCTTACGCGAGAAAGCAAACTCTGAGAGATCATATGCGTATACATAATAACGATAAGAGATTCGTCTGTTCAGTTTGCAGTCAGGCGTTCATTCAGAATAATAGTTTAAAACTACATATGCGAGTGCATCATCCGGATGCTGTAAATGCCTAATATGTTAATTACATTTGTTACAGAAAATATGCAGTTTTATTACTGTTGTTCATTAAAACATATGTGTATATATTTTTAAACCAAGAATATTGGAAATATATGTATATTAATAAAAAGAGATATAGTAAAACAAAGGGTCATGAAGGGGACCCAAAAGGGAACAAGTAGCAAGATGTATCTTTTTTGAATTTGGTAAATATTAATATAAAAACTATAAACAATATAAGTGGCCACAAATAATATTCTGTAATTTAACTTCAGATGTATATCACTTTTAATTTAAATGATTTGACAATGATATTTTAGGGCCGTCTTTTATTATAATAATAACAATTTTTTATTTGGAAGAAAAACAATGGTTACAATATTATTGAAAAACGATGATATCCGCAGAAGTATAAAACTGTCGCGAATATCAACGCCCTCCTCTTATAATATATATATATATATATATATATATATATATATATATATATATATATATATATAGGTAGCTTTAAAGACTTTAAATGTACCCTATTCAATAACTGTGATTATTAGAAAATTAGATATTTCTTTGAAATCTGTAGTTTAAAATAATAAGGGTACATTTACAGTTGGACTTTCATTTGCAGATCTAAAACTGCGGAAATACAAGGGCTGCGAATCGTCTTCGATGCGCAGAAGGAAAAATCTACAAATTGTGTTTAACAACACAAGCATACTACCATTCAAATGGCGAGGAAAGTATCTCTGCTTCTACTGCAGCAAAGATATCGCCGAATACACAGAATTGAGGAAACACACGAAATCGCACGGGAGCTGTTCTACTAAAGATCATTCCCTAAAAGTTTTGAAAGGTGGTCAAAACATGGAAATAAAATTGGACGTCTCGGAAATTACTTGTGAGATCTGCAACGAATCTTTCCCTTCATTCGATGAGATTTTAAACCATTTGTACATTAAACATAAGTTAGAATACGACAAAGCCGTGGACATGGCTATAGAAGAGTACAGATTGGTGGACTTGGCTTGTTTGGCGTGCGGTGAGAAATTTTCGTACTTCGGTTACTTAGTATCACACGTGAATAATAATCACCCCAAAAACTGTCTAATTTGTGACAAATGTAATCAGAAGTTTAACAAAAAGAGAGATCTGTTCTCCCACATGAAGAATTACCATCGAGAAGGTGGTTATCAGTGTGAAATGTGCCCACAAACATTCAGCTCTTTAAATATCTTGCGCAAACATAGAAATAACAGGCATTTGACTAGATGTAATATATGTCAATTGAAGTTACCGTCAGCTGCTTTAAAACAAAAGCATATAGAGTTAGAACATCCAGATGACGGGTCTCTGCAGTGTGATAATTGTTACAAGGAATTCCACACAAAGCATGGTCTAAAAATGCACGCTAGAAAATGCAAAGGCGAGGCAGATTTGTTCGAATTTACAATTAAAAAAGAGGGCTACGATGTTATGGACCTTGATGATAACTACGAGGATAAAGTGAAACGACCTAGTGTCAAGCAAATCCGTGAAAACATTCTCATAGTCATAAACATGTCCACAGCAATACCATTTAATTTTTACAAGAACAAATTTAATTGTTTCTACTGCTCCAAAGATTTCCCTGACTCTGATTCCATGAGAGAGCACACAGTTATGGAACACCCGGTATGCGATATGAAACAGAAATGCATCAGGAAGTGCAGGGAGTCAGTGGCTTGCGTGAAAATCGATGTATCTTCACTCACTTGTAAAATTTGCTTCGAATCCATGAGTGATTTGGAAAAGTTACTGGACCATTTAATGTTGAAACATGAGGCTAACTATGATAAGTCTATTACGACCTGTCTGCAACCGTTTAGATTGATCAAAGACCATATGGAATGCCCGCATTGTCCCGGGGAAGTGTTTCGATTCTTTGGGACTTTACTAAAACACATGAATAAAAAACATACAAACAACAATATTATTTGTGTATACTGCGGCCAGACTTTCAGACGCGATCAGAATCTGCGTGTTCACATTTGGAGACACCACAGAGATGGGCGCTTCAAATGTAACATTTGCGGTGCTGAGTGTAATATTCCTTCAAGACTGTACATGCATATGGCGAAAGCGCACGGAGTGAAAGCGGCCAAATGTCCAAAATGCCCTGAAGCGTTTGCAACGCAATATCTGAGACAGAAACATTTGATCGAAGCCCACGATTCAGGACACAAATGTACATATTGCGGTAAACTCTTCACACGAAACTCTTTCATGCGAGATCACATAAGACGGACACATTTGAAGGAGAAAAATGTGGAATGTTCCATTTGTAATATGAAATTCTTCAACAATATACTGTTGAGGCGGCATATGGTGAAACACAGCGGTGAAAAGAATTTTCACTGTGACATTTGCGGGGAAAGATTCTTCTGGAGAAAGAGTCTACGAACGCACATGGCTAGACATAATAAGAATTTGCATTCAATACAATTATTAAGTTAGTGATATGTCACTAAATGTATTTATATGCTTTTTAGACTATAAAATCATTGATCTCATATTCCAATACGTAAACTAAGATTATATATAAATATATTAATAATTTTAAAGAAAACAGTCACATTTCTTTATTTTTTACCCAACTTTGTATAAGTTTATTAATTTATATGCGAGTATTTTTTTTTCTATTCCAATCGTTGATGCACGTAATATAGAAAATAAAAACTCGTACTGTATTCGGGGTTGGTATGAGGACATGATGATAATTCATGATGGATGCAACTGATGAGAATTCACGTTTGTTTATCTCTATCTCTACGTCCCTATCTCTCTTTAATTGATATGCTTATTTATGCGCGAAATATCTAGTGCGCTAGATTCTCATCCGATATTCCATCGTCCAAGAAAGATCCAAGGTTAGATCCTCCATTGACGACTGCTAGTTTGCACAGTCTAATATAAATATACTGAACGGATCGCGTCCATTAGCCGCAACTAAGAGATGCGTCCAATAATATGTTTGCGGCCTAAGAGCTCCAATCGTGTTCGAAACTAGTCGAGCATCCCCGAATTTTGAATTCCTGAATGATACTCATAATGAGAGTGATTTTATGAAAAAGATCTAATAAATGTTTAATACATATGATATTGGCCAATGACTAGTAATTCGAAGTAGTCGTCACTTGTCTAACAGTGGGATATTCATAGTCTAGGATTTTTTTATTTTTTTTTTTTTATTTAAAAGTTTGCTCTTGTCGTAGCAAATAATTAATTCATTCTCTTCCAGCCAGCTCTATTCTAGACCAAATTTTTGACCTCCCTCAACGACTTGACGCCTAATGTTTCCTTTGTCTGTCCAATGTAGTTATTTTTCGAGCCTCCTCTTCCTCTTTTGCTCTCTATTTTTTCTTCTAGTATGCTCTTTAAATAATCATGTCGTATAAAATAATATATAAAATATATTCAAGAAATTTAAAAGTATGATGACAGCCATTAATTTAATGTTTAAAGATACACAATTAACCTCAGAGATATATTGTAATTGTATTCACAACACAAATATTCTTAAATATAGAAAGGTCTAAGGTCAGAGGGTCGTGCGTCGGAATTTGGTTGTCAAAAATATTAAAATAAAAAGGCAAATTTGTCGTATCAAAATTATATCCGTCTTATCTTTCGGCCTTCATCCTACTCATTTGTTTTATCACAGTTTGTTAGTTTTGTCTGTAGAACGTCTTAGCGGTCAACGAGAAAACCGCTCAAAGGGGCCGCAATAAATATCATCAAAAATTTATATTCGCAAATGAATGAAAATAGGATGAAATTATCATGATTATTCATAATCATTAATACTACCCCCTTATGGGGTAGGTCTATGTTCAACAGTGGGCAGTCAATGGCCGATATGAATTAATAGTAACAATTTCAATAGCATCGAATACTCCTATTGATTTAATAATTTTGAGTACCTGCATCCAATTCAGAATAATATTTGCAGATATTATATTAAGGATTCGCAGTATCCTGAAACTACAAATCTGGTTTCCATCTTTTCAGATAAGAATGGACCGGGAAAATTACAGAACGCCAATAAACTAAGGCGGCAGAATCTGCAAACATTATTCAACAACACCTCAATGGTGCCTTTTAAATGGAGGGGAAAGTACATGTGCTTTTACTGCGGCGAAGACTTGGTTGCTTACGGGGATTTAAGGGCACATACAAAAACTCACGGCTTCTGTTCAGACAGAGATCGAGCTCTTAGACTAGTTCGCACCAGTGACACCGAAGTGAAAATCGATGTTTCTGATATCACTTGTAAACTATGCAATGAGTTTTTTAATACTTTCGACGAAATAGTCGTTCATTTGATCTCCAAACATAAACTGCCTTACAACAAAGAAGTCGAGTTGATAATATCCACTTATAGATTAGTAGATTTAAAATGTTTATTGTGCGATGAGAAATTCAAATACTTTAGTAAACTTATCACTCACGTTAATAATACGCACCCTACCAACTGTTTTATATGTTACGAATGTAATCAGAAATTTAATAAGAAAAGAGACTTGGAGTCGCATTTAAGGACGCATCATCGGAAACAGTATCAATGTACAAAATGTACTGCACAATTTTCATCTAATGCTGCCTTATTGAAACACAAATCACATTCGCACACATCAACCTGTAATATTTGCTTTGAAACGTTCTCTACTAACAGCAAAAGGCTTAAACATATGAAACTTGAACACATTTCTGACGGGGTCTTACAGTGCGGGTTCTGTCTCAAAACGCTAAGTACTAAATTGGCGTTCCTAAACCACGCGGCGAAATGTACTATTAACGACAATTCTAAAACTGTAGACGAATGTATAACTGTAGAAGCCAACGAAAAGAAAGCCACCGTCTCTGAAATCCGAAATAATATCGCGTGTATTCTAAACATGTCCACGGCAATGCCCTTTAAATTTTTCATGAACAGATTCCGATGTTTTTATTGTCCAAAAGATTTTATTGAATGCGATGAACTCAAAGAACACACAATTACAGAACATCCAATTTGTGATACGAAACTCAAGTGTTTTAGGCTGCGCAACAGAGAAGACGGTATTAGAATCAAAGTTGATGTGGCGTCTTTATCTTGTAAGATGTGCATGGAAACAATGCAAGATTTAGATGCGCTAATAGATCATATTATTGTGGAACACAAAGCACAGTATATAAAATCGGTCGATAACAACATGCAACCTTTTACTTTACTAAAAGATAGTTTCTCGTGTCCTTTTTGTGAACAAGTATACAGATACTTTGGTACGCTCTTAAAACATGTTAGCAGGGGTCACGCGGACAATAGAATTATTTGTGTACACTGTGGCAGGTCGTTTAGGACTGATCCCAGTTTAAGAGCCCATATCTCGCGAAGTCACAGAATTAACAATTACAAGTGTAATCTTTGTGATCACGAATTTACAACAAATCACGCCTTACACACTCATTGCGGTCGAGTCCACGGCTACAGGACATCCGAGTGTTCGCAATGTCTTAAGAGATTTACGTCTCTATATTGGATGCAAAGGCATATGATTAATGCTCATGGTACAGGTCACAAATGTTCACACTGCAGCAAATTGTTCACCAAGAACTCTCACATGGTGAATCACGTTAGGCGTACACATCTGAAGGAGAAAAACGTGCAATGCGCCATCTGTTTCGAGAAATTTTTCGACGTACAACATTTGAGAACGCACACCGTAAAACACACAGGCGAACGGAATTTTCATTGTGATATTTGTGGCAAGAAATTCCTCTGGAAGAAAAACCTTAGGGCCCACATGGCGTCGCATGTTAAAAATTCTAATCCCCAAACGCAAATCTAATTGTTATACAAATAGATAAGTAAAAAAGTAATGCAGTGATATGGTGCCATTATAGCAAGAATAATTTGTTTTCAGATGAATATGCGCCTGGGCCTTACGAAGCGTGTGCCTCTGAGAGAAGGCGGAAAAACTTGAAAATACTGTTCAACAACACGACGATAATGCCATTCAAATGGCGCGGGAAATTTCTCTGTTTCCACTGCGCTAAGACGTACACTCAGTACCAGGATTTTAAAAAGCATACCAAAGCACACGGACACTGCACCACTAAGGATTACTCCTTGAAAATCATCAAAGGAAATCACATTGAGATAAAACTCGACATATCTGAAATTGTATGCGAAATATGCAATGAACCATTTGATAGTCTAAAAGAAATAGTTGACCATCTGATTGGAAAACATAAATTGGAATACGACAGAACAGTCGATATACCCTTCCAAGAGTACAAGCTAGTAGATTTGCGCTGTATGTACTGTGATGAGCAGTTTAGCTATTTTGGATATCTGGTTAACCACGTGAACGTTATGCACCCGCAGAACAGTTTCATTTGCGACGACTGCGGTGCGACTTTCAACAAGAAAAGGGATATGGCGTTACACTTAAGGAACTACCATCGCCAAGGAGGTTACCCTTGCGACCAATGCGCGCAGAACTTCGAAACTTATTACCTATTGCGCACGCATCAAAATACAGTGCACTTCCGGAGATGCAAGAAATGTAACATGAAGTTTGTGTCACTCACACTTCTACAAAAGCACATACGATTAGAACACACTCAAGATGACGGTACTCTAAAATGCTCATTTTGCGCAAAAGAATTCCGCTCTTCACAAGGTTTATCGCAACACATAAGTAAGTGTAAGGTGAAGACTCCGCAAATAGAACTGCAAGACAGTACCGCATTCGTCTCGGAACATAACCTGGAGCCCAAGAAGAAGCAGAACATTTTGCAGATACGACAAAACATTCAGTGCGTTCTCAATATGTCCACGGCTGTGCCTTTCAAGTTTTTCTCCAAATACACATGTTTTTATTGTTCAAAGAAGTTTATTGAATTCGAAGAATTAAGAGAGCACACAATGACGGAGCATCCCGTTTGTGATCTTAAGTCTAAATCTATGAGAAAATGTAAAGGCGAAAGGGTTAGCGTCAAAATTGATATAGCCTCGCTTGCTTGCAAACTATGCTGCCAGTCGATGTCTGAATTGGACTCTCTCATAGACCATTTGATATCCGAACACAAGGCCAATTACGATAAAGCTGTGACCGGCTGTTTGGAACCATTTAAGGTCATCAAAGACAGTATGCCGTGCCCGCTGTGTCCCGACAAAGTGTTCCGATACTTCGGTATACTGTTGCGTCACATGAACGCGGAACATAGTAACAATAATAGAATATGTGATTTCTGCGGACGTTGCTTCCGGAACGTGGCAAATTTAAACGTTCACATATCGTACACGCATACGGGTGCGTGCGAATGCAATGTATGCGGTATACAGTACAAGAATCAATGGTGCCTCGCCCGGCATAGGGCTAGGAAACATAACGCTAAGGACTACAAATGCCCGAAATGTCCAGACAAGTTTCCATCTCAGTACCACAAACAAAAGCACCTGATAAAGGTCCACGATATCGGACACAAGTGCAGTTACTGCGAGAAGATGTTTACGAGAAACTCCTTCATGAAAGATCACATAAGGCGGACGCATTTGAGGGAAAAGAACGTGCCATGTTCTGTTTGTAACGAGCGGTTTTTTGATAATTATTTGCTGAGAATGCACATGGTGAAACACGAGGGCGACAGGAAGTTTGTTTGCGCTGTATGCGGTAAAGCTTTCCTAAGGAAAAGCAATCTGCATTCTCATATGGATATGCACAAAAGGTACGGTCACCTCCAAGCGGCACTGTGATCGTAGTTTGGAATTGGCATTGCCCCACGGTTTAAAGCATCGATGAAGATTAAGAATTAGGGATCTCTCACGATATAAGGCATTGGTAGAGATAAATCCAACATCCTTCGTGTAAACGTCAAATGACTTGTTATTGCTTCTGTCATTTTAATTGGCGCCAAATGCTCAATTTTTAGTTTTTATGTATAAAGTGTAAAGATTCGATGTTACCCATTCTTATCTTCAACTAATGTTATAAATCTGAAAGTGAGATTGTTTTGCGCCTTATTGGCTTAACCAATTACTATAAATGGAGAAGAATTTTAGGCTATTTATTAGCTCCCTCTCAGTAAATATATCCCGGTCACGCGAAGTCACGGGCGAAAGTTAATTTAAATATTATTGTATATAAACCAGTCGAAATAACAAATTGATCTGATAATGATTTTACCTTATTAGTAATTTATTGGCACACCATTCTGTATTGTAATTTGTAAATTAATTTTATATACTTATTTATTTCAACTTTAATGCACAGTAAAATTGTATATACATTTGGAAAAAATTATTTTTGTTCATTTTATTAATATTCACATGTATGTAGAGAGCGTAAGGGACAAGTTGGCAAAAATTGAAACAGTGAATTTGATAGCAGACATCTCCGAATATCGTTATTGAGCCAATATATACATATAGATTTACTACATAAATACTAATAATACATAGAGTTAAGCAAATTTACAAAGTCGAGTATAACAACAATAGTTATGTCCCAGTCGTTGATCTTTTGCAATTTTTCTTCAATATAATTGTTGCATATATGGCATCCCTGTGTCATTTAGTCGAAAATTGCAGTTGTGGATGGCAACACATTTTGAAAATAAAAGATTACATATGGACGCTCCTCTGTTACTCTGTGTTTCATTTCAAATAATAATTATAAAAACCATTCTGCCTGTCCTGTCATATAGAACAATGATACATAAAAATGAAAATATAATATATATATATACGTAAGTATGACACAGAAAAGCAATCTTTTGTTTGTAATCCCAGAAATATCCATTTTTATAATAAAAAAAAAATTATGTAAATAAATGCAGGTCGATATGAAATCTGTGTATCTAAAGTATGCATCATCATCCCAGCCATTATCCGTCCACTGATGAACAGAGTAGACTGAACATCTCCCGTAGACTGCTATAAAGAACGATCCCGAGCCACCTGCATCCGCTGACTCCCTGCAATGCATTTGAGGTTGTCACTCCATCTAGTGAGGGAGTAGTCCTACACTGTGTTTACCCATATGAGGTGGCGTCTCAAGAACCTGGTTCCATTGGTTAACAGTTCTTTGAGCTATGTGACCAGCCGATTGCCACAAAAGCTGGTAGGCTTCGATGCGCCCGTCACGCTGCCATTTGATGTAAATCGTGCATTACATGTCGAACTATTTATAATTTAATTTTAGAATGATTTTTTTGTATTAACATCGAATATATTAAGTATGTTAATTGCAAAATTTTGTCTTTTTTTTTGTTACCGTTGCCTTGTAGATTCAATTTCTCAATATATAGATATCGGTAATATCCGATATCTATATATTGGGTCCTCCTGGATATTGACCATTACCCATTGCGATATCGCCCATACCAGTCGGATATCTATATTCATTACGGGATCTTTCCGATGTCATATATTGAATAACTAAAAGTTATTTACCTGTTATTGAGTCAATATATGTATAGATATTGTAAATGCAATATATATATATATATTATCATATTATAATATCTATATATTGTCATGTACACATATCTGTACTAATAAATAAATATTGCTATATATTATCCACCTTTACTACTAAATACTTGAAATACAAATTTATAGTCAAGACAGTTCTTGACTTCTTGACTTCTTCCTATGTACTCAAAGTTATTCATAATAATAAACCGATAAAGTCTGACTAATTTAATGATCCACTGCTGGACATAGGCTTCTCCTTAATGCGAGGGTTTTGCTAGTAATTGCCATGTTTGGCAGGCGGTTTGCCAACCGTAGTTAAGCCTTGATGATGTTTTAAGAGGGACGCTGCTGTCTCCACTTAGTCGCGTCATATGACACCCACGAGAAAGGAAGAGGTGGCCCATTCTATGCCGGGACCACACGGCATATATATGTATATATATTACAGTAACTTATTAGACAATATACTGCGACTTTTCTGAATTATTTAAAAACAGAACGTCACAGAAAAAAAAAGAAACAAGAAAGAGGAAATTTGACAAGTAAAAACTGCCAATTTGTTTGCAGGTGCAAAATTTAACACAGTGGAGGACAAATATAAGAAAATGGAAATGGCGCGTAAGTTTATGATAAAATGCCGAAATATCGAGTACGTGCTACAGTACAGCAATGTGACGCCATTCCTCTGGTACAAAGGGAAATATAGGTGTTTCTATTGTACCGAACCTATAAAAGATCCACAGTTACTCCGCGAGCATACCGCCAATGTACACCAATTCGCAAACCTAGAACTCGTAGTGCACGATCGGACTAAAAACAACAGGAACAAAGACGCCGCAGTGAAAATCGACGTAACAGACGTTACTTGCAAGCTTTGTCGCAAAGGTGTTACTAATTTGGAAGAGCTAATACACCATTTGATTATAGCTCACGACGCTGAATACGATGTGAGCGTTCCCAACTGTTTGTTGCCGTTCAAACTGGACAAAGATCAACCCACGTGTCCCACGTGTGACACGAAATTCGTTTTCTTCGAATACCTTCTTCGGCACGCCAACAAGCACCATTTGTCGCACGATTATATATGCGACGTATGCGGCACAAGTTTTCAAGGCGAGAACCATTTGAAGATGCACAACCGTTACTATCACAGACAAGGCGGTTACACGTGCGACTATTGCGGCATTAATTTAGCGACACTCTCCAAGAAGATACTCCATGAAAAGAATATACACTTGGTGAACTTGTCCACGTGTCCACACTGTCCAGAGACCTTCAAGAGTCCGTACTTTAAAAAGCTGCACTTGGCCAACGTTCACGGCGTCGAGGAGTTAAAAATAAAGTGCCCCTATTGCCCGAAGGTTTATCCGCAAGAGAGTATTATGTCAAGGCACATGAGGAGGGTACATTTACGAGAGAAGAACGTGAAATGCGAGGTATGCGGTGATAAGTTCTTTGGGCCTTACGATGTCAAATTGCACATGGTTAAACACAACGGTGATAAGAAATTTGTCTGTTCTGTGTGCGGAAAGAAATTCTCAAAGAAAAGCAACTTAAACACTCATTCAATTTTACATACGGGCGAGAAAAAGTTCGTTTGTACCGTTTGTAATAAAGCGTTTGCCCATCAAGCCAACTTTAAGATGCACATGAAAAACCGCCACGCACAGTATTCTGAAGAGACTCCAGAAGTGGTTGAGGATATTGATGAAACAGAAATGGTGCAAATGGAATTCATAAGGGACGACTTAGAGGGAGCTGAAGTTATAGGACAGTACGTGCATTGACGCTGAACCCCAACAAAACAAAATATATACTTTACGCGTGATTTCAATGATATTAATCACTTATGATATTCTAAATTATTGATAATTAAACATCCAATTAGACTGTTGTTTTAATATTACTCCTAGAAATGTTAACACAACATACTCTGTAAATATGGACCGAACAATGTACGATGCATTATGATACACTAATGACGCAGCTAATAATTATAGTGTTGAATGAATTAGATACAGTTTTCAAATAAATAATACTTAAAATAGATCTATTTGTATTCCTTGAATCCTGATTTTACTGGCCTTTAAAATAGAAGATGATATACATATAAAGAACTTAGAAAGAAGGGTAACATCATACTCTCTTTCCAGGAGACCAAACCAAGAGAGATATGCAGAATACAAAACGACTGTATATAGCGCGGAAGAACGTTCTCACAGTACTGCAGTATGGCAAAGTGATGCCGTTCAACTGGAACACATCGGGGTTCAGGTGTTTCTACTGCGGAAAGTTCATGAGGGACTGCGTAGCGCTTCGAGAGCACACTGAATCGAAACACAGCTCTGTAGACATGGAAAACTGTTTGCCAAAGAGGATAATTTCAAAAGATGTCCCCGTAAAGATAGACGTGACAGATATAGCTTGCAAATTTTGTCCAAACACCGATCTGAATACTCTTGAAGATCTGATATCGCATATAACCTCAATTCACAAGGAAGAATACGACGATACAGCAGGAGTCTGTATATTTCCGTTCTGTCTTAAAAGAGACATCATGAATTGCGTTCTTTGTGAGAGCGTTTTTGACAATTTCACATCTTTGATGAGACACATGAACAAAGAGCATATCGCTCATGGGTATATCTGTCAAATTTGCGGGTTAAGCTTCGTTGATAGTATACGTCTCAAACGCCACATCACGTACAGCCACGTAGGCCACCGTTGCACCTTATGTGGTAAACTATTCGAGGCCTCTCACAAATTGGAGTGGCACAGACAAAGGATTCACGGTCAGGTCAAAACCCACGAATGTAATCTCTGCAGCGAAACGTTTGATAATAAATACCAGGTCAAAGTGCATATGGGGAAGGTGCATAATGTCGAGAAATACAGGATCAAGTGTGAATACTGCCCGAAGATTTGCACGACCAAAGGAGCGATGGTATTGCATGTACAATCCCTACATTCGGAGGTACGGTACGAATGTGATATCTGTGAATACAAGACTGCTATCAAATGGATGATAAAGCTTCACAGAAGGAAACACTTTGGGGAGAAGAACTACGCGTGTAGCATATGTCAGAGGAAGTTTGGGAGGTCGAGTAACTTGCGTGCTCACATGAAAGTACACACAGGCCAGAACGGTCGCGTGTGCAGGCGTTGCCATCAAGGATTTACCGATTTTGAGTCTTTGAGTAAACATGAATTAGAGCTACATTATTTTGAACAAGTGTAGTTTTGTGTGACCGATTGTTGATAATTCTCAAGAGCATTCAAAATTTAGCTTATCAAAGTGTGGCAACTTCGCATTTATCTGTCACTTTTAAAATAGACATGGGTAATATGGATACCGATACGATATCTATATATTAGGTTTCTCTGGACATTGATGGAGGAAAAAAGGTCAACACCCATTTCGATATCGCCCATATCGGTCGGATATCTATTTTCGAATATGTGAAAAGTTTATCCAATATTATTTTTTAGATAACATATTCGTTATTGGACCAATATTATATATTACCCACCCGTAGTAATCAATCTTTAGTCCACGCTTTAAAAAGTTTTAACTTTAATATGGTTGTATTGATGATGTCAGGTTATTGTGCACTGCTTAATATAGGCCTCCCCCTATTGGGAGGTTTCGCCAATAGTTGCCACGCTTGTCAGGCAGACTGGCAACCGCAGTTAGACTTTGGTGATGTTTTAAGAGGGACGCTGCTGTCCATCCTTCGACCATTATTGTATTATACTGTCAGTAATTATGATATTAATAAACATATGCAACTATTGAAGCTCTTTTATTTATGATTACTTTTTGTTTACTACTTCGTGGATAGATTTCAGAACTAAAACCAATGAAATAGAGACCAGAAACAATTAACTTGCATGTGACATGTGCGTGTGTAATTAGGGATAGCGCGGGAAAAAAAAGAAAAAAAACGCGCGCTTAGATCTAGATAGATAGATAATTTATTTACATTACTTACAGCACACAAATTACAATACAAACATACACATAATACACAGTAAAAGAGATAAAAGAATGAAAAACGAAAAAAAAGCAACAAAAAAAACAAATAGCAAAATATATAAAACAACAGTTTCCTTTGCCTTCAAAAGAGCAAAACACTGATATTCTTTTGTAGCCAAGAGTCAGTCGCGAAATTCCTTATTAAAAATAATAATAATAATATTTTATTCTATACTTAGATTATACAGATATATTATCTCCATACAAATGCTTCGGGAGAAGCGAGTCAACTTTGTCATATAATTTTGCATTATAAATAGTTATGAATGTTTCCTTTAAAACTTCTATATTTATTTTGTTTTATAAATTTTACACCTTTTTAATGCGTAAAAACTTATTTTATTGATTAAATAATTAAGTAAAGATACGTCAAGATATGTGCGTAAGTATAATAGAACGCTGAGAAAAAAACAAGTCAGCTAATTTGACAATTAGCTGACAAAAAGTTGACCCATATTTGAGGCTCGATGTTCATTTTTTTAGTACGTTTGTTCCGTTATGGAACAGGCTAAGGTCGGAGACCATGCTGCCTAGCTCTCGATGTATACAATCTAAGGTTCTTTATTGTACTTGTAATTTAAAAAATTGTTAATTGTAAAAAAAAAAGTTAATTTAATTTTGTACAATTAGTTGCACACAACCATTTTGCATATTTTGTTTTACAGTAATAGATGGCCAACGTCGTTAGTGGCACTAAAATTATTGATATTTAGATATATATGTATACTAGCTGACTCGGCAAACGTTGTTTTATATAATAAATAGTAATAGTGACTACCAGTCCCATTGCTAGCAATATACCACGTAAAAGTCAACCTTACAGGGTTGACTTTTACGTGGTCCCCCTTGTAAATCATTGTGCTGAATAGCTGTATTCATCACGATAGGCTAACTGGCCTGCCTTGTCATTCTCACCTATCATCCCTCACTGGTGCCCCGCCAGCGTATATCGTTAGCGCGAGCGGGGTTACCATTCCATTACCATCTATTAAAAAAAGACATCTGTAAGGCAGGAAGGCATTGTTACTAACGCGCGTATACCGTTAGCGCAGGCAGGTTACCATTCCATTAAAAAAATGTCTGTAGATAACGAATATCACTTTCCATCAAGTGGATCGTCATCTGATTAACTGTCATTGAAATCTAGTATTTCCTGTAAGCTAAAATGTGTGAATTTAAATGCTGCGTCATTTATTAAATGCATGACAATTTCTGGCGGCCTCTATGTGTTCTCCATTGAAAAATACTAGAAACCTCTATAAAGATGCTGTTTTCCTTTCAGGAGAACCTAGAGGTGGCCAGAAACCGTCGAAAGCAAAGGATACGGAAAAAGTAGCTGACGAAAAGTTCGAGCCGGTTGTAGATACAATAAACTCCCCAATATCGCCAAAGGACAAACGGAAAATTATGAGAAGGAACGTAGTTCAAGTGCTGACAAAATCGACTGTGATGCCATTTCGTTGGCTGAAGAGTTCCTACAGGTGTTTCTACTGCTACGACATATTTCAAGAAGCTAGTGAGCTCAAAAACCACCAGGAAGTCCACATCGGCGATGAGATAAAGGAACAAACAATGAACAACTTTTGGGAACCTGTTGTTTATGTGGACATATCAAATTTGTCGTGCAAACTGTGTCCTGCCAGAATAACTGACTTGTACGATCTGATAGACCATCTAGTCGACAAGCACAATGTCATTTACAATAAAGATGTAGGCATATGCATGGTAGCTTTCAAATTAGACAATATGTCGGTCAATTGCCTAGCGTGTGGCGCCTCTTTTTACACTTTCGGTCCTTTGCTCCATCATACGAACAAAGATCACAAGGGCACTTCCGCGATACTCTGCGACGTGTGCGGCCAACATTTCAAAGATGCTCACCTTTTGCGTCTCCACGTAAAGACCGTGCATGAGAACACCGGGCTTCTCTGCCCGGAATGTGGAGAGAAATTTGAGACCAGATCGAAGCTGAGAACTCATCAGAAGAACCAACACGATATTAACAGTAAACATAAGTGCTTGGTGTGCTCGCAAACGTTCTCCAGCCATTACATGAGGTCGAGACATATGGCTGCTGAGCATAAAAATCGTGAGGAAATAAAGTGCTTGCATTGCCCGAAGACATTTGTCTTCCGGAGCATGATGATGACCCATGTGCGCGACACACACTTGAAAATGAGGAACTACATTTGTGGTGTTTGTGGGTGGAAGGCTTTCAACAGCCACCGCCTCAAGAATCACATGTACAAACACAGTGGCGAGAAGAACTTTAAATGTGACGTTTGTGGTAAAGCCTTCACGACTAAAAAGATAATGAGGGCCCATTTCCTTCGCATGCATAAAACTGTACAATCTCAAATAATGGTGTATGATAGTGCCCTCAATTCTTATGCCGCGCGTTAGTAGAAGTATATTTGTAGGTACTACTACTCGTGTAAGAGTGGCGCCATCTGCTGTCAAAAGTTTTGGACCATCTTCATTCAGCAGGTAGATGTCTGAAGTGGTTCCACCCTCTTACTTGCCAGTGCCTAGTCATTCCCCATTTAGGGATCTACTTACATGTCTCAACTTTTGATTTTAATGAAAGCATAATTGCGTTTTCAGTTATTCTAGTCTCAGCTTTTTTTACTTTTATTTATTATTATTTTTTTCTAATTATTATCATTTATTAACCGACTTCAAAAAACGAAGAGGTTATGAATTAAATAGGGTGAAAATTATAGGTTTTTGTCAACTGTCGTTGTGGTAAATTGAACACATCTCGCCGAATACAATATTAATTCAAATATTCAAAGGGCCTACCATGAAATGTTTTCCGAAATTTCGGATCTGAACGAAACAAAAATTTGATGTTAAAATTACTTGATACATACCGTTTAAATATATTAAAAATGGTAAAGTATCGTTCCTTTGAACATTTATGGTAGGATTTATGATAAATGAAATGTTAAGCTCCATTTATAGAGTCGATATTGGTACGAACAAAAACACGAAATTAATCCCGAAAATTCGGAATTTCATTTCATGGTAGACCCCCAGATCTAAGTTTGAAGAAGTATTTTAAACTAGCTGCCTGCCACTTATCTTTGCTTCGCACTAATGAAGACAATGAGACCTAACAAATTGACAACACTGTCAATATTTTTGAAGACCTCCCCACAATCTCACTCACTCACTTTTTTGTATGGAGATTTTTACTTCAAATTGTTACATCTCCATATGATTTTTCAACCATTTTCTTTTATACAAACCATGTCCTAATAATTAAAAATACAATAAAAAAGAATTAGACAAATTAATGCAGGTATTCTAGAGTGATACGCTCACATACATTCGGCAATTGATTTTTATTTATATATTGGTAGATTTCACGATGCCATGACATGAATGAATGATGAATGATCTCATACAAAATTGTATACATAAATATTATTTTAAAAATTACACTGTAATATCTAATTGTGGCCATAATAGTATACGAGTTTTACCGAATAGCAACATTGGACCCTTGGCGCTGTTTCAGCTTTGCCACTTAGAACAAGTTGATCCTTCGAGCCGGATTAACTTGTTTAGAGCTTTCTTTATTAATAAAGCTTAATGTTCTTATGTAAATATAGGAGATAGTATAACTGCTATACAGGTTGAATTCGTTAGCCTTACGTAAAAGAGTACCCATGCTATAGAATCGAAAATTCAAAATCGATAGCAAATTTTGAGTCTCTCACATTAATACAACATGTGAACGCATCGTGTTAGTTTGGAAAGCTAAATATTTGTCATTTTTCGACTCATATTTCTTTAGTGAACATGTTCGTCAATTTGGGGTTAGAGAACGGATTGTAGGAAAGGAGTATTTGAGATAAGCAAACCCATTGCTAGCAATGTACTTCCTCATCAAAAATCAATCAAAACATCATGATTGATTTGTTGTTGTTGGCCAACTGACCTAAAATCCTTTACTGGTGCCTTGCCAGTGTATTACAGTATATAAATGTGTGAGCATTCCTTTATAATCTATTTAAAAAAATCGTCAATGGGGTAAAATGAAACGAAAAATAGATACAACGATTGAAGCAGAATAGCCAGATGGCTACCAGTGTTGCTATTTGATAAACTGATAAAATAGTAATAATGAACCTAGTTCCTAATTAAGATTAAAAGACAATTTTTATAAGTTATTAATAAATATATCCTGCAATAAAACCTACTTTGTAGTCTGTATGCACATTTTATATCTTATTTAAGCAAATATCCCTTGTACATTAAATTTAGACTGATTATTTCGGTCGAGTAACTTGGACATGCATTTCATGGATGAATAAATTAATTAATATATTTTTATTTGTATCATTATACAATATAGGGAATAAATCGCCATTTGGTCCCGGCGTAGAATAGGCCACCCTTTCCTTTGCCGTGGGTATCGTAACAGGCGACTAAGGGATGGCGAGTAATGGGCAACAGCATCCTTCTTAAAATATCGCCAAAAGCCTAACTGCCAAGCGTGGCAACTACTGACAAAACTCCCCTTATGGGGAAGGCTTATGTTCAGTGGACAGTTAACGGCATTTTGATTTACACTAGTTTTTATTTACGACTTCCGGAATTTTTTACTTTTCCTTAGCAGACCACTTATACCCCATAACAAGACATGGGTTTCTTAAGAGGAAGATTCTGGAATAGGTAATTAAATACATAATATAATAAAAAATGATATGATCTCTATACCTCAAAGAATTAATATCTATTCGGACTACTGACTCTCTGTTTTCAGCCATATATATACGTAAAAATGATTATGAAAGAACTTCACTTAATATTTATTTATGAAAAGAAATACCTTAGGTATAGATATGACGGAATGGAATAAAATACAAAGTCAAAATCCTTGCAGAATTCAAAGATATTTGGCAAAAACTTTAATCATTGCAAATAAATAAATAAGTCACGAAAAACGACCTTCCAGTGTACTCATGAACAGCTTCTAAGAAGACAATTTTGCTTTCAGGCGATAGCAAAAGAGCAGTAAACCAAGATATAAGATGCAAGGACGAAAATACTGAGGACCCGCCTACAGCCGTCAGCAAAGATATATCCGCAAAAGAAAGACTAAACATAATGAGACATAACGTCGTTCAAGTACTTTTAAATTCCACTGTCATGCCATTTAGATGGCTTAAAAGTTCCTACAGATGTTTCTACTGTTACGATATATTTAGTGAACCTAAAGACCTCAAAAATCACAACGAAATGGTACATGTTAACAACGACGAAGAGATATCCAAGTCCATGAAGACGTACTGGGAACCGACAGTATTCATCGACATCTCCAATATGTCTTGTAAATTGTGTCCAGAAATCATAACAGACTTCTTCAGTTTAATAGACCATTTGATGTTTGTACACGATATGCCGTTTAACAAAGATGTAGGCATTTGTATGAATCCATTTAAACTATATAATATATCGGCAGCGTGCGTCTTATGCGATAAAGTTTATAGTACGTTTGGCCATCTCTTAGTCCACACAAATAGAGATCACAAAGGTTGCTCGCAGCTTCTATGTGATATTTGTGGGCAACATTTTCGTAACATACAGAATTTACGCGATCACAACAATAAAGAGCATGGAGGCAAGGAAATCGTTTGCTCGCTGTGCGGGGAGAAAATAAACGGCATAAATAGAATGAGAACGCATATGCAGAACTCTCATAATAAGAGGTACAAGTGTTTCATATGCACTGACTTGTTCGACACTCACTATAAGAGAGCACTTCATATGATGACTGTGCATAAGAAGAGAGAGGAGATAAAGTGTCAGTTGTGCCCCAAAACGTTTGTCTTTAGGAGCACAATGATGAGACATCTGAGAGAGAGACATATGCAAGAGAAGAACGCGGTGTGCACAGTTTGTGGGTGGAAGTGCTTCGGTGATCATAGACTACAACTGCACATGATGAGTCATAGTAACGTTAGGAATTTCAAGTGTACATCGTGTGACAAAGCATTCAAAACCAAGAAAACAATGCGTCGACATTACGCTAATATACATGAGAAAGTTTTAAAAATAGATGGTGCTCCAAATATCGTCGAATAATGGTATGAAAGAGAAATAGAAAACTAGTGCTTTAAGTATGATTTTACATTACCAATTATAATATATATCAATGGCAACGTTGAAAACGTTAGAAATCTATCCTGTTACTGGTTTTCAACTTTGAATATTACAAACATTCAAACAGAGATATACATTTTAAATCTTTTCGCATGGCGGAAAATGTTATAAATACAAAAATCTAAAGTTAAGCCTTGTTTAATTAAAATTATGAGTGTCAATCTCCTGTGATTCTAGACATTATAACATTACGTCAATTTTTATATTTTCAGACGCGAAAAAGAGCTACAAGCGACATATAAAAGTTACTGGATCATCGACAGAAAACGAAAAGATAATGTTACGTGAAACTCTAAACACGATTCTAGAGAATTCCACCGCGATGCCATTCCGCAGGTACGGGAACAAGTATAGATGTTTCTACTGTAACACCAGTTTCTCAGAAGCCACCAATTTGAGAGATCACACGGCAGAACACGAAAATGTTAATAAATCTAAATGCGTTAAGAAAAATGTCACTCAACTGTTGGTTAAACTGGACATAATTGGTTTACAGTGCAAAATATGTTATCAGTCTATAAACGAATTTGATGATCTCATCTCTCATCTGGGAGAACACAACATGATCTTGAATAAGAGTGTTCTACAATACATAATTTGTTTTAAACTATCCGATGGCGATATCAAATGTTTGTTTTGTAACGAGACATTTGCTTTCTTTGGACCCTTACTGCTGCATACTCATCGTAAACACAAATGTAGAGAATTTATATGTGAAACATGTGGCATCGGTTTTGGGAGTAAGGGAGCCGTAGATCGGCACTCCCAAAGCGTCCATCCGACAAGCACGTACCAATGCAGATATTGTGAGAAAAAGTTCTTTGCTGTACACCGCAGGGACAATCATGAGAAGCGAATTCACAATGTACACGAACGGAAATGCCACATTTGCGGAGACGTATTAGGAAGTATCTATAAAAAGGACACACATCTGGCCATTGCCCATAATATCTGGAGTTCTGAGTTTAAATGTGACATTTGCCCCAAGAAATTTCGATATAAGCATCTCCTTCTCTCACATAATAGAAGAATACATTTGAAAGAGAAGAAAATAGTCTGTGATGTATGTGGTGATAGATTCTTCGATCACCGCTTGCTGAAATTGCATATGGCAAGGCATAGTGATTTGAAGCCGTTTGAATGTGGAACGTGTCAAAAAAGATTCCCAAGAAAATGTGGCTTGGTCATACATACAAGGATACATACAAATGACAGGAGATATAAATGCAAACTTTGCGAGAAGGCGTTCGTTCAATTCGCGAGTTTGAAGCTTCATACAAAGACACACCACAACAGCAATTCTAATTATGTAAACAAAAAAAAATAAAGATTAAAAAGAAAACATAGGGTCTTATTAAATAAGTAAAGTTTTGAAAATAAATCAAACACTTGTATAGATAAAAAATAAAAATTGCAATAATGAGCACCTTCATCTTCTTTTTTATTTTTTTCAATGGCAACTCGTCGTCATTGTATTCAAATAATTTTTTTTTTTCGCGTCGTTTTACTTCTCTCTAAAGGTGCAGTTTTCATAAGCACTTCTCGTTACTTCGGAATTCTTGGCTCGTTCAAATTGCGCGCCTTTTTTAAATTACAAGATTAATTAAATTACGAACACAAAAACAGATGACATGTAAAAGGAGATGGAAACCGAATTACCGCAGGCTAGTAAATGTGTAATAAATCTGTTTTCAATAGCATCAGATAAAATACATATGTGTCCTAAAAAGTTGAAAATGTAAAGAAAGAAATTAGGTAGCTTAGCGATAATACCGCCTTTTGTATTACTTGTACTTTTAATTATTTAGTATAATCCTTACTTTTGTATCTGGTGCAATAAAGTGTAAATAAAAAAAAAAAGTATAACTGTTATGAATTTATCTTCCAGGTTATTTTAATTACTTTTTGTTCTATTTAAATTTCAAGCTTGGAACTTGATTACCGGTAAATACTACCTACATATTTTATTTTATTGCCAACATTTCCGTGTCTGTTACGCCACGTCGTAATGATGGCAGGACTGAAGTGAACGGTAACGGTAACACGTCTTCTAAGCTTCAGTGGCCAGCATTTGCCATCAGACGGGCTGTATGTTTGTCATCTTTGTGGTATAAAAACAAGCAACTAGCGCGGCTTACTTTCTTCTATTTTAAAAAGTGGGATATGACAGTGAAATGACAAGAAGCCTTAGATTATACAAGAGGCATAACAACTTCTTAATGGATGATAAGTGAATGGTAACCCAGTCTGCGGTATTGGTATACATTAGCGGGGCACCAGTAAAGGATGATAGATAAGGAAGAAGGCAGATTAGTCGGCTCATCGTAACGAATTCCACGATAAATTATTCACGATGGTTTCCAGGGGAAACGGGATAGAGGTCGACCTGATAGGGTATATTGATAGCAATGGGGACTAACCTCCCTGTTACTAACAATCTCTTCCCCCCGGCATAACAACTTAGGCATGGGAACGCATAAGGTACTTTTTAAAGGGTAAAAATGGAAAGGTAACCTCACCTGCCCTATCAGTATATGCTGACGGGGCAACAGTGATGAGTGATAGGTGAAGATGAATATAGATAAGTTAGCCATGACGAATTTACAAAAATTAGGTAGCCCTCGACCTGATAAAGTATATTGCTAGCAATGGGGCTATCAAACCCTATCACGATAAAAGAGATAAAAGAATGAAAATAAAAAAGCAACAAAACAAAAAAACAAGATATATAAACCAACAAGTGTGCCACAGTAACACAAAATGGTCACAACTCAGTTTATTGCTTTGCCCTTAAAAGAGCAAAACACTGATATTCTGCTGTGGCCAAGTGTCAGTCGCGAAACTTCTCATTAAAAATAATAATAAAAAGAAATATAAATAAAATGCATTGTATGCGTCCATTACATTCGTCTCCATTTTTATAATATATCTATATAAATAAATAACAGATACCATTAGATGAGGGGTAGTCAGAGGTCACTTTCTGTCACATTCAGGTATTCAGGCAATAAATATTTCCGCTACGTACCTATTAGGTATGCCAATTTTTTGCTTATTAATTAAAAAAAATTAAGTTCTGTCTAAAAAATGTGTTTAGTATTAGGTATTATGAATCGTTTGTATGGAAGTGTAGAAAAGTGTTGTTTTTAGACATTTTCAGGCATTTTTAAAAATTTTCTCTCTGTAAGAACCATCCTCGTATTTCCAGGAATATTATAAAAAAAGAATTAGCGAAATCGGTTCAGCTGTTCTCTCTAGGTTTACGCTTAGCAACACATTCAGCGATTTATTTTTATATTATAAGATGAATCAGTGAGGTAGGACGTGAAAAAACGGAGGATGTTCTATACAGAAAATAGCTAGTTAGCTAGCTATTTTCTGCTATAACTAGCTAGTTAAATGATGTTATTTAATTATGCGTCGAATTCCTTCGATGAACAATGTTTTTAGAGTTCTGGAGCAAATATCCAGAGTCAACAACATACGCAAGTTACCGGAGTTATCATAAACACGTTTTATCAAGGGGTAAATTTCTCAAGTTTCTTCGGACTCTGCAACAGGAAGATATTAAAAAAAAAAAACAATTTTTAGGGTAAGCTACAATGCCCCTAATATTGTAGACGTCTTTAAACTACGCTAAATACTTGCTATCAGGATCGTATGCTCAAATGCTATCTGAGTGACACGAAAAACATACTCCAAATTAATTCATCTTATTATCAGCCGTCTACTGTTCATTGCTATTGCATAGGCGTACCCCTTAGGGGGTGTTACCAGTAGTTGCCACGCTAGGCAGGCGAGTTAGCAACTGCAGTCAGGCTTTAGTGACGTTTCAAGAGGGACGTTACTGCTCATCGCTCTACAATTAAGTTCCCTTAGTCACCTTTTACGACGCCCACAGGAAATGAAGACGTAGCCTATTCTATGCCGGACCACACGGACGTTATTAGCAGAAATGCAACCTATTATTTGTTTAAAAGGTCCTCACGTCACGTGCTAAGTACGGCAGTCGATAAATTACAGCGGGATCCTAGGGTACACTTATAAATCGAACCACTACGTGAAAAAGTGCTCTGATAATTCCAAAAAGTTCCTCAGCTAAAAAAGACTACGTTGTCTTTTTTGAAAAATAAGACAGTGATGTCGGTTTTTTCATTTCAGAAGATTCCAGACCATCTACCAAGGATAAAGAATACGGCAGACAGACAAAAATTGAATTCGCCGTATTATTGAGATTTATCATTGAAAACTCCACGATCATGCCGTTCAGATGGCATAAGGGCAAATTTATGTGCTTCTACTGCTGCGAGATGTTTGATCTGAGCTCCCAACTGAAGGAACATACCTCAAACCATCCCGGTGTCGATATCGCCGAGCTTTTACTCAGATGTGTCTACAGTCACAACAGAACGAAACTAGACTTCTCGGATGCATGGTGCACTATTTGCCCGAAGGAAATCGAAAACTTCGAAGACTACCTCGCTCATATATATGAACACCACGATTTGGAGTTCGAAGAAACCGCCATTAGACCGTTCGACGAGTTTAAATTGTCAGACGACTGCATAAAATGCTCTGAATGCGAGGAGACCTTCAAAAACTTCTCTACACTGCAGTACCATATCCACAAAACGCACGTCAACGTTGACATCGGGAGATACCTTTGCGAGGTTTGCGGAAAGGCATTCACAAAATTGACGAATGTGGACAACCATGTAAAACAGACTCACAGCGTGCAAAAATGCAAGAAATGCAAACAAACTTTCCCATCGAGGTATGCTTTAGACGCACACGTTGACAGCGTGCACAAAAAAGATGCATTAAAATGCCCATTGTGCCCCAAAATTCTGGGTACTAGATACTTGAAAAGACGCCACTTAGCCCTGGTGCATGATCACAAGAGTGCGCAATTAGCATGCGATATTTGCTCAATGATATTCACCAGGAACTGCAAACTGCAGATGCACAAACGCAGAGTGCATTACAAGGAGAAGAACATGACGTGCGAGGTATGCGGCTACGTGGCATTCAATATGGAATCTTTAAAACGTCATATGGTCAGCCACGATGACTGGAGACCCTTCCAATGCGACATTTGCCAGAAGACGTTCCAAAGAAAACCAACATTAAAAATGCATTTAAAAACACATTCGTAGTAAGCTAACTGCGATGGTAGCGATAATGGGGACGATTCATTTACAAATAATATATTAAATAATACCGAAACATCCGTTATTATCTAAAAGTTGGCATTACGTGATCCTTGATCATACGTTTGACGTAGATTATTATTATATTTTACTAAATAATCTTCCAAATACGCTACGCTAATACAAATACAATAAAAATACAATAATGCTAATACTGAAAAATGCCAAGATTTATTTTAATTTTAGATACAGAGAGTCTACCATGAAATTTCGAATGTTCGAACTTATTTTCATGTTTTTGTACGTACCGAAATCGGCCCAGTAAATGGAGCTTAATATACCATTCGTCACAAATCCTAACATAATATGTCTATGTATATATGTATATGTATTATCGTATACAGATATGTATTTATTTTAATTTTAATTGTATGAGTTACTTATATATGTCAACATATTTCATAATTTTTTAATAGAAACATCTATAAGGTTTCCGTCTATTATTGTACGCATACTGCCCGCTAATAATTAATGCTCCTTTCTACTCAGGGTTTGCTGGAAGAGAACTCTAACAGAGTTAAGCTCGCCTGTTGTACATCTTTATTTTATATATATATATATATATATATATATATATATATATATATATATATATATATATATATATATATATGTTGTAATTTTTTCTGTGTACAATAAAGAATAAATAAATAAAATAAAAATAATAGTTCAAAGGAATGATATTTTAACATTTTTAATTTTTTAAGTGATATATGTAATTTTAAATAACAAATTTGTATTTCGTTCGGCTTCGAAATTTCGGAAAATATGGTATGCCCTCTGATTCCATTAGATATGTGACTAGTAAAATCGAGTTTGATCTTTGTGATTGTTATATATGTATGCTTTTATAAATAATTAATATTGGAATGTCCATTTGTTTTAATGTAATTTAATTCTGTAAATTTTAATATTAATAAAATATTTTTTAAAGGAAACCTAGTTAATTTACATTTTGAGAGCAATACTGACGTTATCCCTCGCTAGTGCTCCGTCGCCGTATACCGTAAACGCAGGCAGGGATACCACTCCACTGTCATCTATTAAAAAAAAAATACAAGGAGGAAGGGATTGGCAATAATACATATTGCTGCTTAACCTCAGTCTGATTTCTTGGGCCCCCCTGGAAACCATCATGATTAGTTGCATCAGTATTTCCTAATAAATTCGTCAAAATTTATTTCCATTTCATTTTTATACTATTAAAAAATTCCTAATTGATTAAAACGCATGTTACCTTAGTTATTAGGAGTTTTTGATATATGATAATAAAATAGTAGCGTCCCGGGGGAAAGGGATTGTTAGTAATGGAGACTGAGAATCCCATTGCTAGCAATACACCCAACCAGGTCGACCTCCTCGTGGTTCTCCCTGGAAACTATCATGGTTAATTCCTGATGAATTCATCATGCTGGGCTAACTGGCCAGTTTTCATTCTCATCTATCACCGTTCACTGGTGCTCCGCTAGCGTATCCCATTAGCGCAGGCGGGGTTACCATACCATTTTCACCCATAAAAAAGAAAATAGTTGCGTCCCACTTCCGCTAACGAGGCACCAATGAGGGGTGATAGGTGACAATGAAAAGGCAGGTCAATTAGCCTATCATGATGAATACACCTAGAATTCAGCACGATGGTTTCTAAGAGAAACACGTGGAGATCGATTGACAGGATATATTGCTAGCAATGAAATTGGCAGTCCACATTTCCAACCATCAACAACAATTCACTCTCATCTATCATACCTCACTGGTGCCATGCTATCGTTTTCTACTTGCGCATGTGGTGTTACCATTCCATTATCATCCTTTAAAAAAGAACTTTACCCTCCCCTATCATCCTTCATTAACCTACCAGCATATACGCAGGTAAGATTACCATTCCATTTTCTTCCATAAAAAAATGTTATACTTCTGCAACCAAACCAAATTGTATCCCGTAAGCAACGCATATTAGGCTCCAACCTAAAGGAACTTGAGTTTCCTTCAAAAAAATAAAAAAAAAACCAAAACGTTAAACAAGTAGCAATGTGTTTAACTAAACAGGAACACTCATAAAAGATGTAGATAAAAGATAAAGATATAGTTAAAACATAATTGTCATCGTTTATACAATTACCTAATTGCCGGGCCTATACGGAGTGATAATTATTTCGTTTATTTCAGATCCGACACCCAGCTCAGACGCCAGCCTGCAATTTAGACACAACCTGATCAAACTTCTCACTGTACTATTAGAAAACACCACAGCAATGCCATTCCGGTGGTGCGCCAATAAATACATGTGTTTCTTTTGCTGTTGCACCTTCATAGACAGCTCGAAACTGAAAGAACACACCAGAGAAGAACACCAAAGTCCCAAATTGAAGAACGTCCTTAAAAGATGTATAAGAAATAGCACGATCAAACTAGATATATCCGAAATAGCTTGTAAAAAATGTCCAAAAACAATAAAGAATTTAGATGATTTTCTGGAACACGCGGCGGTGGTTCATGAATTGGTATTTAATAGGGAAGTCAGTGCACACGTGTTTACGTTCAAACTGTCAGATGAAGGTATGAATTGCCACGAATGCGGGCAAAGTTTCCGATTCTTCGGTCCATTGTTAAAGCACGCGCATCGTTACCACAATAAATCCAGTCCGTTCCTTTGTGAAATTTGTGGACGAGGTTTCGTCGGCAGGGCGAACGTGGACAGCCATATAAAACATACTCATTCAGGGACACAGAACCAATGCAAAAAATGCCAGGATGTATTCCCTACACTGCACTCTCTGAAGACACATTATGAGAAGGTTCATAAGAGAATGAAATGTCCGAAGTGTCCAGAAGTTCTCGGTAGTAGATATTTGAGGAAACGACACTTGGCATTGGTACATGATGTTCAAACGTCCCAATTCCATTGCGACGAATGCCCTCGAATGTTTACAGAGAAGAGCAAACTGGTGCAGCATAAGTCAAGGATACATCTGAAAGAGAAGACTGTGACATGCGAAATTTGTGGCTTTAAGGTTTTCAATAAAGAATCTCTGAGGAGACATATGGTTAGGCACGACGATTCAAGGCCGTTCGAATGCGAGATCTGTAAAAAGGCGTTCCAAAGAAAGAAGACCTTAGACTTCCATAGAAGAATACATACAAACGACAAGAGATACGTTTGTAAAGATTGTGGGAAGGCATTCGTGCAGGTGACCAGTTTGAAGTTGCACATTCGAGTTCATCATTCGACTATTAATGAGAGTACTACGTGGAATTGAATTATTTACAGTATTTATTTTATTTTTAGTGAATATAATATAATTCCTATATTTTTTTTTCTTTTTTGTCTAATCATCATCATCGTCATATTATTCGTTATCTGTCCACTACTGAACATAAGGCTCCCTGAAAAAGAGGACTTTGCTTATAGTTGCCACGCTTGGCAGATGGATTGATAACCACAGTTAAACTTTGATGATGTTTTAATAAGGACGCAGCTACTCATCCCTTGACCACTCAATTCTCTTAGTCGCCTTTTATGACACTTTCCGGAAAGGAAGCCCATTCTCCCTCGAAGATTCGTTATGTAATAATTATATAAGTATTTGCTTTATATATCTTTTTGATATAATTCTCGGTCTGATAATATTATATCTATAAATTTGGCAAATTATGTAAAATAAATCTTAATATGATTCATGTACAATGGGCTTTCTTTATCATGTCCATGGCTATAACAGTAGAATAATGTCCTTTGGTGATGTCCCTTAATAAATTTTTTACGCCTTCACAGGCAATGATAGAAAAAAATTAGTTTGTCGCCTTTTATTGAAATCAATGGCGTATTTAATTTCTAGGTGGAGACAGATCTCTTATACTAAAAAGTGATATGTACTTTTAGACATTTCTTCATAGCTAAAAATTTTGCCTCTGTCCTTGAGATGTGCACAAAACAATTCCACAGAGAGCATGAAACCAAACCCCACCACCTCAACCCCTCCCTCTAAGGCCATGTATATATCATTCATGATGATTAATGATGACTGAGCTACCCCGGAGCAAAGTGCAAATGGTGTCCGGTAACTCTCCTGTCGGGGGGAAGGGATCGTTAGTAATGCGGACTACCAATCCCATTGCTAGCAATATACCCCATTATGTCGACCTCCACGTGGTCCTCCTTGAAAACAATCTTGTTGAATTCTAACTGTATTCATCACGATAGGCTAACTAACCTGCCTTTACATTTTCATCTATCATCCCTCATTGGTGCCCCGCCAGCGTATACCGTTAGCGCAAGGCGGGGCCATTCCATTATAATTACAGATGGGCAAAGCACCGGGTTTAAACCCGGTGCTTTGGTAAAAACCCAATAAACACCCATAAACTCCCATAATCACCCAAAAAAATAGGTTTTTACGTATTTTTTTGAAAATATGTAAGTAATACCAATAAATTATTTTTATAAATTGTATTGATCAATTCTACAATATTAAATAAAACGTTAACTAATAATATTTCAGGAAATTTTAAAAATCTATATATAATAAAATGAAAGTAATTAATTTTCAGTGTTTTCATGTTGCAGTTGATCAACATGTTGGCCTTTTGCTTCCCGTAGATACTTTAAAATTTCTTCATAACACCTCGTTCGCACACATGGCCGTATATATTTAAATTCTTGAGCCACTAACAGTCCGAAATACTCATTTCTTTTATCCTCTTCTCCATAAATTAAGCATTTAGAACAGTTTGTTTCTTCTTTCAGTAAATTTTCTTTTACTTTATCCTGGTTTTTTTCTTTGTTGCGACGACGCTGGGTAAATCATCTGGACACTGGGTCTCACTATCGCCAAATATATTTGGAGATCGGCTTCGGCTACGGCTTGGCAGACATTTTTTTCTTTCTACAATTTTAAATTAAATTTATTAGAATAAATGCTTCGAACACACGCGATCTAAGTACCTTTTGTGTTTATTATACCTTACCTACCTAGGTATAAAAAGAGTACTTACGTAGATTTTCTTTTATTAACTGTTTTATACGAAGATCTTGATCTCTCAAATTAGCATCCATTTTACTTCCAGTGATTATCAACTAAATTAATAATCCACAAAGTATTAAATAACGTTTTTATGAAATATTTAGCACAAAAACAATACCCTTTAAATATCGATCGTCAGTAACTGTGGCTGACTTACCTATATTCTAGCAAGCAGGACTGCCAGATGTGAAGGGGAAATCCCCAATAAATTGTTGCATGTGACTGATGATGTGAGCATGTTCGTTTCATAATAAAAATGTTGCCAGGTAACCAAAAAGTCGTATGTTTTTGTGCGAATTACGATCATAATCTTTACGATCGTACATTAAAAAATAGACAAATAATAGTATGAGTACGATTTAAATCGTATATCTGTCAACCCTGCTAGCAAGACAGCGACAAAATCACGTTGCATAACAATGTAGCCCAAGCTTATATCTTATGAAATATACGGAAGAGATACGGACTTAGAAAAAACAGAAATGTTGTTCTTTGTGGAAGTCATTGATGAAATTCTATGTATTTTAGCCCGCAAACTTTCTTCAAACAAAAACAGCGCCATCTAGTATCGAGTTCTGTAATTATCTCTTTGTTTATGGATTTGAAGTAAGACCGCCACGCATGCAATACATTATGACTGGGGATTCCCCTATTCGTCGACGCTGAATATGAGGCGACGACAATCACTGTCAAACGTGTTCACTATTACTCTGACTCTGGTAACGTGACTTCCTGGTAACGTGTTAGGTAGGAAAAGCAGTAAAAAAGTGCATATTAAGGGAGCAGATTTGAAATAATATTTATACTTAACAAGAAATAATTAAAGGTAAGTGGATTTTTGAATGATACAATTATATCATGATCACTTAACAATTTTAACTTAAAATTAGATGTATTATTACAAGCTTTTATTTAGCTTGCGTTATGTAAATAAAAGTATGTAGGTATGTTCGTATGTTGATGCAATTATCCTCAATCCTCAACCGACTGGGATAAAATTTTCCATACACGTTTATTTTGGATGATAGTGCATAGTTAGCTGAGAGTCGTCATTGGATAATAATGGTGGATAGCCTAAGATGTGTACTAGATATTTATTTTTAACATAATATGCGTAAGTACCTAATCGAATTAAAGAAGTTGCTGAGAAAAATACAGAACAATACGATAATAAACTAGCGTCTGCGTTTAATCCTCCGAGGAGATGTAATTTTACAAAGGTTTTTTGTATTTATTTTATTATTTTTTTAATAAATTTATTGTAAATAACAAGAAATAATCATTGTAAAAAAATAGGCACTCTATTGTTGAATTTTCGTCAGACCAACTAATCATCGTTCATTTTTTTAGGTTCAATGGGGAGACCTAAAGATTTACGCATATGGGAGCACTACCGTACTTTACCAAACAAGTCTGTTTCTTGCAAGCTTTGTAATAAGGTCTACAAATTCAGTAATGCTGCCAAAATGCTTCAACATCTTATCACTTGTCCAAAATCTCCAGAAACATTAAAAGACTCTATGAAACTTATAAAAGATAGCTCGTCCAAAACCAAAATGTCTGGACTGTCAGAGATAGAGACAAATGATTCTTTTATAAGCCCCTCGTCGTCTGCTAACACTACAATAAATGCTGAGTTTCAAGACACCGATGATCATATAAAAACAGAATTAGCGAGAGCTATATTTGTAACAGGGACGCCATTATCGATGGTGCAACATCCTTTATGGATACAATTTTTCGAAAAATTGCAACCAAAATTTAAAATACCTTCACGTAAAGCTTTAGCGACAAAATACTTAGATAAAATATATAGAGAAATGCGTTTTGAGTTAAATGAGGAACTAAATGCTTGTAGTTACTTACACATTCAGTGCGATGGCTGGTCTAATTTAAGAAATGAAGGAATAATAAACTTTCTTATATCAAAACCTCAACCTGCATACGTTAAAAGTTTGAATACAGAAAGTAATCCTCACACTAGTGAATACCTTAGCCAAGAAGTTGAAAAAGTAATGAAAGTGTATGGAGCAAATAAGTTTCTTGTACTTATTGGCGATAACGCTAGAAATATACAAAAGGCATTCGAATTAACAAAACTCAAATATCCACATGTTGTTCCTCTCGGTTGCTGTGCACATATCCTTAACTTGTTGTGCCAAGATATTGTAAAGATACAAGAAGTAACTGTGTTTATTATGCAAGCCATAAATATAATAAAAACTGTTAAAAGGAGTCAACGATTAAGTTCCTTGTTGATAAAATCAAGGCAGGGTGAAGATTCTACACAAACACTAAAATTGCCTTGTGCTACAAGATGGGGAAGTCATGTTACTTCGTTAAAAAGTTTGAAAGCAAATAAGATAGCTTTGCAAATATTAACAGTTAGAGAAGATGTGGTAATTTCAAGAGATATTAAAGATTTAATTCTAAGTGATGATTTCTGGACGAAGACAGGGGAATGTATAAGTATTTTGGAACCAGTCACTGAAAGCATATTTTACTTAGAGAGCGACCAGAATCGTTTGCATCGCACATACATTACATTTAGAGATGTACAAGCTAAGATACGTTTTGCATTAAATGAGATTTCGACATTGAGCGAAGAAAGCAAACAGCAGATTCTAACATCAGTATCTTCAAGATGCAATATGGCAATGAGGCCAATACATTTTGCAGCATATATTCTAGACCCCAGGACTCTAGGAGTCGAACTTACTCAAGAGGAAGAACTTAAGGGTATGGAGTTTATCTACAATTTAAGCCAACACTTAAGTTTGTCAAATGTAATGGCAGATTTGGCGTGTTATAAAGCTAAAGAAAACTTTTGGGCCAGAGGATTTGTATGGAGCTCATTAGATAGCATTGAGCCCCTAATATGGTGGAAAGGTATTTGTGGTTCCACTGAGTTAAGCAAAGTAGCGATTCGTATTCTATCAGCTCCCTGTACTTCGGCAGCCACTGAGCGTTCCTTTAGTATCCAAGGCTACATACATAATAACAAAAGAAATCGACTTACAACTGAAAGAACTGAAAAAATTTCATTCATTTGTTATAACTGGAATCTTAAACATAAAGCTGAATGCGAGGACATTCAGTTTAATGAAGAAAATACCTTAGAAGCTTTCATTGAGCAAGTAAATGAACATAACAGTTTAGACGAAATAGAGCCTATCGAACCTATACAATTCATCGCTTGTAATAACTCTGAATCTGACAGTGATTGACTGTAGTTTTACATTTTACTTTCATCTCTTTCTTAATAAACTCAAAATCAAATTAAAAGTTTTTTATTCTGTAGGCTGCATAATAATATTGTCTATGTCCAGTATAGTGGACGTCTTGCGGCTGAGATGACGATGATGAAGTACAAAATCATAAACACCCAAAAATTTGGGTGTTTATGGGGTTTAAACCCAATAAACCCAAAACACCCGGTTTTTACCCACCAGACTTTAAACCCACCCAGGTGGATTGCCCATCTCTAATTATAATCAATTAAAAAAAAATCTTCCCTGTTGATGACGAGAAACAGATGTTCATCGAAACCTATAACTCTTACATTTCGGCGTAAATATAACTTCGAATGGCAACACTGCTGAAAAATTGACAGTGACAGTTATAAATAAATGTCAAATTCCAGACAAATTATCTTTTTGAAGACTAGGCAGCATGGTCTCCGACCTTAGCCTGTTCCAAACGGAACAAACGTACTAAAAAAAAAAAAAAATAAATGTCAATTTTAATACAATTTGTGCTTAATTTTTTGGTACCAACTCGGGGCTTATTATTTATAAATAAAAAAATTACTTTTATTCCCAAATCCTGTGTTTAAAACTATATATTAATTTATGTAATAATTACTAAAGAATGGTTTTAAATAAAACGATAATTATGAAAAAATCATAATATTCCTTTTTCAAATAAATTAAACCGCGTATTTTGTAAATAGTGTATAACATGGAAATAAAGAAAAATACTATTTATGGCCAATGCCGGTGTTGTCTAGCTAAGGGAAACCACAGAGGTATCATGCAGGAGTATTACAGTAACGGAATACGCGAAGTTTATTTTGATATTTTCATGGACTGTTTTAATTTGTTTGTAAGTACTTGATTTTTTTTTAAATTTTCCTAGAAATCCGCCCGGGCCTAGGAAAGTTTTTTTAAAAATAACGTTGCATACAGCCCAAGTTAGTTGTAATTTTCTATAAGTAAATTCTTTAAATTGGTTAAGTAAGTTTTGTACTTATTCATTAAAAACAAACAAAAAAATGTTTGCATAATATTACTAGTTATTCGCCCGACCTTGCTCAGATAAATAGAAAGATAAATTAGTTTTTTATATTACTTCGGGTTACTTTATTGTAATTTTCATTAGTATTTTTTTTTTAACGTTTTTGCCTATGTTACTGGCTGTTTTCTATATATATATATACTTATTGCACTAAAACATACAGTAACAACAATAAGTTAATAACAATGTTAGCAAATGCGAACTTATCTCTAAAAGAGATCTCTTCCAGTCAACCTAACGCAGTGGCATAGCAAGTAGTAGTGCAAAATGGAAATTAAATATTTACATAAATTGTAAAGAATTTTTAAAATTGCTTGAGTAGTTTTTTGTTTATATAAACAGACAAATATAGAAAAAACAAAGTCTTTCTCATTTATAGATATTTTAGACTATTTCATATAAAAAAAAGTGTCTCTGATGGAAAAGTGTGATATATCATCCCACTTTTCCATCAGAGACACTTTAAGAAATTTATGTCTTTTTATCTTATCTATTTATCCTCCTTTCCACTTTGGCTGTTGCTGGAAGAGAACTCTATCAGAGTTAAGCTCGCCTCTGTACATTTGTTTACCTCTGTCATATTCTTATAACTAATGTGTACAATAAAGAATTAAATAAAAAATAAATGAATATTTTTTAAGGAACTTTTTTATGAAGTGATAATGGAATCACTAGTGCCCCCCCAGCATATACCGTTAGCTCAGGCGAGGTTACCATTCCATTATCATTCATTAAAAAAAATACAGTTTTATTTACCTCTTATAATTGCTCTCGGCTCCGGATGTTTCACCTCACTGCTTGCACATCCCGCAGACTTATTACCCAAACTAAAAAAACAATAATCCTATTGTTCCAGCTATCAACAGATACAACGCTAAGCACGCTGATTTGCTCGTCGTGTGTGCAGCGTCTCCGCGACGCGAACAGTTTCCGCATGATGGTGGTGGCGACGGAACGGCAGCTGCTGTCGCAACTGAACGTTGGTGATGGGAAACAGACTGTATTTGTGAATGGTAAGTCCTCTGTGATTCTCTTGCTGTCATAAAATGTGCCCTTAGTGAGTACTGTGAGATGCATTCCTAGTATGTGTTGCGAAATGTGCCCTGTATTGTGAAGTATGCCCCTAATGAGTATTGAGAGATATGCAACTAGTGTGTACTGTAGGATCGCTCCTAGAGGATATTACATAGTGTGTGTTGTGGGATATGTCTCTAAAGAGTATGGGGAGATGCTTAATTAATAAGTGTTGTAGAATGTGCCCCTAGAATGCTTCAATTGAGTTTTGGGTGATGGGCAACTTTCACTAATCATGGTCGTAGTTGTTGTGAAATGTGCCCCTAGTGAGTGTTGTGAAATGTGCCCCTAGTGAGTGTTGTGGAGTGTGTCCCTACAGGGTGTTATGTGTGTTTAGTTAAAGTTCTAGGATATGCCCCTAGTGTGTATTTTTTTTTTATTTTATATGAACACATAAAACAGATCAAAACCATAAAAAACTTAAGTAATAATAACATTTGTGATTCGGCTAGGTTATAATCCAATTACATTATGTGCACAGCTTGAGTAATTCATTAAAAGCAAACATATAAAATAAAATAAATACTTAAAATGTTATATAAATATATAAAAGACCAAACTAACCATGACTTGAGGCGGATTCTGGAATGGAGTAGGTGCTTTGGCATTCGGATTAATCCAGATAAAACGCAAACGATTATTATTGGTAGCCCCGCTTACATATCCAAGTTAGATATATCTAAATTACCTTCAGTGGAGTGTAATGGTGTTTGTGTCCCTTTTAGTGAATCTGTCAAGAATCTTGGTATTTACTTTGATTCCACTCTATCTTGGAGGTACCAAGTGACCGAGGTTAGCAGGAAGATGTTCGCTGCTTCTGCGTCGCTTCGAAGACTTAGAAACTTTCTACCTACAGCCACTAAAATTTCCCTAGCTCAATCCCTCCTACTCCCTATCCTTGACTATGCAGATGTCGCTTATCCAGATCTAAATATTGATATGCTAAATAAATTAGAACGACTTCAAAACCTCTGCATACGATTTGTTTTTGGTCTGCGCAAATTTGATCATGTATCGCACTATCGCTCTCAGCTTAAGTGGCTTCCCATACGCCGGCGAAGAGATTTACATACCCTCTCTTTGTTACATAATATTCTTTTTAACCCTGGTGCACCTGCCTATCTTAAAGAACGTTTTAAATTCATCTCCTCTACCCATACTTTAACATTACGTTCTTCCGAAAACCTTTCCCTTATGACACCTGCTCATTCCACTAAATTTTATCACAATTCCTTCACTGTTTCTAGCATTAGGTTATGGAATTCATTGCCTGTTGTTATTAGAAGTACAAAATCCATTGATTCTTTCAAACGACAAGTGAAAGATTATCTTTTCTCTATCTGATTTTTCTTCATTTAAAAAATTGGCATTCTTTATTTATGTATTTATATAATTATTTATTTTATGATAGTTTGTTTTCCTTGTGCCTATAATTATTAATATGTATCTTAGCATTGGGTACATATTTGACATATATGCATGGGATTATATAATTTTGTTTGATTGATAGGTATATGTATGTGTGTATGTATATATGTATGTGTATGTATATGTATGCGTGTGTATGTGTATGTATATATTTGTATGTGTATATGTATGTGTATATGTATGTGTATATGTATGTATATATGTATATAATTTTTATATATTTTTAATTTGCAAAAGATGCTTTTTTTTAATTATAAAGCACTATTATACCTACTTGTACAACAATTAGTCCATTACCTTAAGGTTGTCTTGAAAAGATTGCTCTCAGCAATAAGACCGCCTTACTGTACTTATACAATCGTATCGTTATGTTTGTAAATTGTCTTGTTTATTTCCTATATTGTATAATGCAAATAAAGTATACTCATTCATTCATTCAAAAGACAAAACTATATAAACAAACACATTTTCAATCAATTTCTACAAAATAGAAAACTAGTTCTTCCTAAAAAGTAAATATTTTGTACAGAATACGTTGATGGGATTGAGATTGGATGTGTATTGGGAAATATGCCCTTATAAGTTGTGTGATTTGCCCTTAAATGTGTGTTAAACATATAAATTAGATAGAAAATAAATTTAATGTATTCATGTATGTAGTATATATATATAATCATAATGTGCAGTAGTTGGGGGGAAAGGGATTGTTAGTAATGAGGTCAAATAGCCCTATTACTAGCAATATACCCTGTCAGGTCGACCTCCACGTGATTCCCCCTGGAAACCATCGTGACTAATTCTAGTTTAATTCGTCAGTATGGGCTAACTGGCCTTCATCTTCATCTGTCATCCCTCACTGGTGCCCCGCCAGCGTATACCAATAGCGCAAAAGGGGTTACCATACCATTATCATCCATTAAAAAAAAAAAAAAAGTGCAGTAGTTCTCCATTGTATTGTATGTATCGTGAATTGTAAGTCAATATCGATACGTACGTGTAATTGTTTATTTTCAACAATTTTCAATTTTTTTCACTACATAATTAAATTCCTGTTTTTCCAAAGGTTGAATACGAATGCTATATAGTATTAAGTCCGTCTTTTGTACGAGAATTTTTTTACCAGAGGGAGACTTTGTACAAAAGCCGATTGCTTGAGTACCTCTGTCCCATTCGTGTTTCAACCGTGAAGCAGCTGTGGTTGCATGGCTGTGTTTCGGTTTGAAGGGTGGGATATGGCGTGAATTTACTGGGTACAGAGGAATAACACCTGAGTTCTCAGGAATGGCAACGCATGGGGGGTATTATGGGTGAAACAGTCTCTCTGTTATGTCTACAGTACTGCTCATGTTTATAGCCGACGGTTACCACTTTCCATCAGCTTGTTTGCCATTCTGAGTTGCTAAAAAAAGTAATTCTTTAGTCTTTCCCTTCCTCTGCATGCATGATAATTAAATAAAAAAAAAACTATCACAGATTATACTGTGAATATGTGTAACTATCACGAAATAGATTGTAGTACTGCATTGCCACACCTGACTAAGGCCTCTATAAACTGTCATATATCTGCCATATCCCACCTATCCGACCATAACACAATCATACAAGTACAGCTGTTTTTACTGCAAATCGTCCGTATTTGGTTCGCAGTACCAGTCGGAGAACACTCAGAACACAGCGAGGTACCCATCAAAACGGAGCAGGTAGAAGATGTGAAAGAGGAAGCCAGTGATGCAGAGTTTGAACGGGACACGCCGGCTGAGGAGTTCGCTGTGGAAGACGACGATTCTGGTAAGGAACTTCTAATGCTTGGCCATGGGCGAAAGGGATTGTTAGTAAAGGGGGTATAAAGTTCCCTCTATTAGCAATATGTCCTATCAGGTTGACTTCCATCATCATGGTTAATTCATGTTTACTTGGTCCGTATGGACTGACCGCCATGAAATATTTTCCCAAATGACGTGGCCAAACGAAATACAAGTTTGATGTTAAAGTCACATAATACATACCGTTTAAAAGTATTAAAAATGTTAAAATATCGTTTCTTTGGATCTTTATGGTAGAATTTATAACGAAGGAAATGTTAAGCTTTTTATTAACGTAAATACAAAATAAGGCCTGAAAATTGAAAAGTTCATTTCATGGTAGACAGACCCTTGTATTCGGGAGAAAGGAATTGTTAGTAATGGGGTCTAACTGCCCCATTGCTAGCCATACACCCTATCAGGTCGACCTCCACATGATTCCCCCTGGAAACCATCGTGGTTAATTCTAGTACAATTTGTCTGTGGGCTAACTGGCCTGCTTCATCCTCACCTATCATCCCTCATTGATGCCCCGCCGGTGTATACCGATAGCGCGGGCGGGGTTACTATTTCATTATCACCCATAAAAAAAACTTACGGAATTGTTTCATTAAAATTTGTTCAGAAATCGATTCAGTAGTTTAGTTTTAAAATCAAAACAACTGATTTTGTTACAAGAAAAAAAAAATTGAATATTGTTTTTTTTTGTTAAACTAATTTTAGTTTTTTTTTTATGCAACTTAAAATGCCAAACAAGGTAACGGCCCACCTGATGGTAGTAGTGGTAGCCGTCGCCTATAGACATAAGCAATACCATGGACATTACAGAGAATACTGTTTCGCTCATGATAACCCCCATGCGTTGCCATTCCTGAGGACTCAGGTGTTATTCCTCTGTACTCTGTAAATTCACTGCCATATCCCACCCTTCAAACCGAAACACAGCCATGCAAACACAACTGCTTCATGGTAGAAACACGATCAGGACAGAGGTACCCAAGCAAACGATTTTTGTACAAAGTCTCCCTCTGGTAAAATCTGATTTAATTATATAGATAGTTATTTTTTCTTTTTAGATTCAGAGGTCGAGAGCAAGGAAGACGAGTTCCTAGCTGCAGAAACGGCTCTGCTAGCGAGGTTCTCGGGCTCCCTGAAGCCACTGCCCACCAGGCAAGACCTGTACACCAAGTGTCCATTTTACGTCAAACATTTGGATTTGTTTAAAGGTATGATAACTAGATGATTTCTATATTTGCATTTATTTAATATATTTGTCTCTTTCTTTCTTTAATAATAGTAATCTTACTTTTTTTATTATTGGATGAAAATGGAATGGTAACCCTGCCCGCGGTAACGGCGGTATACGCTGGCAGGGCACTAGTGAGGGATGACAGGTGACGATGAAGGCAGATCAGTTGGCCTAAGTTGACGAATTCAATAGGAACTAACCACGACGGTTTCCAGGAGGAACCACGTGGAGGTCGACCTGGCATATTGCTAACAATGGGGCTGCCAAAACCCAATATTAATATTTGCGTGATAGAGTCCGAAACGAAGATATCCGCAAAGTAACCGACATAGCCCGGAGGATAAGCAAGCTGAAGTGGCAATGGGCTAGTTACATAGCTCGAAGAACCGACAACCGATGGAAGAAAGGTTCTTGAGTGACGACCACGTATGGGTAAACGTAGTATAGGACGACCCCCTACTAGATGGAATGACCATTTGAAATGCGTTGCAGGTAGTCAGTGGATGCAGGTAGTTTTTTTTAATGGATGACTATGAAATGGTAACCCCACCTGCGCTATCGGTATACACTGGCGGGGCACCAGTGAGTGGTGATAAGTGAGGATGAAGCGGGTCAGTTAGCCCATCGTGACGAATTTATCAATAATTAACCATGATGGTTTCCAGGGGGAACCGCGTGGAAGTCAACCTGATAGGGCAGTCAGACCCCATTACTGACAATTTCTTTCCCCCCGAATGCAGGTGGTTCAAGACCGTTACTTGTGACAGGCTATGGGGGAGGCCTATATCCAGCAGTGGACGGATAATGACCTAAAATGATGATGACGATACAATAAAAACCGTGGCAAATAATCGATGGAGTGATATTTAAATTACATTAATAAATCTCCTTTAACCAAAGCTTGTCTGTAAGAGATCGCCCTAGTGATAAGACCGCCTTTTGTACCTTTACGTGTATATTTCAATCTGTATTTATGTCACTATATTTATTATATTATATTATTCATTATATATTATTCAATTGTCATTGTATATTTTTGTTTCTGGTGCAATAAAGAGTTAAATAAATTCCATTTTCCAGATGTGGTCATCCTTCCGAGAATGATCGCGAAACGCCTAGAAGAAGACAGTAGAAAGTTCAAAGTGAACAGTAAAAGGTCGTTCGTGACCGAGAAAATGGCGCACATAACGAACGCGTCCGCCATTCTGGAATGTTCCAACGTGATACCTTTTAGAAGCAAAAGCAGGGCCGGCTTCCCTTGCTTCTACTGCAGGAATGTATTCGAGAACCTCGACAAATTGAAGGAGCACACGAGAAGTCACAAGAAGAGTGAAATCAAGAGAATACTGAGCAACTACGGGGCGGAATGCCTAGTCGTCTACGCCGATATATCGAACCTGAGTTGTGCGTTATGCGACACAAGTCTACCCAACTTGAACGAACTGAAATTGCATCTAATCAGAGTACACAATAAGAAAATTTTCACAGATTACAACGACCGAGTCATACCGTTCAAGCTGTCCCAAGACGGCCTGTACGAATGCCAAATATGCGGATTCAACTTCGAGACGTTCGGCTCGATAGAACGCCACATGAATGTCCATTTCAGGAACTATGTGTGTCAGGACTGCGGCACAGGGTTCGTGACGAAATATCGTTTGAAAGTGCACAGTAAAAGCATGCACGCCGGTGGAAATTTCCCCTGTGACATATGCAAGAAGGTGTTCACGACACACCAAAAACAGAAGAACCACGTGGACGCCGTACACAAAATGGTGAAGAGATTCAAGTGCACTCGCTGCCCGGAACGGTTCTCGGAGTATTTCAAACGGCAGAAGCATATGGTGGAAGTGCACGGAGTGGCACCGTTGCAGTACAAATGCAATGTGTGCGATAAATCGTTCGATAGGAGATACACACTGTCCAGACATATGAAACGTGATCATTTAGAGGAGAGGGACTTCCAATGCCAGCTTTGCGCGTACAGATGTTTCACGAATAACGAGCTAAGGGTGCACATGGTAAAGCATAACGGGGAAAGGATATTCGAATGTTCCGTATGCAAAAAATCGTATGCAAGAAAGAAAACGCTGAAGGAGCATATGCGCATACATAATAATGATAGACGCTTCGCGTGCGCTATATGCGGACAGGCGTTCGTACAAAAGTGCAGTCTCAAAGGACATTTAAAGACTCATCACCATGAATACAGTTTGCAATAAATTATTTTAATCGATTTTCGAAGTGTTATTTACAAAAATATACCCTTTAATGGATACATCATCTTCCTACCCTTATCCCAATTATTATATGGGGTCGGCGTAATATGTTTTCCTCTTCCATTCTTTTCTATTCCCAGTCATTTCCGCATTCACTCCCATTCTGGCCATATCGTATGGATACATGGTATAATAATCTTATAAGTAGATTTTTTTTAAATGGGTGACTATGGAATGGTAACCCCGCCTGCGTTATCGGTGTACGCTGGCGGGGCACCAGTGAGGGGTGATAGGTGAGGATGAAGGCCGGTCAATAGGTCGATATTTTTATTGCTAGATAGCGCTTTTTATAGAAATTGCAATTTTCAATCTTTCAGTAGGATGCTTTATTTTGTAAAAAAAAAAACTACGAAGGCTTAATGCCAAAACAACGATGATAACGTACCTATTTTTTTTTTATAATGGTGATAATAGAATGGTAACCCCACCCGTGCTATCGGTATACACCGGCGGGGTACCTGTAAGGGATGATAGGTGAGGATGAAGCAGGTTAGTTAGCCCATCTTGACGAATTCAACAAGAATTGTTCACGATAGTTTCCAAGGGGAACTACGTGGAGAACGACCAGATAATGCATGTTGCTAGCAATGGGGCTGTCAAACTCCATTGCTAACCACCTCTTTCCCCCCAACGTACATATTTGGATGTCATACTTTACTCTGTGATTCTCTTAGTAATATAACTCTAAGAACAAAGAACTACATAGAAGGAATGATAAAATAAAAACTGTAAATCATATGATTGATCAATCTCTCCTTTCTTCTTATGTAAATACAATTAGTAAAAAGAGGACGAAAGATACACAATTTATTGCTATTTTCTCAATTCATAGCAGGCTAGTGTATAGAAAATGTTATACGGCCGTATAACCCTACCCAATTTAGATACAACCTCAAGCAAGTTTAAGTTTAGCAGCATACTTTCTGAATAAACTGTGTCAAATATATAATCTAGTAATGTAAATAAACAAAATTTTTACGTACACATTTTCAAAACAGAAAAATAGCAAATGATGGTGTAGCTTTCATCCTCTTTTTACTAATTATACTTGCATAAGAAGAAAGGAGGCAACCATATGATTTAGAGTTTTTATTTTATCATTCCTTCTATGTAATTCCTTGTTTTTAGCTATAATTGCCCAATCTAGCAGGATGTGGGCCGCTTATCATAACGGTAAAATCGTACGTTATCGTGAAGTTGCACGTAATAATAAAAAAAAACGCCCATAAGTACCTATGCAATTCATGTGAGTAATAAACAGTCACCTTATTTGCATTCCAGGTCGTATATAATTAAAAATATAAAATGTCAAAACTGAAAAATACTTAGAACTTATACTATATCTGTGGAAAAAATAACAGAAATATATTATTCTCTATCTCTAAAATCTTTTTTTTTTTTAGAATGGTAACTTTATTCAAAAATAGACAGCTTAAACTTGACATTGTCATAATAAATAAATTACATTTTTAAATTTTTTGATCATTAAATTTGTAATTCGTGTATTTTTACTTTTTATACTTTCAAAATGAAATCTATTATATTAAACTGTCCACAATGTTAACTCTCTCAAAAACAAAAGGTCGAAGCACCTTTTTATTGAATAGACGTCAATCCGAAAGAATAGTCAATTACTTTGTTTTTCTCTGATTCAAAATTCGAATGTTTTGAATTTTTTTACCAATATTTTTCTTAAAAATGGATACATATATCGTCACTAACTACGGACAGTGTCGATGTTGCTTGACAAAAGGAAACCACAAAGATATGATGAAGGAATATTATAGGAATGGTATACGCGAAGTGTATATTGATATTTACGCGGAGAGTTTCGGTGTGTATGTAAGTATCTATACTATTGGTATTTAGCTTGAGATATTCCCTAATATTTTCGTAGTGGAAGGGAAGGGATGATGCTATATAAACATGATATAAAAAGTACTATAAAATTTAATATAAGAGCAAATACAGAAAGCGACCATTGTTTCTAAGGATTGTCAACTTAATTTAAAAACTATAATTTTTTAAATTACAACCGGCCAGTAGTTTACAGCTGTATGAAAATAAACCTATTTCTAACATATACAATTTATAAATATTATCTTTTAAAGTATAACTTTTTAATCACTTCACACGCACAACGGCCCAAATGAGAGGCTAAGTGCGGAAAACAGAGTCTTTCTTACATTACAATCACTAGTTTTTACTGATGAATTTTGCATTTCTAGAATAAACAAAAGCCTATATATTCTGTATAGTAACAAATATATAACATATTTAATAGTGATAGACTGGGGGGAAAGGGATTGTTAGTAATGGAGACTGAGAATTCCATTGCTAGCATTATACCCAACCAGGTCGACCTTCTCAAGGTTCTCCCTGGAAACTATCATGGTTAATTCCTGATGAATTCATCATGATGGGCTAACTGGCCTGTTTTCATTCTCATCTATCACCCTTCACTGGTGCTCCGCCAGCGTATCCTGTTAGCGCAGGCGGAGTTACCATACCATTTTCACCCATCAAGAAAAAAAAAAAAGATATGCCTCCATAGTCCAATACAACCCCAACAATAACCAAAGCATAACTGCGGTTGCCAACCAGTCTGCCAAGTGTGGCCACTACTGGCAAAACCCCTCGAGAGGAGGCCTATGTTCAGCAGTGGATGGTTAATGTCTGATATGAGGATGCAGTGGTATTTTTTTATTATTTAAATGTTACAATAGTATTTTTTTTTTATACAACTTAGAATGGCAAACAAGTTGATGGTCCACCTGATGGAAAGTGGTAACCGTCACCTATAGACATGAGCAGTACCATGGACATAACAGAGTATACTGTTTTGCCCATGATACCCCACATGCGTTGCCATTCTTGCCATTCTCTGTACCCTGTAAATTCACGCCATATTCCACCCTTCAAACCGAAACAACAATCTAATCTAGTCTTACATTCCAACAGCCGTCTCGTAATCCGAATTTAACAACATTAATATGCACACAATGCATAGAGAGGTTACAAGATGCGAGTGATTTCAAGATGATGGTGATCAATTCAGAACAACAGCTCCTGGACGCTCTCAACAATATTGGTGATGAAGACAAAGTATTTGTATTTGCTGATGGTAAATATTTTTTTTATACAAGGGTCATTTGAAAAGTTCTTAGCCTAACATACTTAATGAAACCACACCATTTTGAGTTTATTTTTATTTTTCAACATACTCTCTGCCGAGTTCAAAACACTTTTTCCATCGACCCGGTAAGGCTTCGATGCCCGTTTTAAAAAATCTTCGTCTAACTCCTCAAAATAAGCGTCCATGGCGGCTATGACCTCTTCATTTGTCACTGCACGATGTTCAATTTTATCCATTTTCAAAAATAGCTCTGACTTGATTTATGGTATTACATGTAAACGAACAATGAGTTATTGTGAATAAACTAAACTGTGCATACTGGGGGGAAAGGGATTGTTAGTAATGGAGACTGAGAATCCCATTGCTAGCAATATACCCAACCAGGTCGACCTCCACACGGTTTCCCCTGGAAACTATCATGGTTAATTCCTGATGAATTCATCATGATGGGCTAACTGGCCTGTTTTTATTCTCAACTATCGCCCTTCACTGATGCTCCGCCAGCGTATCCCGTTAGCGCAGGCGGGGTTCACCGTACCATTTTCACCTATCAAAAAAAAAAACTGCATACTTATTGCTAAATAATATAACTACAAAATGAGGGTAGTTATAAAAAAAAACCAATGACTTTAACTATGTTAGGCTAAGAACTTTTTAAATGACCCTCGTACAATGACTCGTGTAACGAATGCCTATAGTTCATAAATCATTAATAGGATCAAGACATGAGCTAAATGACTCTAACTCACAGTTTTAGGAGGGAAAGTGATTGTTAGTGATAGGGATTGAACAGCCCCATTGCTGCAATACACGTTATCAGGTCGATCTCCACGCGGTTCCCTCTGGAAATCATCTTGGTTAATTTTGTATGAATTTGTCGCTATGGGCCAATTGACCTGTTTCATCCTCATATATCATCCCTCACTGGTGCCCCACCAGTGTATATCGATGGCGCAGGACGGGTTACCATTCTATTATCACCCCATTAAAAAGAAACACTAGGTGCATTCTCAATTCGGTCGTATTTTTTTTATGTTGGTAATAGATGGAGCGAGAAATACAAATTAGAGTCATTTAACTCTAACTCACAGTTTTAGGAGGGAAAGTGATTGTTAGTGATAGGGATTGAACAGCCCCATTGCTGCAATACACGTTATCAGGTCGATCTCCACGCGGTTCCCTCTGGAAATCATCTTGGTTAATTTTGTATGAATTTGTCGCTATGGGCCAATTGACCTGTTTCATCCTCATATATCATCCCTCACTGGTGCCCCACCAGTGTATATCGATGGCGCAGGACGGGTTACCATTCTATTATCACCCCATTAAAAAGAAACACTAGGTGCATTCTCAATTCGGTCGTATTTTTTTTATGTTGGTAATAGATGGAGCGAGAAATACAAATTAGAGTCATTTAACTCTAACTCACAGTTTTAGGAGGGAAAGTGATTGTTAGTGATAGGGATTGAACAGCCCCATTGCTGCAATACACGTTATCAGGTCGATCTCCACGCGGTTCCCTCTGGAAATCATCTTGGTTAATTTTGTATGAATTTGTCGCTATGGGCCAATTGACCTGTTTCATCCTCATATATCATCCCTCACTGGTGCCCCACCAGTGTATATCGATGGCGCAGGACGGGTTACCATTCTATTATCACCCCATTAAAAAAAACACTAGGTGCATTCTCAATTCGGTCGTATTTTTTTTATGTTGGTAATAGATGGAGCGAGAAATACAAATTAGTATAGAGGCTTTAGGTAATCAAATCTCCCTGCTTACCCTATAATGTGAAGATAACATAGTGATCCAGCTAAAAAACTTTATTACTACAGAATTTGTGAATTGAAATATGGCAACCTTGTTATAAGAATGCCAATAATAAATTTAAGTGTTGCCATTTTTATTACAAAGTAACATAATATACTGTTGGTTACAGTGAACGAAGCTCGCAGTGAAAGTAAACTTGAATTACCATTGGCAGTGAAGGAGGAATTGTCAAGTACACATAGTGATGCATACTCAGAAGACTGGTCCATCGATGGTGTGTATTAATTCAATTTTCAACGGTAAACGAGTAAATTGATGCTGTTTGTAACAGACCAGTGCTGGAAAATGCCCAAAATAATGAACCCCGCTTGGTATTATGAAGTCTACCAGAGGGAGACTTTGTACAAAAGTCGATTGCTTGGCCACCTCTGTCCCATTCGTGTTTCTACCGTGAAGCAGTTGTGTTTGCATGGCTGTGTTTCGGTTTGAAGGGTGCGATATGGCGTTAATTTACTGGGTACGGAGGAATAACACCTGAGTCCTCAGGAATGGCAACGCATGGGGGGTATCATGGGTGAAACAGTATACTACTCATGTCTATAAGCAACGGTTACCACTTTCCATCAGGTGGACCGTCAGCTTGTTTGCCATTCTAAGTTGTATAAAAAAACAAAGTTTTATTGATCTCTTTAAAATTAGACACGGACACTGGCAAGACACTTTATACAACTCACAAAACAAAACTGACTCGTGCACGCACGTGTCACGTGGCATGTCCGCCGGCGTCAATTCCATCAAAGTACCAACAGATGGCGCTAGTGGTGACATTAAGAACAAATTACAAAGTTGAAATATTAAATAATTACGAGGTTACGCGGTGCGTCGCCTACACTGTTTAATTAATATCCGGAATATTACATTTCTGGGGTTTGCATTCGAATATTCGATTATCCGGACTTATTCTTCACAGCTCTAATTACCGATTTAGAAATGGTATTACATATGTATTATATATTTATTTATTTATTTTATTTCTCTCACAAAATGACAATAAAATTTACAGCTATATAGGTTACAATTTAAAAACAATTGTAATGTATTAATTGGGTAAATAAGTATTATGTTATTCATTATCTTTATAGCTCGTATTTTTTTTTATATCGTATTGTCTAAGTGACGTATCTAAAACCGTTTAAATATAAAAAAAAAAAATATATTAAAATTTAATTATGTATGGTTTTGATTTGAGTTTGAAATCGTCTATCCGGATTTTCGATTATACTCGTGGTTTTATTTCATTCGGATAATCGAGATTCTATTGTAATATTCGAATAGTAAATCACTTCTATTTGAATATATTCGAATAATTTGATATCTAAATTTATTATTAATTTTATTAATTTTAAACAACTTGGGTCCATTTTTGTTAGTAGTACTTAGTACTTTTCACACACACACACACACACACACGCACACGCTCACACGCTCACGCACACGCACACGCACACACAATCTAGTAACTATTGTTATGATGTACTATAGTGTAGTTTTGTTTTTTATTTCCTTCTAAATTTTATAATTACTCTAGCCACGACAAATTTATATAGCTAAGTCAGTGAAAACCTATTATTGGCTTTTTATATGGACGAGTTGTTGTTGTTTTAAGCTATAAATTGTAAGCTGTTGGTTTTCCAATAAATAAATAAATTAAAAACTAACAATCGACTTTAAAAAGAAGACGGTTTTTTGTTATTATATCACAAAGGTGGCAAGCAAGCATACAGCCCGTCTGATGGTAAACGGTCACTGTAGCCTATGGACGCTTGCAACACTAGGGGTGTCACGTGCATGTCACCGACCCTGTAGAAACCTTAATATGTCCTAATTGAAGAACCCCATACTGTAATCTCTATGGAAAACCTCGGCAGGGCCCATTCCACAGCCTGAGCGTTTGCGGGAGAATTTTTTTACAATTTTTTTTTTATTTCTTCCTTTATATTTATCAGATGCTGCAGAGTCCAAACACGTAAAGTTAGTAGAAGGAGAAGCCGAATTCCTGGCCAGGTTCCCACCGGGATCTTTAACAGCTCTCCCCACCAGAGCCTCGTCGAGAGACGCATGTGCTGAGTACTTCAGACATTTGGACTCCTTGAAAGGTAATATTTTCTCATAGTTGCAACGAAAAAACAACAAAGAAAAACAAACAAAATTGTGTTATCAAGGGCGGCTACAAGATCAAAGAGCTGCGCCATTGTAAGAGAAAGTTTAAAATGAAACTCTATTACCGAGCCACAGGTTTTACGTAGAGGCTTTCGGTAAATCTTTGACCCTCCCCTCGCTGCTCTCCCACGTGGAAATCCACTGGTCCATTCAAAATTACGAAGGTATGAATTTGATGCGGCTTTATTAATGTGTGGTTCGTATGGTGCCTTTAAACCACGATACCCCTTGATAGATGATAATAAAATGGTAATTCCGACTGCGTTAACAGTATACGCTGGCGGGGCACCAGTGAGGGATGATAGGCGAGGATGAAAAGGCAGGTCAGTTAGTCCATCGTGACGAATTCCGTTAAATTTAACCACGACGGTTTCCAGGGAGAACCGCGTGGAGGTCGACCTGATAGGGTGTATTGCTAGCAATGGATCTATTGGAGCCCATTACTAACAATCCCTTCCTCTCCTGTATTATATATTTTATTCATTATAAATCCAAGAAATACAGGAGAGGACAACAAAATATCAAATTTTTATTATATTAGTTTAGATAATAATATTATTTTTTTACAGGAAAAGTCATATCAGCAAAAATGCTCCAATATCTCATAGAGGAACCAGCAGACAAAATTACGCCAATGGACGATACCAATAAAAAACGTAAACACAATTTAAATAAAGAAAAACACAGTGATACCAACATCGCCAACGGTGTCGTGTCAGAGAAAATGGCGCACGTTGCCAACATAGCAACGTTATTAGAGTTTTCGAATCTAACCGCATTCAAAACCAAATACAAAAACGGTTTCCCGTGTTTCTATTGCAACAATATATTCGATAGTTTAAATGTATTACGCGAACACCAAACAACACATGTCAAAGTAGATATAAGAAAGTTAATATTAAAAAAATATAGACCAGGCAGGCCCGACTGTTTAGTCGTATACGCAGATATATATAACCTTAAATGCACGATTTGCAACCAAAACATGTCCAGTCTGAACGAATTAAAATCACATTTATTTGGTAGGCACAAAAAGAAAATATATACAAACGTCACAGATAGGGTTATACCGTTCAAAATGGCGGGAAACAGTTACGAATGTCAAATCTGTAATTTTGACTTTGAGACTTTTGGCGCGATCGAACGTCACATGAATACGCATTACAGAAATTACGTTTGCAACGAATGCGGCTCCGGTTTTATAACGAAACAGCGTTTGAAAGTTCACACTTACAGTTTACACGCACATAATGTAAAAACGATCTATTGTGACATTTGCAAAAAAGAGTATACATCGCATAAAAAATTTAAAATTCACTACGACGTTGTACATAAAATGCTCAGGAAAATCAAATGTTCGAAGTGTCCCGCCCGTTTCGCAGATTACTTTGTGAGACAGAAACATCTGGTCGACGTGCACGGCGACACACCTATACTGTACACTTGTAGAGTATGCGACAAATCGTTCTCAAGACGATTCTCGCTTTCCCGCCATATTAAAAAAGATCATTTGGAGGAACGCGACGTGCATTGCTCGCTGTGTTCACACACGTGTTTTACTAGTTACGAATTAAAGACGCACATGGTTAAAAAACACGGCGAAAGATTATTCGAATGCGCTGTTTGTAAGAAGTCTTATGCCAGCCAGAAGTCGTTGGCTGATCATCTGAGGATACATAATGATGATAAAAGATTTGCCTGCGATAGTTGTGGATTGTCTTTTGTACAGCGCAGTGGTCTGAAAGCTCACTTGAAAAGTCATTATTTGGAGGATCAATAAACAATTTGAAACATTTTTTTCTTTTATTTGCGTTTGATAAACTTACTATCTTAGCACATTCCAGAGGGAGACAGCGTAAGTCATTTGTATGGGTGGATGGGATTTAAATGAGTTAGGCAATGAATAATTCTCATTTTTATATTTAATTAAATTAATCATATTTTTTTCTTTTGGCTTCGGCATTTTAGGGTAGCCATTAGCCATTTTCAAATTTAATTAAAAAGTAGGGGAATTCGACGCGGAATAAAACGGGAATATAGTGGCAGAAAATTTAAGGATAGGATTATAGGATTAGGAGAGTTGGAAGAAAAAAGGTAAGGTAGAATAATAAATTTATATATATATATAGATTTAAAATTATTTAATCTCAATGGGCTGGATCTCAGTTTCTTGAAGTCTATGATATAGGTTTACCATTTCATTTTCACCCATTAAAAAAAAAACTACAAATGGCACGATGACAACACCAAACAATAAGGGGGAAAGGGATTTTTAGTAATGGGGTCTAACTGACCCATTGCTAACAATACATCCTATCTCAGGTTCACTTCCACGTAGTTCCCCTTTGAAGCAATCGTGCTGAATTCCAGGTGGAATCATCCTGATGGGCCAACTGGTCTGCTTTCATCCTCACCTAATCCATAACTAGTACCCTCCCCCCCCCACTCTATACCGTTATCGCAGGCAGGGTTACCATTCCATTATCATTAATTAAAAAAAAAACAGAAATAGCAACACCTAAAGTGTTTCGGTTTGAAGGGTGGGATATGGCGTGAATTTACAGGGTACGGAGGAATAACACCTGAGTCCTCAGGAATGGCAACGCATGGGGGGTATTATGGGCGAAACAGTATACTCTGTTATGTCCATGGTACTGCTCATGTCTATAGGCGACGGTTACCACTTTCCATCAGGTGGGCCGTCAGCTTGTTTGCCATTCTAAGTTGTATAAAAAAAAAAGGGTACCATGGACGTAATTAATTATGTCTATGGTGCATCTTACACTTTTAGGCTCTGCACTCAGGCGAACCATCAACTTGATTACCATTCCCATTCCCATGATTGAAATCAAATCTCCATATTTCAAAATCTCAAACAAAAGATTGGTAAAAACAAAATATTTATTTGAAATTTAAAATATAATCTAAAATTAATATATTAAATACAAGATTTTTGTAATTTAACAGGTCAAGCAACAAAACTTGCCCTCTAGCCCCTAAATACCTGAAGTTTCAAATTTGATACCGCGGTTATAAATCGCATTGGGCGCCTACAATCGATTTTATTTTAACATTTACACGTTACCAAATGTTTTTTTCAAAATAAATATATAAAAATATCGTTTTGATTTTTTTATCATTTTCCCCCATTAGTAAACACAGTAATGGGTACACTTACATATTTTTTAATTTGATTTAAAAAATCAGGCTTTTAAGGGCTAGAATAATGTAATGTGAAATAAATTTATTTAGTTCTCTATATAAGTAGATACAATACAGCCGATTTTGAGGCGTCATTCTCTGGACCTGCCTCTAAAACTCTAAATCGATATCACAACAAAATATTTTAAGAATCTAAATTTAATAATTATAACAAAATAATTTATTTCACAAAATTGAAATTATTTATTTAAAAATGGAAGCAATATTTTTTATTTAGGGACTTTTTTTTATTTAATTTATATTTATGATTGTATTATTATCAGAGGGTTTAATGCAATATCAATGTAATTTTAAATAATGTAACAGTACACATTTAATTTATTAAACAGACTCAATAATTTATATATCTCATAATGTTTATCGTAGTTTTGATGTTTGATGTTTTACCAGAGGTAGTATTTGTTGACGTCGGAGATGTGGTGAGTGCGAAAGCGAACCCATGTGTCCAACATATGGCACCTCGAGGGTATATCGTCTGGTTCTTGGTGGGTGCACCCCCCACCTTACGGGGGGATTCCCACAGTACCCATTCACCTCCCACAAGGTATATGGGTCTGCTTAAAGCATTTTCCAGACGTAAAAAAAAAAAACAAAAAAAAAAAAAGATAATATTTGTACAAAAGTAGTTGATTGCATGGCTGTTTCGGTTTAAAAGATGCGATACGGCAGTGAATTTACAGGGCACAGAGGAATACCTTAGTCCTTAGGAATAGCAATGCATGGGATGTATCATGGGCGAAACAGTATACTCTGTTATGTCCATGGTGCTGCTCGTGTCTGTAGGCGACGGTTACCACTTTCCATCAGGCGGGCCGTTAGCTTGTCTGCCATTCTAAGTTGTTTATTGTGTAATAAACAATAAATAAATAAAACAAACATCTATAATTTTATTACTACCCTCAATTTCAAATACCATTTATTCCACAAATATTTATTCAACTGCATTTATTCTAGTTACAAATACAGTAATAGTTGAACCAAACATATTAATGACACATTTATTTTAGTTAATTTTAAATTTTCGCGTGATTTACATACATTTTAAATACATTATCGTGGTTTGAGGGTACCCAAAGAGTGTTAGGAGCTGCCAGACGAAGACGCCGCTCACTTCAGTCCTGTCGTGACCACGACGTGGAGCCATCACTCGAGAAACAAGATTAAGTACTAACTAAACATATTCGATACAACAAGGCATAAGATACTCCTCTCCATCCAAAGGTCGCCTGGAAGAGATCGCTCTTAGCGATAAGGTCGCCCATTGTTTTCTCAGTGTAATATTTTCTTGTAATTGTTTGTGTCTATAATAAGTTTACTATTGTAATCTTACGGAGGAAACAATAAAGAGTATCTATGTAAAGTTATGTAAATACACACATCAGTTCCTAATACATTTAAGTAAAATTTTTATAATTTATGATTACAAATTAAAATTTTAGATTTAGAAGAAGAACGCCCCAGAATCGATCCCATTTTTTATCATATGCATAACAAAGAACAAGACGCCCGATGTTGCTATCTCGTTTTATCAAATAAACGCGAAACCATAGCCATTACGTACTTGTTCATAGTCTCTTTTTTTTTTAAATCACGAAGGCGTCAAATTACAGGCCGACTGATTGTAAACGGTCACTGTAAACTATGGACGTCTGCTACTACTAGGGGTAACATGTGCGCGTTGCTGACCCTAAAGAAACCTTAATACACACTTTGAAATACCCCATACTGTAGTCTCTAAAAACATGTTCAGCCAATATGACGTTTGGCTCATTAAAAGTTGACCCGTTTTTTATACTTAATGCTCTATGTATATACGCTATTACATTTTTAACCATTAAAAACAGCTTTCAAAGGCCTCAAGTTAGGATTTGGGAGCAGGACATATGACCACTAGACTGGCTGGCGTCTCTAACACAGTCGTGAGTTTGTTATGTGTTTTGGCGTGACTCCTCAGTTCCGCCTTCGTCACGAACTTCTTGTCGCAATGGCTACATTCCACCGTCTTCTGCCCTTTGTGCCTCATGATATGCATCTTTAGATCATGTCTCGACACGAACTGCCTCAAGCAGTACTCGCATTTGAATTTCTTGTCCGTTGAGTGTTTCTTCCTTACATGGGCCAAATAGTAAGCCCTCCATGTGAAGGTGAGACCGCAGATTTCGCACGTTATCGTCTTCACTTTCTCCTTGTGTTCCTTGACTACGTGCATGTGGCGTTCTAGCTCAGTGCTGTATTTGCAGTCGCAGTATAAACATTTGAAGTGTTTCCCAGTTTTGTGCACGAAGTTTACGTGTTTAGTCCTGTACTTGTTCAAAGTGAAGACTTTCCCGCATTCTTGGCATGGGAATCTTTCGTTGCTGTGGATAAGAACGTGTTTCTTCAGTCTGCACTCTGTAATGAATGTGTCGCCGCAATCGGCACACACGTAGTTATTGTAATGGGCATTCATATGCGCGTCCAGGAAGTGGAAATGGGAGAAGTTCATATCGCACAATGCGCATTTGTGGTCGTTGGTCAGTTTGTACGGTATTACCCTTGTGTAGGCCTCGTCCAGCTCAACGTTGTGGGTGTCTCTCAGGTGTTCGAAGAGCTCGTTCCACGTCGGGATCCTGATGTAGCACTCGTTGCAGGCCATGTTGGTTATGTCGACCCTGATGACTTCGTTCAGCCAATGCGGCCGGAGGACAATGTCCAGATTATTCGCTATTTGGTGTTTGTGTTTGTCGTACGTGTGGATCCTTATTTGTTCCGGATCGTCGAACACTGGACTAGGCTCGCAGTACGCGCAATACAACCTAGTTCTCCTTACCTTGAACGGGACGAGGTTCGTGTAGGCGAGAATTACTTTCGTTTCTTCAACGAACCTGTAACGTTTATCGTGGAACAGTTGACGTATCTCGATGTCGAGCGTGTCTGGAATAGAAACGATTATTTTTTACTATTTCTTTTTTATTAATTAGACACATAGACTAAGGCATAGATCATAAAAAACTTAAATAGTAATAAAATTTTCTCACGCGTTGCTCTGAGGACTATGGTGTTATGTAATACCCCATAATTTCACACCATATATTTATCTATTTAAAATTTATTGCACAGTAAAATTCTATGTAAATTTGGCGAACTTAATACCGGACGGTGTTCTCTACTAGACAACCTCACCTCTCTATCAGGGGGAAGGAATTGTTAGTAATGCGGGACTATCAATCCTATTGCTAGCGAAAGGTCGACCTTTACATGGTCCGCCTGGAAAACATCGTGCTGAATTCCAGGTGTCCATGTGTGTTCATCACTATGCATTAACTGATCTGCTTTTTCATCATCTATCATCACTCACTGGTGTCCCGTCAGTGTCCTGTTAGCGCAGTCGGGGTTACAATAATCATCCATTAAAAAACCTCTTTACCATGGGAAAAAGGGACAGTTAGTGATGGGTATTTTTTTTATGGGTGATAATGGAATGGTAACCCCACTCGCGCTATCGGTATACACCGGCGGGGCACCAGTGAAGGATGATAGGTGAGGATGAAGTAGGTCAGTTAACCCATCGTGACGAATTCAACAAGAATTGTTCACGATGGTTTCCAGGGGGAACCACGTGGAGGTTGACCTAATAGGGCATATTGCTAGCAATGGGGCTGTCAAACTCCATTGCCAACAACCCCTTTCCCCCCATATCCTGTGATGGGGATTAACAACCTTAAGAAAAGGAAACTAACCTCAACCCTAAGAGAAAAGAAGCCTCTAAATCGCCCCAATTTCAATAAAATTTGGCTACCTTCTTATCAAGTTCTGGGAGAGAGTGGGGGGGGGGGGAGGGGAAGTTGTTAGTAATGTGGTTTGATATAAAAAAAGAAACATTTATTTCTGTATACTTTATTAAATATACACAATATTAAATAAATCTTAATCGTCCTTGTTCACAAAAACTAAAACCTAACGAATCTAAAACTATTTACATTGTTTTGTCACTTTCATTCAAATTGAGAATTTAGTGGAAAAGAACGAGACAAAACAGTTCTTTAGCCAAAATAGGTTTGTGAGACGTTGGACAGTTTTTATGAATAAGGTATCTAAATATTTTAAATACAAAAGTAAATGTATAACTTAAATATATATAATAGCCTAGCTTATAGTTAAAAATTTACTAATTTAATACAATCAGTTATCGATAATAGAGAATAGAAGAGACAAAATGCTGGGCCATCTTATACGTAATGACGATTTTTTAAAGAGCATAGTCGGGGGAAAAATTGAAAGCAAAAGAGGACCAGAGGGAGACTTTGTACAAAAGTCGATTGCTTGGGTACCTCTGTCCCATTCGTGTTTCAACCATAAAGCAGTTGTGTTTGCAAAGCTGTGTTTCGGTTTGAAGGGTGGGATATGGCGTGAATTTACTGGGTACAGAGGAATAACACCTGAGTCCTGGCAACGCATGGGAGGTATCATGGGCGAAACAGTATACTCTGTTATGTCCATGGTACTGCTCATGTCTATAGGCGACGGTTACCACTTTCCATCAGGTGGGTCGTCAGCTTGTTTGCCATTCTAAGTTGTATAAAAAAAAAAAAAAAAGGAAGGCGAAGACCGAGGAATAACTACATACATACATATCTGTCACGCCTGTCTCCCATTAGGGTAGGCAGAAACAATGGAACGCCAAATGCTTCGATACAAACAAATCTCTTTCGCTTCTTCCACATTCTAATAACTACATGGGACAGATAAAAGAAACACTAGGTGTCATGTCGTATAGGGAGGTCAAGGATGTGGTCTGGGATAGAGCTGGCTGGAGGAAGATGCATCGACAAAAGGAAACCCTTAAATGAAAAGAAGAGAGTACAATGTTAATCGAAGTGCTTTGTTTTCTTAAAATTTGACATTTAAAAATTAAAATAAGTTATTATATTTAAAAGTAATGACATATATATATACATATATACATACACATATTATGTGTATATGTTTTATTGACGAGCATTTTTCTTTTTTTTTTTATTAGTTAAACTTTTAGCGTCAAAGAGTTAGTCTTTTTTCTTTTCTCCTCTAATCAAAGGTTGTCTGGAAGAGATTGCTTCAGCGATAAGACCGTCTTTTATACTTCATTATATATATATATATATATATATATATATATATATATATATATATATATATATATATATGTAGCTATTAGAATATTTGTATTATTCTTTAAGTGGTACGATAATGTTTTTTTTTTTTTTATAAGCCAGGGGCAAACGAGCATGCGGCCCTTACCTGATGGTAAAATAAATAAATATATTATAATAAAATTGTAACTGGAGAATTGATACCACTGAAGTGGCAAACAAGCATATGGCCCATCTGATGGTAAGCGGTTACCGTAGGCTATGAACACCTGCAATATCGGAGGTAACACGCGCGCGTTGCCGACCCTGAAGAAACCTCTTGAAGAACCCCATGCTGCAGTCTCTTGGGAAAACCTCGGCAGGGAGCTCATTCCATAACCTGAGTATTCATGTTCGCATCTGTATTGCTTCCACTTATCAGGCTATTTCTCTGCTCAATTCTCTGATTGCTCAGCAGCCAGATGTTGATACATTTAATGACAAAATAGATATATTTTTAAAATGTTTTTTAAAATTTTTAAGTTTGTAAAATAATTGTAAAATAAAGTCACACACCACACGAAGTCTTCACAGTTATGTAGATATAACTAGAAATATATATAAAACGTCTTATTGCTTATTCAAAACATTTTTTACTAACTGTGCCAAATAACTATAGAGAAATACATAAATATTTATTCATAGTAAACTTTTGGTCATAAACAAAGATGCTACGTATCATATACGGGTTATCAGGCCGACCTCCACGCGGATCGCGTAGAAATCATCGTTGTTGTAAATGTATATAGTGATTTAAAGGTGGCCCTTATCGTGGATCATAGTTTATATTTTTATACGATTTTAGAATGACCGCTTACGTGATACATTTTGTCTTTTTTCTACAATATTCCTTCATCAAACATCGTGGTCCTTCGAGCCGGATTTGAACCGGCGACCAAAAGTTTACTATGAATAAAAAGTTTTTACAATATCAATATTACATTTATTACAATTAATAGTTTAAATTTAATCTTGTATTTTTAACCGACTTCAAAAACGACTGCTCGTCGCCTATAGACATGAACAGCACACCGACGTTACAAAATATATTAACGCTTATGGTACCCCTCATAGGGGCGGAGGGGTGAAGGGATTGTTAGTAAATGAAATCTAACAGCTACATTGCTAGCAATATACCCTTTCAGGTCGATCTCCACGCGACTCTTCCTGGAAACCACAGTGGTTATTTTTTATGTATTCATCACGATAGGCCGACTGACGAGATTTCATCCTCACCTATCATCCTTTTACTGGTGCCCCGCCAATGTAAACCGTAAATAGCGGTAATTTCGATTTTTCATTATCATCCAATAATAAAACTGGGAATGAGACTAGACATTTTAAACCGCGAGATATCCTAAGGTGCAGGATATATAAAACAGGGGGAAGCACAAAACATCCTGACGGGTTGACGTGCGACAGTTTGCAGATTGATCCCAGAGGCGAATCACAGATAGTCAATTAAATAAAATTATGTCTATTCTTCAAGTGGCCCTGCAACGAGCACTTTTGGATGAATGTCTGCCCGCAAAGTTCACACCTGAAGCGTCTATCATTGTTGTGTATCCTCATATGTTCCCTCAACGTATACTTCCTGCTGTAACTCTTCAAGCACACGTCACATTTAAATAGTCTTTCCTTCGTATGCTTCAGCATGTGATTCCTCAGCCCTTTCTTCTCGAAGAATCTCTTATCGCACACTGTACACTTCTCCCGTTTCAGCTTCAGGTGACACCGATTCACGTGTTTCGTCAGCGCGAATGGACAGTTGAATGCCTTCTCGCAGTCTTTGCACGGATACACCTCGGGATCAGCTCCGTGGGACTTCACCTCGTGTTTGTTCCTCTGAACATCGTTAACGAACCTCTCCTCGCAATAGCGACATTGGCGCGTCTTATGCAACTTCCTGTGGAGAACCCGTTCGTGATTCATTTTACTGACGTGGGTGAGAAACACTTTGGGGCACTGCGAACACTTGTACGTGCCCATTTCGTGTCTGGCCACGTGGTAGCTCAGTGTACGCTTGTTTATAAAACCTTTGTCACATATGGAACAGCTAAAGTTGCTGTAGTGTTCTATCATGTGATTCAATAGCAGTTTGAAGAACAAAAACTCGTTTTTACACACCACGCACCTGTAAACCTCGTCTGCAAAGTTGAATGGCAATATTAGGTGGTTAATCTCAGTGTATATAGTCTTCTTGTGGGCCCTGAGGTGCACGTACAAGTTCTCCAGACTGTCTACGTCCGAATAGCACAGTTTGCAGTTCAAACCGGTTATATCCAGTTTAAGGATGAATTCTGACGTTTGGATGAGTCCCACTCGGAATGCGTCAATGCCGTCGGAGTGTAGTTTCCGGGTGTGCCGCTTCAAATCGGCGGGCTTTGTGAAGTCTTCTCGGCAGAAGTAGCATGTGTACTTGGTGCCGCCCTGTCCGGCGAACGGGGTAGCGTTTGTGTATTCCAATATGGTCCTTATGTTGGCGAGCTGTTTACGAATCTCCTCGCCCCGCTTCGCCCTGGTTTCTTTGTTTGTAAGGCGCTCTGGGCTCTCCCTCTCATCTACAAAGAACAGATTTCTCTTTTATATTCTGCAGCGTCTTGACATAGATAAAGACATACACTCTATACATCTTTCGATTTCATTCATAAAAATTATGATCACAATTATCTCTCGGACAGATTTTTTTCGCGCCACATCGGCGCACGCGTTCCTTATACTGTATATACACTGTGCAATCACTTCACGATCGTTTGCTGATTGTCAAAATGTTTAATAATCGCTAAATTGTTTAAACGTACTTTTCTCTGACAAATTGCAACATTAACCCCCGAGCGTTTATCTAAATATTCGGTAAAAGAAACAAGTTAGTTAAAGCACATTTTTTTATTTTATTTTCACTGTGATCTCGGAAAAAATATCATTTATATATTTCGTCTTTATATTCATGGCGTTAACGAAATTTGATGACAAAACGTTTGTAATACATTACAATATTTTGGTATCAAGAGCCGACACCTAGGTGCATTTGTGGGGTTAAAAATAAATAGAACTGACAAATAGTTTTAGTTCTTAAATTGCTCTGTAGAGTCAGCACCAGCGTTCACTTGTAAACCGATAAATTTATCAGTGAATGAACACCATCATACAACTCATGACATGTCTGAATCCTTAACGATGTCTTAAAACCATAGTTTTTTCTTGATATAAATGACAAAAATAATCAGAGATTTTGTCAGTCATCTTTACAAGCACCTCTGTCCTCGTATTTCTGTCGTGAAACAGTTACGCTTGCATAGCTGTATTTCAGTTTGATGGGTGAGATTATCACATCGGCCGTTAACTGTCCACTAACTATACACTAACTGAACATATACTTCCCCCTATTGAAAGAGTTTTGCTAGTAGTTACCACGCTTGGCAGGGGGGGTGGCAACTGCAGTTAAGTTTTGGAGATATTTGAAGAAGGACTCTGCCCATCCTTCAACCAATAAGTCGCCTCTTACGACAGCAACGGGAAAGAAATGTTTGGTCCATTCCATGCTGGGACCACATGGCACTGATGATGGTGATGGGTGGGATATGCCAGTGAAACTACTGGGTACGTAAGTATGAAAAAAATCCTTAAAAACCTAGAATGGCAAACAAACTGATAGATTCCAATTCTTATATATTAACACTACCATGTCATCACAGGATATACAGTGAAGCCCATGACACCCACAAACACCATGAATTGTCACTAAATATAATAATAAATAATTATGCCTCCATACCCTGTGGTTTCGTCGTGTAGGTTTTTTTTTTTATACAACTTAGAATGGCAAATAAGCTGTTGGCCCACCTGATGGAAAGTGGTAACCGTCGCCTATAGACATGAGCAGTACCATGGACATAACAGAGAATACTGTTACGCCCATGATAGGCCCCATGCGTTGCCATTCCTGAGGACTCAGATGTTATTCCTCTGTAAACTGTAAATTCACGCCATATCCCTTCAAACCGAAACACAGCCATGCAAACACAACTGCTTCACGGTTGAAACACGAATGGGACAGAGGTGCCCAAGCAATCGACTTTTATACAAACTCTTCTTCATGCTGTCTCCTTGGAAACTATCGTAATTAATTCTTTGTTGAAGTCAACATGATCGTTTAAGTGACCCGTTTTTTGCATGGCTGTGTTTCGGTTTGAAGGGTGGGATATGGCGTGAATTTACTGGGTACAGAGGAAAAACACCTCAGTCCTCAGGAATGGCAACGCATTGGGGGTATCATGGGCGAAACAGTATACTCTGTTATGTCCATGGCACCGCTCATGTCTATAGGCGACGGTTACCACTTTCCATCAGGTGGACCGTCAGCTTGTTTGCCATTCGAAGTTGTATATAAAAAAATACCAGGCCCCGAGTAAGAACTAGTAAAGTAAAAACTAACCGGGTCTGTTCTTCAAGTACGTGATTCTAGTGTTGATAGTCCTCCGCGGTATGCAGTACCGCTCGGAAGCTTCCACCACAGTTAGTTCATTGTTGATCACGGCCTCAACTGCTCTCCTCAAATCCGCCTGGTTATAATTCTTATACGTCGCTTTCACGTCACCCTTTCTTTCTTTCTTCGTACACTTGCTCGCCGGCGTCGATTCCGTCGATTGCGACTTGGTTATCTCTGAAAGAGATGACAGTTTTTTAACATATTTTCTGAGTTGGGGCGAGATTCGCAGACAGGGAATGAGAGATCTGTTTTTTTGATGGGTGAAAATGGTATGGTAACCCCCCGCCTGCGCTAACGGGATACGCTGGCGGAGCACCAGTGAAGAGTGATAGATGAGAATGAAAACATGCCAGTTAGCCCATCATGATGAATTCATCAGGAATTAACCCTGATAGTTTCCAGGGGGAACCGCGAGGAGGTCGACCTGGTTGGGTATATTGTTAATAATGGAAATTGAGAATCCCATTGCTAGCACCATATACTCAACCAGTTCGACCTCCTTCACTGGTGCTCCGCCAGCGTGTACCATACCATAATCACCCATCAAAAAAAAAAAAACAATATATGTACCTTGTTAGGTATGTCGTTTGTATTGTTATGGCACACGCACAAAAAAAATTGTACTTGGCTTTATGTAGTTTTTTTAGTCATTTATGTTATTTCGCTTTTATGTACGTAATATCTATATATCTTATAATTTGTGTGCTGTTAGTAATACAAATAAATTATCTATCCATCTATCTATCAGGTCGACCTCCACGCGGTTCCCCCTGGAAACCATCTTGATTGTTTTTTTAGGAATTCATCACGATGAGCCAACTGACCTGCCTTCATCCTCACCTATCATCCTTCACTGGTGCCCCGCCGGTGTATACCGATAGCGTGGGCGGGGTTACCATTCCATTATCATCCATTAAAAATAAAAATATGTTTAAGGGATGCAATCTTCAATTGTTGTATTGGTAGGATTCCTTACCTTTTTTTATGCAACTTAGAATAGCAAACAAGCTGACGGCCCACCTGATGGAAAGTGGTAACCATCGCCTATAGACATGAGCAGTACCATGGACATAACAGAGTATACTGTTTCACCCATGATATCCCCCATACGTTGCCATTCCTGAGGACTCAAGTGTTATTCCTTACCTGCTGCTACTAGAGCCTCGTCTTCCTCCAAATATTCGATTTCCTGGTACTCAGGCTCTGACAGATGTTCCAATTTGACCTCCTGCTCCATATCTTCTTCTAAGTACTCCTCCTCAAGTGATTGGTTGTCTTGAAACATTTTCTTCTCTTGCAATTCTGTATCACTTCCTGTTGATATTACAAATGTATTAAATACATGAAAATTAAAAAACAACAGGTCGACCTCCCTGGAAACCATCGTGCTGAATTCCAAGTGTATTCACCATGATAAGCTAACTGGCCTGCCTTTTCATTCTCACCTCAAAATAATGATAGGGATAATAAGAGGCCATTGTCCATTAAACAAACATTTATACACATTAGGAGCCACAGACAGCCCTCTATGTCGAGGCTGTTTCAACGCCGAAGAAACAGCTGCTCACGTAATCCTGAAATGTGAGGCTGTGGCCCATCAACATTTAGAAATCTTTATGGTGAGGTCGCTCCGTAAGGCCTGTGAAGAACCCAGGAAGCTTCTGCACTTCTGGTCGGAGCTAGGTTGGCTGTACTAGCCACGACTCATATGCACAATGGCCCAAATGAGAGGCTAAGCACGGAAAATAGTCTTTTTCACATTCACACATATCTCAGTTAGTCCGATGAAGTCACTGGTAAAAACCTATAAGTCAATAAAATGTACTTGCCCTCATTATAAAAGCTATCCTCTTGTAAAAGGTTCAGGGATGCCTGCACATCCTTTTTGAAGTTGAAGGCATCTCGTAACCGCGTCACACACACTTCACAGATTTGCTCCAGTTTTTCTAATTGGTTGCACTAAAATATTTATTAAATAAGTAAGTAACGCAAGGATTAATAGAAAAAGTAAAAATTAAGTTAATTCAATTAGTTACGCTTCTTGCAACAAATAGCTACCGCTTCTTTCTTTTCTCCTCTACCCAAAAAGATTGTTTGGAAGAGATGGCTTTAGCGATAAGACAGCTTTTAGTACTTCATAAGTGTAATATATATTTATCTTTGTATTATTCTTTAAATATAATAATAACTTAAATTCATAACCATTGGTTCTCCTTTATAGTAAATTAACAATGGGCTGCTAGCCCCTATTATTAATAAATCCTCTCCTCGACTATCATGATTCATTCTTGATACCTTTCCACTGGACTAACTGAACTGCTTTCCTCTTGCCTATCATTACTCATTAGTGCCCAACCAGCATATGCCAATAGTGTCGAAGTGGATATTATTTATAGATATAGAAGAAGGGCCAAATTAAAAGTACCCATAACTGGCGAGCGTGTATAAAAAGATTGATGAATGTGGAAGAAGCGAAAGAGGTTTGTTTGAATCGAAGCATTTGGCGTTTCATTGTTTTTGCCTACTCTAATGGGAGACAGGCATGACAGATATGTATGTATATATATAGAAGTGATTTCCTGGGTGTTTTGGGAAACTGTAAAACTTATTCATTTTTACACATTTAATTTCATAAACAACTAAATAAATTATTCCATTTAAAATAAACACCCAATATCTCCTGCAGAGCTCTAAAACGTCACATAAGTATTTTGTGAGGGTAAAAAATTATTTTGAGGTTACTTTTTAAAATAGTTAAAAAAAAAATCAAGTCTAAGGCAATTAAAATTATAGGAGGTTTAGTGACGCTACCAAATACATTCCTCCTCCATGCTTACACATAAAGATCCTTACAAACCAAAAGGAAACTTAAATCAACTAATTTCTTATTGTTTAAATTCAGTTTAAAATTAAGTGTTGATTGGTAAAAGTTCTATATAGTAACTTACAACTATAGAGAAAGTTTCCATTAGCATTTCTCCATATATTTCTCGTTCTCCTTCCCAATAATGCTCTATCCACATATTCTTCATGTAACCATATTCCATACAACAGATACATCTCCCAAAGAAAGTTTTTGTCTCAACTTCATCTAATGATTCCTCCATGTTATAATTATCTTGTTTTATATAAACAAGTTAATAGTGAGTTCTGAAACGGAAAAAAATTTAAAAAAAAAAAAATATTAAATTGATAACAGAAGGGACAATAAGAATGCAAACAACATCACCGCCACAAAATGAATGAAGGAAGCGAATAAAACGTCAAATTTGAATAATTCAGTTGTCAGTTGTCATGAAAACACCACATTGTTCTTAGATATATACGTAAGTAGATTATAAATATTTTTTTTAATCCATGGCCTAAAAGTAGTAGCTGTTACTATTATATCTTATCGGCTAAGGGACTACTCACACTTATTTAGCTCTATTCGGTTTTTGTCCATAGAAAACAACGATTTTGTATGAAGACGTGTACGCATCTACTCAGCTTTCCGCGTCTATTCTACTTTCGCGGCAACTCAGTATAAAATGAGCGGAGAGCGTTCAGCACTGTTCTGCCGCGTTCAGCGCTGTTTCGCCACATGCTGCGTTCGACGGTGACTGCGGACTCTTTACAGAGATGTTTCGCGACTCCTTGTGTAATTGTTTCAGCATTGATTTGATTTATTATTACGTAATCATTACGTACGCAAGGATTAAAGAGTGCAGACCTATAATAATTATAATTATTTTGTTTTCACGAAATGCAGCATATTCAACGCCGTATGTAGTAGACAAGCGTTTCAGCAGAGATAGCACACTATGACGGCTTTTCTCATTTTTATGACGCCGTACGCGGCTGATAGAAACAGAGCTGTATAAGTGTGACCAAAATCATTCGTGAAACGCGAATGGAGCTGAATTGTCCCTAATTCACAATAGTGCTATTGAATCTATATTCCTTCTTACATAATATTTACACTTATTTTAATACCAGACGCCAACTCCAGCTTAAGCTCCAAAGATTTAAGAGCATAAATCCCAAAATGCAAGGGCCCGGAAAAAAATAGCCCTCAGTCTTAATATTCGGCACCTCTATTATTACTGGCCCTAGCCAAGATGAATATCAAAGTAAATATTGGCATTTACAACATCGGCATATCCTGTCTTAGATAAGGATATGACGGGACTCAAAACTGGAATTGGGGTTCTAAATGCATTTGGTATTGTCTGGCATTGCATGCACCTGGGACTGTCAAGAGTCAGAAGGCAAAGACTACGTAATCTTAGAATAAAGAAATCCTCATAAATAACATCTCAATGGTTTCAAAGGTCTTCGCAATATCACCGAGGGCCACATATCTAATATTTAAACTCATAGAGAATTACAGCTTGAAGGTAATGTGAGTGTACCCACCAACATTGACATATCTAAACGAAAAGGTTGAAGTTATGCACCATGTCACTAAAAACTTATTTAACTATATAATACCTATTGATGCTAAACTATTTGTTATTATCATCATTATCACCTGATTGCATTTAAGATATTTGTAGCTAAGAACAGTATCAACTCATCATTGTCTTAAATCTAACTTGTTTGACGGCTAATCTTTCTTGACAAAGAGACAAAATTTTGGTATTTAGCTTGAGATATCAGCTAATATTTCCGCAGTGGAAAGGAATGGGATAAACACGATATAAAAGTACGATAAAATTTAATAGAAGACCAAATATAGAAAGCAACGATTGTTTCTAAGAATGTGTCAACTTAATTTAAAAACATATTAAATTACAACCGGCCAGTAGTTTATAGCTGTATGAATATAAACCTATTTCTAACACAAAAAAACGAAACGCACTCGGTTATTGACATTTTGTCAAGCTTTCGATCGTGTTAATTCATGCCCAAAATTTCTCACTGACCCATTCTCAATTGATGAAATATCCAGTGCAGTAAAATCTAGAAAAGATACAGCTAGTGGCCTTGATCGCTTAACATACAATATGTTTCGATTGCTGAATAAAATAAACCTTACTAAACTCTTACAAATTTTTAACGATTTATGGAAGGACTGTATTATCCCACCAGAATGGAAAATGGATTGTTTGATTCCAGTAATTAAACCCGGTAAAGATCCTACAAATTTCGACTCCTATAGACCTATAACATTGACGTCCTGTGCAGGCAAATTATTCGAACAATTAATTAAACAGCGTTTAGAGTTCTTTATTGAAAGTAATAGTATATTACCATCGAATCAATTTGGTTTTCGCCGTGGATATTCAGCGCGCGAAAGTTTAGCGAACTTCTATGTCGACCTTAGTACTGCTTTGAATAACGATGAATATGTTCTATCTGTTTTTTTAGATGTCGTAGGAGCTTTTAACAATGTAAATTTAACAGTTCTATCTTCGATTCTATCCTCATTTCTTCCAATGAAACTTATCGAATGGATTTATAATTTTCTTAGTAATAGAGAAGTGTATGTTAAAGTAAATAGTAAATTAATAGGACCTAGGTTAAGCTCTAAAGGAGTATGTCAAGGTGGTATTTTAAGCCCGCTACTATATATTTTATATATCTATAAACTTAATTTAGTTTTAGGAAACAGTGTGAACAACTTGCAATTTGCCGATGATTTATTAATTTATATAAAAGGAAAGAATATTATTGATATGCAATTAGTGTTAAATGAGTCATTAAAAAGACTTGAGAAATATTTTTCTCTTCTTTCCCTCGATATTAGTTTAACCAAAAGTAAAGTAGTTGTTTTTCATCAAGTTCATAAATATGTTCCATTAATGAATATTATATATAATAATCAAACTCTTCCAACAGACTGTAGCGTTAAATTTCTGGGGGTAATTTTTCATCAAAATTTAAAATGGGATCTATACGTTGATTGCTTAGTAGATCGTGCTTTAAGAGCCACTAATATAATAAGATCTGTAATTGGTCGTAACTGGGGAGCTGATCCTAAAATTATCCTTTTACTTTACAAATCTCTTGTTAGAAGTAATTTTGATTACGCTTTCTTTTGTTATGCCTCAGAACATAAATTAGTAGAAAAACTCGAAAAAATTCAAAATATGAATTTAAGACTTATTTTAGGTGCTATGTATACTTCTCCAATTATCTCAATGCAAGTAGAATGTAATTTGCCTCCTATCCTTCTTCGTTTCGAATACCTAAAACTCAAATTTCTCTTCAAAGTTTTTTCAGTTTCCAATAACCCACTCATACTCAAATTATTAAATTGCCCCATTTCTATGTTTTTGAATAAAACTATTATCAATGATTTGAATTTACGAGATGAATATAACATCTATAGTAGTAAGATACTTCCTTGTTATAATGGCCTTTATGAGAGTAAGTTCTGTAAGATCAAAATTGTTATACATAAAGACATAAAAGAAAAGCACGATATGTATGAGACTTTATCAGAATTTATTGACTACAGGCAGATATATACAGATGGTTCCAAAAATGCACTTAGCACTTCAGTGGCTTTTTACGATTTGTCTAATAGATTTGGTCACGGTTATAAAATTTCAACTTTGGCTAGTATTTACACAGCAGAAGCAAAAGCTATATTTTTAGCATTAGAATACATAGAAAAACAGGTACTATATTCGAAATGGATTATAATTACAGATAGTATGAGTGTTCTTATGGCATTAAAAAATAACACAATCATTTCATCATCAAACTACTTAATTCAAGAAATTCGTAATAAATATTATCATCTCTGTACTATATATGGAAAAGATATTATCTTCATCTGGACCCCTTCACATATTGGAGTGTTTGGGAATGAACAAGTAGACACTTTGGCTAAAATTATTAATTCAAGTGCTGCTCGTGTTCAAGATTTACCCCTTTGTTACTCAGATTGTAGTATTGGAATACATAAAATCGTTACAACTAAATGGGAGGAGCATTGGACTCAAATATTACAGACTAAAGGCAAATGGTACCGCAAAATTAATTGGCGTATTGGAAAACCGTGGTTCTGCAAAGGAAAGGACACAAACAGAAAATTTTACACCAATATTTGTAGATTACGAATCGGCCACGGACATTTCAACGAACACCTGCACCGAATGGGCATGATCGCTTCCCCATCATGCACATGGTGTAACTCAAATACAGCCCAATCTCTACATCACCTTTTTTTTGATTGCTCTGAATTTGTCATTCAAAGACACATTATGTTTGACGAACTTAGGATTATCTTCAAAAAACCCGAAAATATCCCGCACTCAATCCCGCTTCTCTTAAGATTTCCTTCTTGTTTCAAAGCTATTTTCACTTATATTACTACAACATTCAAGGAGCTATAAGAATACTTTTATTGAATTGCAAGACAATGATTTTTTATAATTATTTATTTTTAATTTGATAAATCCACTGGTTTAAGAAAACTCAAGAAAAGATATTTATGAAAATGTACTTACCGGATTTGACAAATGAAATATTGAAGATTATGACAATAATTGAAGCGACATTAGAAAAATAAAATTCCAGACAAATTATCTCTTTGAAGACTAGGCAGCATGGTCTCCGACCTTAGCCTGTTCCAAACGGAACAAACGTACTAAAAAACAAAAAAAAAAAAAAGCTTTCGATCGCCATTTTTTGTTTGGGTCGATGCTAAGCAGTAATTCGTAAATAATATGAAAATAATTAGAAAATATTACTTAAAATATAAAAGTTGAGTGTTTGTGTAATTTAGAAAATGAGTGTTACGAAAAATAACGGACCTATAATAGATCCAGCTATATGTAGGTGCTGTAGAACAATAAAAAAATGTAGAATACTTACTGCAGAATATACATGGATGGATAAAAAAGAAGTTTATGCTGACATGGTGATGGATTGTTTCGGTATTCTGGTAAGTATTTAAACCTTCTAACATGTAGCAATAACTTGCATGCTTTAATAACTTTGTAATACTTCAATTCAACTAACAAATGTAAGTTTTCATAACATTGTTTTAGTCATCTTTTTTTTTATATGAAAACTATAAAAAAAAATTATTATGTGTTATAATAGTCAGTGGCTACCCTTAAATTTTATTTGTGTATTTTTTATCTTCCAATTATTTCTAACTAACCAGTATCATCCCAGTCTTTCATTTAATAGTGGGTGTATTTTTTTTTTATTTATGATGTTATTTATTATTTTACACAATGTACATATAATGTATAACAGTCAGGGAATGTTAAATTTATCAAAGCACACATTCAATCACCTGACATAAAACCAGACTGGCTATTTGTACTTAGAAATTTTTTACATTTTAAAAGTGTCCATTAAGGCCGCACACGCGATGGAAGCTTAAAAATAGAGTAACTTCTCTCGTTTTCCCGACATTTCCCTTCACTGCTCTGTTCCTATTGATTGTAGCATGATGAAAAGTATACTATAACCTGCCCAGGAGTATGAAGAATAATTGTACCAAGTTTCGTTAAAATCTGCCAAGTAGTTTTTGCTTTTATAACGAACATACAGACAGACAAAAATTTTACTGATTGCATTTTTAGCATCAGTATCGATCACTAATCACTCCCTGATAGTTATTTTTGGAAATATATTTCATGTACAAAATTAACCTCTCTACAGATTTATTATAAGTATAGATATAGATAAATTATATATAAATATATAAGTATTTCACTTCCAGTTGTCCCACGTGGACGACAATGAGAAGGACAGCGGCGTGTGTGCGACATGCGTGGTCAGGCTGCGGGACGCGTGCGCCTTCAGGCACCAGGTGCTGCAATGCGAGGAGCTCTTCTTGCACGCCAAGCTCGAGGACAAGGAGACCGACGGTACGGCTTGTAAATTTATCACTGACTACCAACCTGTCCCAGCTTCGCAGGTGTCACCCGACTTTGCAAAGGGGGAAGGATTGTTAGTAATGCGGGCTACCAGTCCCATTGCTAGCAATACACCCTGTCAGGTCGACATCCACCTAATCCCCTGGAAGCTAGATTTATTCATCTCAATGGGCTAACTGACCTGTTTTTATCGTCACCTATCATCCCTCACTGGTTCCCCGTCAGCATATACAGTTACCGCAGGTGGAGTTACCATTCCATTATCATATACATACAAACATACAAAAATAAAAAAAAAATCCTTAATAATTTTTTTGTATTGGGTGAAGATGGAATGATAACCCTGCCTGCGTCATTGGTATACTCTAGCGGAGCATCGGTGAAGGGTGACAGGTGAGGATGAAGGCGGATCACTTGACCTATAGTTACTAATTGAACGAGAATCAACCACTATGGTGTCCAGGGGGTACCCCATGGAAATCGACCTGCAGGTCTACTCTTGAATCCAATATTAATATGAATCCAATTTATTTATTTTTTATGTGAAAATGGTATGGTAGCCCCGCCTGCGCTAACGGTATACACTGGCGGAGCACCAGTGAAGGGTGATAGATGAGAATGAAAATAGGCCAGTTAGCCCATCATGATGAATTCATCAGGAATTAACCATGATAGTTTCCAGGGGGAACCGCGAGGAGATCAACCTGGTTGGGTATATTGCTAGCAATGGGATTCTTAGTCTCCATTACTAACAATCCCTTTCCCCCCTAAATGAGAGATGTTAGATATCATCATATCAGCCTTTAACTGTCCACTGCTGAACATAGGCCTGCAGCTATTGGGGACAGGCAGTTAGCCCTTCGTGATGAATACACATAGAATTTAGTACAGTGGTTTCCAGAAGAGACCATGGGGTATATCGCTAGCAATGGGATTCTCAGTCTCCATTACTAACAATCCCTTTCCTCCCATGAATCCAATGTATTGCCAATGACAATTCTATACTGCACTCGTGTAACAACAGTTAGGAATTAGCTTATAACTGGGATCGGTTTACAATAGTTCGCATCGGCAAGTTGCACTAATATGCATCTATCAGAACAGTATGGAGCCATTATGTCGCTAGTGTCGCAATTCGCGAGTGCGAAGTCTCAATGTCAATATCGATCTATTGGGATTTATTTCGAGATTAACCCCACTGATAGGGTGTATTTATTTATTTTACACTTTATTGCACCAAGTAAAGCAATCATCTATTGAATCTAAAAAACTATACCAATGTCAAATACCTCAAGAGTTTGTTATGCCATATTATTGTTTATTTGTTAATGAGCATGCTGTGTTTCCTTTAAAATGTTTGTACACTAAGTATAAACAGACAGTAATTTTAATATTAAATCCTATCAGTGTAACAATTGCTGGGTGAACAAATAAAGATAAAAAAATAAAAGTAAAAAGAGAAATAACAAATACAGTAAATATTAATGAGAAGTGATACAAAAGGCGGTCGTATCGCTAAGCAATCTCTTCCAGACAACCTTTGAATAGAGGACATTGAGAAAAAGACAAAGGGCAGGTGGCGCACTATTATATAAATATTATCATATACACACATATATAGATACATACATTTTTTTTATACAACTTAGAATGGCAAACATGCTGACGGCCCACCTGATGGTAAGTGGTAACCGTCGCCTATAGACATGAGCAGTACCGTGGACATAACAGACTATACTGTTTCGCCCATGATACCCCCCATGCGTTGCCATTCCTGAGGACTCGGGTGTTATTCCTCTGTACCCTGTAAATTCACGCCATATCGCACCCTTCAAACCGAAACACAGCCGTGCAAACACAATTGCTTCACGGTAGAAACACGAATGGTACAGAGGTACCCAAGCAATCGACTTTTGTACAAAGTCTCCCTCTGGTGAATACATATATAATATATACACAATCAAATATATACATAACATATACATACTAAACATGTATTGCTAGCAATGGGGCTGTTAAATCCCATTATTAACAATTCCTTCCTCCCCCTCCCCCACCCCCTTTTTAAAATATTAATGTAGATTAGTAAAATTAAGATGTTGATGATGAATTCCAGAAATAAAGAAAACCGTCGACATAGAGTTGAAAGCGGAACCCAAGGACGACGTGAGCGACCACAACTCGATCGGAGCCGACCACGACGACGGATTGTCACTGGACTACTCTGCTGACGACCAGCCGCTGGATGGTAAGCTTTTTTCTTTTTTTTTTATACCACTGAGGTGGCAAGCAAGCATACTGTTTTTGTGTTACTATGGCACACGCATGAAGGAAGGGTAAGAAAGGAGATTGTTAGTTTATATATTTTGTTTTTGTATTTTTTTTTTGTGCTTTTTTATTTTTATTCTTTTGTCTCTTTTGCTGTGTATTATGTGTATGTTTTTTTTTTATTGTAATTTGTGTGCTGTAAGTAATGTAAATAAATTATCTATCTATCTATCTATCTATCATACGGCCCACCTGATGAATTCGTAGAATGAACGGAAAACCGGGAGTGACCGTTCACCATCAGACGGTCTGTATTCTTGTTTACCACCTTTGTGGTATAAAAAAACTATATATGCTTACAATGTTTCTTGCAAATAAATAATCAATCATTTATTGTGGGGGAGACCAGAGGGATACTTTGTACAAAAGTCGATTGCTTGGGCACCTCTGTCCCATTCGTGTTTCTACCGTGAAGTAGTTGTGTTCGCATGGCTGTGTGTCGGTTTGAAGGGTGGGATATGGCGTGAATTTACAGAGTACAGAGGAATAACACCTGAGTCCTCAGGAATGGCAACGTTTGCATGGGGGTATTATGGGCGAAACAGTATACTCTGTTATGTACATGGTACTGCTAATATCTATAGGCAACGGTTATCACTTTCCATCGGGTGGGCCGTCAGCTAGTTTGCCATTCTAAGTTGCATAAAAAAATTTTGATTATGGCAATATACTCTCTCAATTTGGGATGAATGACACAAGAGAAGAAAGAAATACATCTAAATAACAAATAATTTGGTCATCTCCTATCTCTTTACAGACGTAAAACTACCGAAAAAAGAGGAAAATGAGAAACTCGACTCCTTACCTTTGCAAGATCTGATTACAAAGTTGGACGCTGCCGTGGACAGCGACAGTTACTCCTCATCCGACTCCGACAAGCCGATCAAGAGGAAAAAAAGCAAGAAAAAGAAGACAGCAAACGGTACACAGAAGAAGAAGAAATCATTAAAAACGAAGCAGAAAGCAGGTTTGTCGTTTAAAATTCATACATCGATTATAGTGTTATTTGTTTAGAATCATTTTGTTTAATTCCGCTACCATTACTATGTGTGTGACTGCCAACACTCGAAGATTGACCACCAGTATTACTACCACACACTCCATACAATTATGATAATGGGATGGCAACCCCGCCTGCGTTAACGATATACGCTGGCGGGGCACCAGTCAGGGATGATAGGAGATGACCGATCAGTTAGTCCATCGGGATGAATACACTTGAAACTCACCATCATGGTTACCAGGTGGACCACGGGGAGGTCGACCTGACAGGGTACATTATGCAATAGCTAGCAATGGGATTGGTAGTCCGTATAACTAACAATCCCTTTCCCCCACCACAACAAACGGGCAAACATAGTGTAGTGTGTAGGACGACCTTTCCACTAAATGGAGTGATGACTTCAAATGTATAGCAAAAAGTCATTGGATGCAGGTGGCTCAGGATCGTTCCTTATGGCAGTCTATGGGGGAGACCTATGTCCAGCAGTGGACAGATCATGACTGTATTTATGAGCATGTGACTAGTATATTACCACCAGAGGGAGACTTTGTACAAAAGTCGATTGCTTGGGTACCTCTGTCCATTCGTGTTTCTACCATGAAGCAGTTGTGTTTGCATGGCTGTGTTTCGGTTTGAAGGGTGGAATATGGCGTGAATTTACTAGGTACAGAGGAATAACACCTGAGTTTTCAGGAATGGCAACGCAGGGGGGTATCATGGGCGAAACAGTATACTCTGTTATGTCCATGCTACTGCTCATGTCTATAGGCGACGGTTACCACTTTCCATCAGGTGGGCCGTCAGCTTGTTTGCCATTCTAAGTTGTATAAAAAAAATTTAAAGTATATTAAGGTCTGCAAGGCGCACGTGATACCCTTAGTGTTGGAGGCGTCCATAGGCTACAGTGACCGTTTACCATCAGATGGCCTGCAAGCTTGTTGGCCACCTTCAGTATATAAAAAGAAAATAAAGAAGTAAGGATTTTTTTCCAGGTACATCATCCAAAAAAGCATCGAAAAGTCCAAAAAAACCACCGGTTGAGAAAAAGAACAATTACGACAGAGATCTGGACTGTATGTCGGAGGAGAATCTACTAACAATAATACAGTATTCATACGTCTGTCCGTTTAAGAACAGAAGGAATAATTACTACTGCTTCTACTGCAAGGATTACTACCCGAAACCTGAGGATTTGCGTGAGCACACAGTCAGCCACGACACCAAACCGTTCCAACTGTTGATGGGTTACAAGAAGATGCCGAAAATAGACATCACCAGGATAGACTGCCGGCTGTGCCCGGCCAAGATCGATGACCTGAACGTGTTCAAACAGCACATAGATCAAGTGCACGGCAAGAAGATATACTTCGAGGCACCGGACAAGATGCTACTCTACCGTCTGACGTGGAACGACCTCGTGTGTGTGATGTGTAGTGATATATTCGAGGACTTTAACACACTGAACACACACATGGTGGAGCACTTCAGTAATTACACATGTGATATTTGTGGCGTTTGTTTCCTGGAGAAGCCCCGGCTGGACGCTCACCTGAAGAGGCACAAAGACGACGAGAGGCACACCTGCGAGGTCTGTGGGAAGGTGTTCAAGTCGAATCACTATAAAGACATGCACGTGGACGTAGTGCACAAGAAGAAAGCGATCATCCGGTGTCCGAGGTGCGACGAGTGCTTCATGTCATACGCTTTGAAGAACAAGCATCTGACTGAAGCCCACGGACAGAAGAGGACGTACCCGTGTAATTTGTGTGACAAAGTGTACAACAGGCAGAAAACGTTGACTGAACACCAACGCAGGAATCACCAGAAGGTACTGAAGCACCAGTGCGAATATTGTGACCAACGGTTCTACTTGCCTTCGAGGTTGAAGGAGCATATGGCGACACACACCGGCGAGAGGAACTTCCGATGTGAATACTGTGATAAGAGTTATCCAAGACTGAAATCGCTCCAGTACCATATAAGGACTCATACGAACGACCGTAGATACAGATGCCACATATGCGGGCAGGCGTTCATTCAAAATGCAAGCTTAAAGTCACATATTAAGAGTCATCATCCCGAGTGCGATATAGAGGGATGTTACTTTTAGTAATTGTAACCTATTTGTTTTTTTTTTTATGGGTGATAATGGTATGGTACACCCGCCTGCGCTAACGGGATACGCTGGCGGAGCACCAGTGAAGGGTGATAGATGAGGATGAAAACAGGCCAGTTAGCCCATCATGATGAAGTCATCAGGAATTAACCATGATAGTTTCCAGGGGGAACCGCGAGGAGGTTGACCTGGTTGGGTATATTGCTAGCAATGGGATTCTCAGCCTCCATTACTAACAATCCCTTTCCCCCCAATTGTAACCTATTAAAACCCATATCACAGTACATGTAATAGTATTAAAGTACAGTATAGGCACTCCCCGCCGCCCGCTGCGATCCGACCTCACCCCCTCTTAAACACGCGTCAGTGCCCAAACGTTATTTTCTCGCGCTAATCGTAACTACACACACATAGTCACATATACAGACGTTACTTGTTTCTGTAGTTGTGATAAGCACGGATCAAGGCGTTTTTGTATATGTACAGTGCTCTGTAAAATCCGTTTACAACAGAAAAATAATCGATAATTCGATTGCGGCCACAAAGAATCGAATAATCGATTAAAGCTATTATTAACGACTTATAATTCGCTCTGGCTTCATACGAGTCGATAGAAAGATAATATAGCATACTTTACTTCCTGACTGTGGTTTCCCATATATAAAAAAAATATGTCAACATTAAGTTTATCCATTATAAACAAGCAATAAAATTTTTCGTCTTTCTAATTTTAATGTAGTCGACTATGTCGTATAATCGATTATACTAATCGATTATTACATTATCTGTGGTCTCAATCGAATAATCTATTATTAGGCAAAACTATAGTGTATAAGTAACTTAAATGAAATGTATTTGTCAGAAACATTGTAGATAAAATGTTGCATTTGTCAAGTTGACAAGATATCCATTTTGTTTCGCCACATCAAATGGCGTGTAAATATTAAGCATTGAATTTACATTGGTTATTTTACATATATATTTAATTTCCAATTACTACATTCTGGTTGTTAATGAAGTAATAACTAACTTTTGTTTAAAATTACCACATGATTGCTATTTCTATGAAATTAATAACGAATCGAAACGATGAATCGATTATCGAACTAATCGATTATTATTTGCATTACTGTTGGACATGAGCAGTCGGTCTTATCGTTTTACAGTCGGGCCAATAATTCTTAGTTTAAATTTTCAACAAGTTCATTGTAACAGTTTGCTCTCTCCGTATATGCTTAGATTTACGTTCGAAAGCGTATCAAGATTCATATTCCAATTTTTGGCGTATTTATGGTTATTTTTCAGGAGGGGGGAAGATTAAATGGATGGTAATGGAATGATAACCCCGTGCTAACAGTATTCGCTGACGGGGCACCAGTGAGGGATGATAGGTTCGGATGTAGACAGGTCATTTGGTCTGTTCCTATTATGAGTCGGATAACATTGGGGTCTGTTCTGAGGCGTAATTACTCTAATGCTATCTCGAAAAATTTCAATATGTCACAGCGTAATCCTTATTGGAAGGACCAGTTATGGGCTAATTTTCAAATAAATTTAAATAGAAATTATGAAAATCTTAGTTTATTGATGGTCCACAAAACAGTAGCTCGGCGAAACATTTCAATTACAATGGGCTTAAAGAAATGGCGTCTCTGAATCAACCTTATTGACGATTTGGCGTTCTAAATAAATAAAATACAGTTTTATATATATATATAAAACTGTATTTTATATATATATATATATATATATATATATATATATATATATATAATGTAAGGTCTAGATAATCCTGATTAGTGTATAAATGATGAAAAGTATTAATTTATTTAATTTTGATTGCAATATTTATCTATTGATCGATTTTGATTAATTAGGTTAAGTAACGTTTCCATCTTTTGGATGGGTGATCATGTTTGTGCTTCCGGAAGACGTTAAACCTTTACTGTTTTTTTGAGTAACTTCGGAAAGGAGGAAATTCTCAGTTTTTATCCACATTTTGTGCGTTAAGTGATGCCTTCACCAATTTTTGTGTCGATTTTAATTATTCTTTTTGTAATCAACGATGTTACTATTGTGCGTATTGTAAAGCATAATGTGGCTTTAGAATATATCGTAGAATTTTGTCCAATCGTTTTAAGGATATTTTTATATTTGTAACGCCATCTAGTAAGTGCTATTATACTACAATATTACTTTTGTTACCGCTAGATGGCGTTGATAAATCGATCACATACAACACCAAAATGCAAGGTAAATCAAAATATTTGCGGTGAATACTTATATTATGACCCTCCTTAGTTCTTCCTTTAGAGTAGAAACTCGATGCTAAAAAGCAGATAATGAAAAAGAATATAATCAAAGCATTTCAGGCTAAAATTAATGGCAGTTTCCTGGGGCAGACTACTACATAAATAGATTCATAAAGTGTAGCAAAAGTTTGATGACCCTGGTTTTATTTTTTATTTATTTTTTTAATTTTTATTTATTTATTAAATACAAGAAATTTACAACAGTGAGTACATTGGAGCCCGCACCAGGCGAACCTGCATCGCGGGAGTCCATATGAGATTACCAAGACACGGTGATTTACAAATATAAATTAAATTAGTGAGCCAGTTTTACGAAAACAACAAGTTAGAATGAAGTGCTTCGTGAATACAATAATGCGCATAAAACAGAAAATTATATCAGTACCTTCAATATTATATAAATACATACAATTAAATATATAAAAGACTTACACGACTATATACGAATATCAATCAATGTTATGTAACATCAATTCTGTGGCATCGTACTCGAGATTTTGTAAATATCGTTTTTTAGGTTCTTCGAAGAGCGCACAGGTGGAGACCTCGATGCGAACTGCTTTGCCCCGGCTTCTCTGGAGGTATTTTTTTTGATTGGTGAAAATGGTATATAAAAAAAAATCTCAGCATGGATGACGTCACTACGAGCGAGGATTGCCGTACCATTGTACAGCATTCCAGTCGGTGAGACCTCGTTTCACCTGTACACGTGATAATTGTACACGCCGAAGTCCAGTCGCGTCGCGTGGCCTCTCACGCGTCCGTCACGAGCCTCTCCGCGCAGCGGACGCATTTGATCGGCCTGTGACAATTTGTAGAGGCGTGGCCGTAAGCCTGATAGTGGTGGCATTGTACCATCTTGTTCGTGGCCTTGCCCCTATGGTGACTTTCGGTATCCTCAGCAGTACCTTGGTGCTGAAGAGCTGGGCGGGGTCTTCTTTGGACAGATGGAGAGGTTGGGCGTAATAAAGACAGCTAGGTCGCTCCAGGCACGCCGGTATGGCGCGCAATAGGGACACCTCGAAGCCTACTGCCTTTAAGCCGGCTGTCACAGCATTTGTCTGAATAATTAAGGGGAGGTCCCATATAGCCACCTTTGTAGGCAGCTCCTCTGACAGGCTGTAAAAGTACCAGCTCAAAATCGACTCATTATCACCTAATCAGAGTTAAGTACCGTTGTACGGTACGGAATTGCGATTCACTTTTCGCGATAAATTCGATTTCCGTACCATACGATCGGGCATTGGAGTGTTGTCCGAGCAGTTGCTCCAATTAGCATAAAAGATTCTGCCAGTTGGGCAAACATTCGGCCGCTATATGCGACCACTATAAGGACTTGCCCTGGTCTGGTGCCGGTGGTTGAGCCCCTCTAAGGTCTGGCACGGCGTCGGTGGACGTAGATATCGACGCCGCACAGTGGGAACTCGCCTAAGAAAGCCATCTCATAAATACTTAAATTTCGTTTGGTATAATTTTATAGTATCAAAACAATAGAAGTCATATACGAGGTTTGTCCGGAAAGTACGTATAAAAGTTTTTTAAAAATTTTATTTTACAATTATTCAGGTAAATCAATTTTATCCCCTTCAAAGTACTCCCCCTGTGACATAATGCACTTGTGCCAACGCCGTTTCCACTGTGAGAAGGCTCCTTGAAAGTCCTCTGGTTGTAGGTTTCTCAGCTGCCCCGTCGTAGCTTTTTTTATCTCATTTATGTCCCCCAAATGCCGCCCCCGAAGTACCAATTTGGTTTTTGGGAACAAGAAGAAGTCACACGGGGCCAAATCCGGCGAATAGGGGGGTGTTCGGTCACCGTAATGGAATTTTTACTCAAAAACTCACGGACAACAAGAGAGGTGTGGGCAGGGGCATTGTCGTGGTGAAGAATCCAACGCCCCTCTCGCGCCAATTCTGGACGAACTCGTGCCACACGAGCTTTGAGGCGTCTGAGCACATCGACGTAGAATTTTCCATCAACTGTCTGGCCTGGAGGGACGAATTCTTGATGGACAATCCCCCGAACATCGAAAAAAACAATCAACATTGTCTCGGCCCTCTCAGAATCTTTTTAGCCACTTGTGGACGGTTGGTTCCTTCACAGCATCATCCCCATAAACTGTTCTGAGATCGGCAAAAATTTCACGGCCATTCTTGCCGAGTTTCGAGAGAAACTTGATTACGACGCGCTGCTCTTCAACGGAAGCGGGCTCCATGCCGACGGGGTTTCGTTAAGAGGTAACTTCACAGATGGCGTGACAAGCCAGTTCGCACCGCACGGCGGTCAGACCAGAACTGAAGCATTGTTAGGGACATAAGGAAGGGGTCCTGCGCTTACCTGGCCTCCCCACTCCTCTTTCTCGCATTCCAGAACACTTTTATACGAACTTTCCGGACAGACCTCGTAGTGTGATACCATTTTAGAATGCTTAGAATGTGTACTTTACTATCAAATAAAAATATATTTAGTTTAGTACAATATTACTTAACCAAAGGTCCATATATCGTTATATGTACTATTTTCTTTTCTCAAACTTTCAGTTGAGGATTTGACATTTGCCTGAAATATATTGTAATTTGATGGCAAAACATTTTCACTGCGTAATATATTTAAATCTAGTATAATATCACGGTGAGATTAATTTTTGTCTGTTTTTCTTTATTTGAGATTCTCTGTCTGTACACTGTATATATATATATATATATATATATATATATATATATATATATATATATATATATATATATATATATATATATATATATTATATTCGTGAGGACGCGGGTGTTATTCCTCTGTACCCAGTAAATTTAAGAGACATATGCGAACTGGAAGTGATTTGGTTATTTTAAAAATTTTTTGTCTGCTTTTACCAGTTTTTGCTATGGATATCATTCAACTGCTAAGATTTTCTTGGGGAATTCAAACTAACTTCTTTGTTTTTATTATTGTTTTCTACACTCGTAACGATTAAGTAATGACAAAGTGTTACAGGCATTTTAAAGTCCTATAATTTCTCCAATTCGCTTTCTGTTTTAAAATGTTGGTGTATAATTTAAAAAGGTTTGTAGAATTGTCTCTTTACGATAGTAAAACGCTTAGTCTCTGCCTGTAATGTTTTCATTATCTGTTTTTTAGAGGCTCTTTTTTATAAAAATATATTTAAAAAATACTGTAAATTCGTTCAATATAGTAACTGTGCGAAGGTAAATTATTTAGGCGCCGTATCGAAATGACGATATGGTGGTCCTAATTTTTTTTTTTTTTTATTTCATTTTCACTCGAAAATGAAGTGTTTTCGCCGCCTGCGCTATCGGTGTATATTGGTGCCTACCAATGTAAACCAAAGAGTGTGTACTCCAAGGAGGGTGAGTTGCCCCATGGGCAGGGGCAAAGAAATCCACAATATGCACTTTATTTATTTATTTATTTATTTACACATACACTAAACAAACTTTTCATTTAAATAATATCATTAACTAAATACAATCGCTCTTTAAGAAAAAAAAAATATAAATTATACATGTTACATATAACAAAGCAACATAATAATGAAGATCACACAATTATATAATAACATTACTATTCTACTTTGAATTTAGAATAAATAAATAAATATAAATAAATATATACGGACAAATCACACAGATTGAGCTAGCCCCAAAGTAAGTTCGAGACTTGTGTTATGGGATACTAACTCAACGGTACTATATTTATAATAGATACATATATATAGATAAACATCCAAGACCCAGGCCAATCAGGAAAAGATCGTTTTCCATCATGACCTGGCCGGGGATCGAACCCAGGGCCTCCACGTCGCAGGCAGGCGTGTTGACCGCTGCGCCACGGAGGACGACAATAAAAAGAAAGACATATGACTGCGCATATTTACAAGTATTGTACTGAACTGGGTGTCATCTTGCGGAAATCCATATCACTGGTTATTTGATTCGAATTATTTTGTTTAATTCCGCTACCGTTATTATGTGTGTGACTGCCAACACTCGAAGATTGGCCACCAGCATTACTACCAGAAGTTCCACAGTCTTCCATATTAGCCATCAATCTCCGACTGCCATTTTGTTCACGCACGATTCGCACTACGTGGTTCACCTCTAAACGAGGCGTCTTCATTGTTCTTCGAGTGTTGGCAGTCACGCGCATACAAATGGTAGCGGAATTAAACAAAATAATTCTAAACAAATTTAATGGCTCCACTCACGTCCTAGTAACGCCACGCAATTCTGGAGTGATCATGCCCCCCGCCCCCTGAGAGTCGGCCATTTTCTCACCCTACTCACGCTGGTTCGTATTGTAAAATTAAGACTCGGAAAGCGTAAACAATTGTAAATATTAATTAGTTTATTAATTTATAAATCCAATAATAATGATAATAGAAATCTTGTTGTATAAAAGTATTATAATTAAGTGATAATAAATTATTATTTTTTTGTAATTAATTTTTTTTTTATTCAAAAATATTAAGAATATTTTTGACGTTACAGAATATACTGACCCCGATGGTTTTTTTTTTGTTTTGATAGATGAAAATGGTATGGTAACCCCGGCTGCGCTAACGGGATACGCTGGCGGGGCACCAGTGAAGGGTGGTAGATGAGAATGAAAACAGGCCAGTTAGCCCTTCATGATGAATTTATCAAGAATTAAACATGATAGTTTCCAGGGGGAACCGCGAGGAGGTCGACGTGGTTGGGTATATTGTTAGCAATAGGATTCTGTCTCCATTACTAACAATCCCTTTCCCTCCTGGTATCCATATTAGGTACCCATGCCTACTTTTTATCGTCTGCTGTCATTATGTAAAAGCAAAGAAGGGTAAGCTTTGTGAAATCCAAATTGTAATATTTACATAATGAAAAATTATTTAATTCGAAATTTTTTTTTTTACAAATAAGAGTCATCTTGCGACTGTTTTCTGTACTAAATTAAACAACAATTTTGAGGGCCTTCTATGAAATGTTTTCTGAAATCTGAAACAATCTCTTCTCTCCTATTACAGAGAACCATTTTGGCTGGAGGGGAAGGGATTGTTAGTAATGGAGACTGAGAATCCCATTGCTAGCAATATACCCAACCAGGTCGACCTCCTCGCGGTTCTCCCTGGACACTATCATGGTTAATTCCTGATGAATTCATCATGATGGGCTAACTGGCCTGTTTTCATTCTCATCTATCACCCTTCAATGGTGCTCCGCCAGCGTATCCCGTTAGCGCAGGCGGCGTAACCATACCATTTTCACCCTACCCAAAAAAAAAATAAAAACATTTTGGCTTCTGTAAACATCTGCATTATTTTTTTAATGTATTGTTAATATAAAATTTTCTTAAGATAATGATTTGATGTTTTTTAACGGATTAATGACGGATAGCTTGGATAGTGAAAGAATAATAGAATTTAGAAGAACGAATAGGAGTTTCTAAACGACCGGATCGGAGGCAATGTACGACCCTGAGAATCGACATGAAACTAAAATGATTATTACGGAAGAACTTAGCGAGTTTTAAAAAACTCAAAGACTGTACAAGTAGAAACTTACGCAATATAAATAAGCTTATTTTACCTAAATGCCGTCTGCACAAAATCAGTAATTCATTCTATGGTAATTGCATAAGATTTTATAATAAACTGCCGGAATCTGCATTAAATCTGACAGAGAGGCAATTCAAATCTTATATTAAACAATTTTTATGTAAGAAAGCCTATTACAGGATAGACGAATTCATAGATGACAACATATCAAGTAAATAATTAGTTTATTAGCATACAACGTTATAATTTTATTTTCTCATTGCTTTCTTGATTTAATTGATTAATTTTAGAAATATGAAAGCGTAGCGATTTTTTGTATTAATTGCCGCATGCATTCTTATGTAAAATGTGAATACTATAACTATCAGATGGCAATTGTGAGTAGCTTTGACGTGGTCTAGTGTTTTGAGTAGTCATGCTCACTAAAATGTCCAGACTTGTGGCGGCGTGGTGGGCCGGGTCATTGGGCTCCCTAAAATATGGTCGAGCGCAGTGATGGCTGGCTCATCCGTCATACTCGTGAACGGGTGCTGCTTGTAGGGACTGGTCTGCTCTAATCACTATGACTGATTTCCTCTTATTAATTGTTTAACCAGTTGGTTATGTATTCAATTTTTTTTTCTTTTTGAGTATTTAATTGAATTAGTGCTAATTGGTGGTTTGTATTCACACAATTAAACTTAAAAATGTAAAATAATAATAAAATTATTTAAAAGAGCATCACGCAAGTTTCTTGCTCGTTCTTCTTGTGATGAGACAGCTTTCCGAACGAGCGGTAAATTAAAAAAAATGTAATGACTTTTCAAAAGTGCTTCAATGTAAGTTTATTTGAATAAATGATTTCTATTCTATTCTATTCTATTCTATTAATGATTATGTTACAATTCAAATGTATACGTTGATAAATATATGCCTGATATATGTATTTTAATAAATTGATTTCAATTTATTCTGAAAAGACCGTATTTTGTGTGTTAGAAAACTGAAAACGCAGTATGTTATTTCTGAATGCATTAAACAATATGGCGTATGCGACAGTATGAGAGACATCGTCCAATGCTGCGAGGGTATTACACGTCTCTTGGAACACCTTCCTATCTTGATTTTCGGTAGTCGATACGAGCGTCTGCCACTGACGTACCATTCTCTCTTGCTTTGCGCTGAGCTCAGTATTTGGTAGAAAGCTTTTCTCATTACAAAATCGACAATTGCATATTAGACCCCTTTCAATTAATGAAATATTTCGTTCCTCCTTCGTATAGATACGTTCAAACCAATAATTCCTGAAATGAAATGTACATAAATATTTAGCTTACGTTCAAAAACGGGTGTTAAAAACGAATTAAAATTTTGTTTTGCTGTTTCAGTTTTCACAGAAGTTTCCTTGCAACAATGCTGAGGCTGTAGAGTAAAAAAAAAAAAAAGTTTTAACACGTGTTTTTTAAATCGAAATAAAACGCGCCAATTTTTCAGTGTTGCAAGTAATTGGTTTAAAAATTTGCCACATCAGATCAATTCTTTAAATTTGATTTGGGAACTATTTTTTTTTATATATAATACAAATATGTCAATAAATAGACACCTTCAATTATTTAAAAAGGAAAATATATTTTAAAACAAGTAAATATTAAATTTAAGTATCATTATGTATCATAATGTGCTGCTTATCCTATTATTTTAAATGTACTTTTTTTTTTAGATATTTTACTATACTAGATAATTTTAATAATGTTATCGGAATTAAACAAAATAATTCAAAATATTCAGTATTCGTAAAAATTTGGATCATTTTTATTTTTCGACCGTTGACACAAATATTTTTTTTTATTGGGTGAAAATGATATGGTAACCCCGCCTGCGCTAACGAGATACGCTGGCGAAGCATCAGTGAAGGGTGATAGATGAAAATGAAAACAGGTCAGTTAGCCCATCATGATGAATTCATCAGGAATTAACCATGATAGTTTCCAGGGGAACCGCGAGGAGGTCGACCTGGTTAGGTATATTGCTAGCAATGGGATTCTCAGTCTCCATTACTAACAATCTCTTTTTCCCTGACACTTATATTATATCATAAAATCATCATCGTCATTTTAACCATCATCTGTATACTGCTGAATATAGGCCTCCGCCATAGAATGCCATAAGGAAAGGTCCTGAGCCGCCTGCATCTACTGACTCCCTGCAATCCATTGCAAGGTCGTCCTACACTGCGTTTGCCCGTACGCGGTCACCATTCAAGAACCTTTCTTCCTTTATAATAAAATATAGTCTTTAAAAGCGCGGTACGATCATCCGATATGCGCGATGCTAAATCGCTTCGTTGTGTTAAAATAAAATTATAGGTACTTACAAGAAGGACACTGTCAGTTCTGTTCCTTTCTTTATAGGTTTCGCAGCAATTAAGCCAATCTTCTTGTTGAGTCCAACCTTATACAGATTTGCATCACAGGAATGCTTCAGCTTACTAGCAAAAGAGAAAATCCCAAAGTTCGGATTTAATTTATCGGTCACACGATGGTGAACTGTCGGTTTTAATGTACCATTTACAAGCTGGTGTTCAGCAGTGTATTCACATGCAACATTCCTTATTTCAAACTCAGACGGGAACGTTACATATAAATGTAGCATTATTCTCCCCAAAGCTTTCATAGCCTCAAACTTTTCGCCGTCGTCAGTCGGAAAGTAATCCGGTATATTACATAATCTGTCTATAATTATTGCAAAAACAAAGCTTTGGTTGAATATTTTGCCGTGAACATAATGTTTATCATCGTTGTAACTGAGAATTGATTGCGGCTTGTATGAATCAAATATTTCTTCATCTGAACTGTTCATCATTCTGTCAGTGCCAATATTGTGTGAAGCTACCACGACGTCCTTCCAACTCTTTGACATCTGTTTAATTTTCAATGCAGTCTTTACTGACAATTTACACTTTGTTGTTGTCGCAACGCATTCAAGAATATCCATTAATTGGCATTCGATTTTGTGACAACCTTCCATGCTTTGCTTCCTGCAGGATTCATTGCAGAACATAACGTAACAACAACCCTCACACGGGATCAGGTTGGGAGTAAATGTAAAGCAGTTATAACAAGATATATTCCGGTTATATTTATTTTGTTGAGCAACAAAAGCTGTTTCAATCGCTACAAGTTCACCTACTGGTATGTCCTTGGCTGCAACCACTTTTGGTAAACCGTTTTCTCTCACTATGCTAATATTTAAGCTCGCACAGGGCACGCACTTATTGCGTTTTGCAGAGAACTTAAAATATTTTCTATCGAAGGTGCTGGTTAATGAAGCCTTACATGATAGTTCTTTTGGAACAATTTGATGACATTTATTTTGTAAACTCCTAAGAATATCAGGTGGACATTGGTCAGTAGAAATTAATTCAAAATCCTTTAAACTCTTACTTGTTGCTCCTAGTTGCATTGACAGAATGGCTCTTTGGTAATATATGATGGACATAATACGAGTAATTTCGTTCTCGGGTATAGTGGCTGGAATGTGCAGAAGTGCGGCGTTATAATACTTTAATGCTCGCTCATTTCGAAAAGAAGAAGCTAACTTTTTAAAGAAAAGACATTTTTGTAAATCTTTTTTTTGTTCTATAATCTGTGGTTTTAAATTTAATTGGCGCGTAATATCAAGGGCGGCCATTACCGCCTCACTCGTGCCGCCATTATCGATGGCATTGTACATCTTGTCGAGGAGGCCTCTTTCTGCTAACATCTCGACGTGTGCCTCAAGCGTTACGTCAAAAAGTCGTATCATTTTGTTGTGAATCTGTGACAGAGTAAATATAAAAATTATATATTATTATATATATTAACGGGCGCTCTATAGTGGGTGTATAAGGAGATGTAGAAGGCGTAAGATTTTAAGACAATTCATTCCTCAAATCATAATTTCACCGAGTAAACGATTGGTTAAACCGATAAAAAGAAACAGCAAGAGCAAGAAGTAATTTTTATTATTATATTATTATTATTTATTATTATAAAAAATTAACACATAAATTAACACCTCTAGATGAAATGCCAAAAAAAGGTTACTATCTATTTATACTTGGGACACTCAGAAAGTTTAGCGACAATAAAAAAATTTTCTATAGGTAAATATATTTTTATTACATCTTTTCAAAGTACTCTCCACCAGCCTCTATAAAAAGTTTTATCCGTTTGAACCAGTTTTTGAAACACTTTTTCCAGTCCGCCGCAGATACCTCGTTTACAGCTTGCTCGAGCGCTGAGAACGCAACATCCGGCGACGAAAATTGTATCCCTTTGAGCTGATTTTTTATTTTTGGGAATAAGAAGAAGTTACACGGTGCTAGGTCAGGGCTGTAAAGAGGGTGATCCAGGAGTTTGACTGGTGTGCTGTCTAGGAAGTCCCTCGTTTTGATTGCGGTGTGGGCGGGCGCATTATCATAGTGGAGCACTAGCCCGCGGAGCCCTGAGTTTGGTCGCTTGTTGCTCACAACAGAGAAAACTTCTGCCAAACATTTGGTAGTATACCATTCGACGTTAATGCTTATTTGGTTTCGTAAAGGAATTAACACCAAGTAGCCAGTCAAATTGAAAAAGCTCGCGATCAAAATCTTCCCTCCGCTTCTAGGTCACTTTACTTTGGTAGGCGTTAATTCGTTTTGAAACACCCAAACCGTCGACTGGCGTTTTGTTTCTGGATCATATTGATAAATTCAGGATTTATCACCTGTGACGATGTCGTAAACACGCCAAGACGAGCCTGTTTCAATATTTATCTATCATATCATGGCACCATTCCACCCTTGCCTGCTTCTGAACATCGGTGAGGTTGTGCGGCACCCAGCGTGAAACTATCCTCCGCACCCGTAGATGCACGTGTAGAATCTCGTGATGGCTTCCTGATCCAATCTGCAATATATGGTGAATCTCTTGGTATGTAACTCTTTTATTGTCGGAGGGAAAGGGATTCTTAGTGATGGAGATTGAGAATCCCATTGCTAGCAATTTACCCAACCAGGTCGATCTCCTCGCGGTACCCCCTGGAAACTATCATGGTTACTTCCTGATGAATTCATCATGATGGGCTAACTGGCCTGTTTTCATTTTCATCGATCACCCTTCACTGGTGCCCCGCCAGCGTAACCCGTTAGCGCAGGCAGGGTACCATTCCATTTTCGCATATAAAAAAAAACTCGTCTATCGTCTTGGATCAAATTTTTCACTGCTAACACGTTTTCTTCCGTAACAGCCGTTTAAGGGCGACCACTTATTTTTGCATCCCCCAAAGTTAGTCGACCGCGCTTAAATTCATTATACCAATGATACACGGTTGCCTTAGAAAAACCTTCATCCGTGAATGCCATTTGGAGTCTATCGTACGATTCGTTCGGTTTCAGGCGACACTTAAAATCGTAAAAAATCATAGCGCGAAAATGTTCTCGACGCAAATCCATTTTTCAATAAGAAAGTAATTTTAATTAGCTCGCAAAAAATGTGGAGGGAAGTTTTGAATTTAGAACGTACCTATTTTTATATTTAAGTAATCATATTTTTCAATAAATTATAACTGGCCAGTCTCACATACATAAAAACTTTTTCTCGCAATACTTTCTGAGTGACCTAGTACATGTATATGTGCTTTAGATTAGATTATATACATAGAACACCGAGTGTCAAAAACTTGACCCGTTTTTTACACTCGGTTCTTGATACGTGGATTTTTATTTAGATTAAATTTTCCGAAGTCATTTTTTTTTAAATACATTGGAGTATATTTTTCTGATATACAGCATCCATGTTTCTTTTTCTAACACACATATAAATCAAAGTCATCGGAGGGAAAGGGATTGTTAGTAATGGAGACTGAGAATCCCATTGCTAGCAATATACCCAACCAGGTCGACCTCCTCGCGGTTCCCCCTGGAAACTATCATGGGTAATTCCTGATGAATTCATCACGATGGGCTAACTGGCCTGTTTTCATTCTTATCTATCACCCTTCACTGGTGCTCCGCCAGCGTATCCCGTTAGCGCAGGCGGGGTTACCATACCATTTTCACCCATCAAAAAAAAATCAAAGTCATCAGTAAAAAAATAGATCACAATACGAATTGTTATGAACTCTTTATTTTGTTTTATCAAATATAATTTCTCCTATATACGAAGTAATATTATGGACATTATGGCAACCCTATTTACGTACGCATTGATACCTAATTGAGCTGTTTTTAGCGAAACATTTGTATGGAGATTTGAAACGCCTCCACTTTTGACATACATATCTATATTCTATACATATTTAAGTCTAATTTAACTTTCAAAGGGAGACTTTGTACAAAAGTCGTTTGTTAGGACACCTCTATCCCATTCGTGTTTCTACCGTGAAGCAGTTGTGTTTGCATGGCTGTATTTCAGTTTAAAGGTTGGAACATGGCAGTGAATTTACAGGGTGTAAATAACACAAGAATAATACCTGAGTCCTCAGAAAGTTATCATGGCTAAACAGTATACTCTGTTATGTCCATGGTACTGCTCATGTCTATAGGCGACGGTTACCACTTACCATCAGGTGGGCCGGCAGCTTTTTTTAGATTCTAAATTGCATAAAAAATTTCATTTACAAAGATTTTAACAGGGAGTTCATCCTCATGTCCTACAGCCTCAATGGTCGCGTACTGCGCGGTTTCAAAGATTGATCCTCCCACGAACACTCAGGTTGTGGAATGAGCTCCCTGCCGAGGTTTTCCCAAGAGACTACAGCATGGAGTTCTTCAAAAGGGGGGTAAAGAGGTTTCTTCAGGGTCGGCAACGCACGCGTAATACCTCTGGTATTGCAGGTGTTCATAGGCTACGGTAATCACTTACCATCAGGTGGGCCGTATGCTTGTTTGCCACCTCAGTGGTATAAAAGAAAAAAGATTTTAACTAAATAAACACAAACATTTAAGCATAAAAACGTGAATAAAATGAAAATCTTGTAAACTTATAACTTATTTAAAGTGGGGGCCTCAATAAGCTATGCCGGCCCGGGCTTCTGGCGGGCTTAGTCCGCTTAGTCCGCCATTGTTCACAGGGCATTATAATTAAAAATTATGTCCCACGCAAAAAAAAATGAAGTCAACTGTGACAAGAGCAAATATTTTGATTTATAAACTAAATAACTGAATCGTTTTTAAAAAAATTCTTGTAAACTAATCTGTAAAAGTATAAAAAACATAAAAAAAAAATAGAAATCGGATTACAACTGACCTTTGCAAATGACACAATTATGACACAAACATAAACAAACATAAAAAAAATACACTCGAACTCTTTTTTTTAAGTCGATTGAAAACAATTAGAACTTACCAACTTTTATGTACTTCGATGATAAATAAAGACTTTCTTCAACTGGCGTCGATATTATTTTTTTATTAATTTACATAAAGATATGGCATGTTACAAATTGTTAAATAGATAAGATAAAAAAAAAAATATTCATTATCTTTGTATATAACTAGTGATCCGTCCCGGCTTCGCGCGAATGTATAGGCAGAAAGATACACTTTTTTTTTTAAACCACTAAGCTGGCAAGCAAGCATAAGGTCCACTTGATAGTGAGAGATTACCGTAGCCTATAACGCCTGCAATACCAAAGGCATTACGCGCGCGTTGCTAACCCTAAAGAAATCCCTTCACACCTTTTTTGAAAAATCCCATGCTGTATTTTATATATTTGCTTTCACAGGCAAATTTCGGTTACTTTTTATTGCGTTATTATAATTTACGCAAAGATACGATTACAGGATCAGGGAAATTGGAAAAAAAGTAAATTAAGTAATCGTAAAATAATGTATATAGTTTTTTTTTTTTATGCAATTTAGAATGGCAAACAAGCAGACTGTCCACCTGATGAAAAGTGGTAACTGTCGCGTATAGGGGGGAAAGAGATTGTTAGTAATGGAGTTTAACAGCCCCATTACCAGCAATATACCCTATCAGGTCGACCTTCAAGTGATTCTCCCTGGAAACAATCGTGAACAATTCTTGTTGAATTCGTCACGATGGGCTAACTGACCTGCTTCATCCTCACCTTCACTTCTATCAGCTTTCACTGGTGCCCCGCCAGTGTATACCGATAGCGCGGGTGGGGTTACCATTCCATTATCACCCATTAAAAAAAAATGTCGCGTACTGTTTTTATTCTAACAGATTACAACAAATTGGGTCTCAAGAACAATTCTTTAAAATTTTTTTTTTTTTTTTGCGAAACAGTACACTCTATTATGTTCATGGTACTGCTCATGTCTATAGGTGACGGTTACCACTTTCCATCAAGTGGACCGTAAGCTTGTTTGCCATTCTAAGTTGTATAAAAAAAAAAACAGTGAACAGGTATGACACATTCTCATCGTAATTAATAAAATAATGTTTATGCTATTATTGTGGTGGTAAAAACAAACGATTTTATCTATGATTCGCATGCTGTTTGAACTTTATGGACTGGCTGATTCGGTGAACTTGGTATCACCTACAAAGTAATTCTCAGTAATTATGCAAAATTACTTTTGATTTTTCTAATTTTTCAGCTGAACTTTTCTTTGGTTTTCCATTTTTTTTTTCTTTTAAACTGTCCATGTATTATAGTCAACAAAACAAAAAAAAAATTTAGACAGTAAAGCCATTTTTGAGTTTTAGTAAAACTAACGAACAGCTATTGTTTTATATATAATAAATAATAATAGATTATCCCTGTGATAATAAAAAATATTGGAAATAATAATCGCGATTAGATCACTTATGGGACAGAACGACAAATAGTCACTACTAAATAATCAGTGTTGCCATACGCAAATTTAAATTCAAATAATTTTTATTCAAACAGACTTTTATAATGTAATTTTTTTAATCTACTGAAGGCTTCGGTTGTAATCTGTTTCGAAATGTAGCGGGCTCTTAACACTAGATAGGCGACTAAATGCTGGAATAACATACCCCCTCCAATGAGACTAGCTGCATCTAAATCCATTTTAAAAAAAAAATATTAAAATAGCATTTATTAAATAACAAAAAACTTGGGTTAGTCGCCTGGTAGCGACTGCTTTCAATATAATAATTAATGTGGTTTATCCAGACAGTTTTTACCAGAGGGAGACTTTGTACAAAAGTCGTTTGCTTGGGTACCTCTGTCCCATTCGTGTTTCAACCGTGAAGCAGTTGTGTTTGCATGGCTGTGTATCGGTTTGAATGGTGGGATATGTCGTGAATTTACTGGGTACAGAGGAATAACACCTGAATCCTTAGGAATGGCAACGCCTGAGGGGTGTCATGAGCGAAACAGTATTCTCTGTTATGTCCATGATACTGCTCATGTCTATAGGCGACGGTTACCACTTTCCATCAGGTAGGCATTCAGCTTGTTTGCCATTCTAAGTTGTATAAAAAAAAAAGTTTTTTATTACAAGAACCTATTGTTACATATTTTCTTGGGTTTCCTAATTGGATTTAAATTTAATATTAAAAGAAACCGACTACTTAACGTAAATCGTTTATTCAAAATCACTCATGACAAAAGTGTGAGACAATAGATGTCATAAACAAACTTAAAAAAATTACAATACATAGATCTTTTACGAAACGCATGAACATTCATAAACGATCTTTTCTAAACTACCAATAATTTACGACACGTTTTATTCAAATAGAATGAAAATAAAAAAAAATAAGACGTAATGTCACTGTCAATTGAGTGTCACTTAAAAAGACATTTGTTTGTTTTCTTTTTTATTATTGTCGCTTCCGTGCATTGAAAATCGATAAAAATGAGAGGAAGAATTTAAATATTTAATTGTTGATACTGATTGTATGTTCGTAATTAATGAAACCTTTTTCAATTATTCTTAAATAATATGGATGCGGCCAATAGAGACTCATTAGACATTAAGAAGTGGCACAACTATTGTCGGTGTTGTATGAAGACCGGTCATTTTAAAGATATTACTGCCGAGTATGATTATTACGGACAGAAAGAAATTTATGACGAAATGCTTAAAGGAACGTTTAATATTCAGGTTTGTATATTTTTAATTATTTTTTATATAATGTTTTGCAGTGAGACAAAACGTGCAAAATATTTTATAAAAATAAAAGACCTAAAGTTTGTGTGTAATTTCGTCAGTTTAAAAATTAGGTATGTCAGTTTTTATATTTAGGTTCATGGTTTCAAAACGAAATCTGCTTGACATCGAAAACAAAACACAATTGAAGTCAAAAACTAGCCTTTCTCTATATGAATATATAAGATGCACACATTGCCACTTATAAAAGTTAATTTTTTCTTAACGCGTTAAAAAGTATCCTATCCTAACTCCTGAAACACAGGTTTTTTCATACTTACCTCGGGAGTTAGGGACTTCAAACTATATTGTAACAAAGAGTGAAATAAAAAATATTTATATTTATTTATTTATCCTGTCTCAAGTTGGTACAAAGAATACATATTTTTAACATTTAATTAAAACCAGTTGAACAGTTTCGGTAATTAGAGTAAAAGAACATAGTTACATGGGATTTTCAACATAAACATTCTAAAGGCTGTATATTTTTTTATACAACTTAGAATGGCAAACAAACTGACAGCCCACTTGATGGAAAATGGTAACCATCGCCTATAGACATGATCAATACCATGGGCATCTATCTATCTATCCACTTAAGAGCTGCGCTACCATGGGCATAACGGAATTAATTGTTTCGCCCATGATAACCTCCATGCGTTGCCATTCCTTAGGACTCGGGTGTTATTCCTCTGCACCTTGTAAATTCACTGCCATATCCCATCTTTAAAATTCACAAATCTAAACACAACCATGCAAACACAACTGCTTCATGGTAGAAACATGAATGGGACAGAAGTGCCCAAGCAAACAACTTTTGTGCAAAGTCTCCTTCTAGTTATATGTTATATACATATTACATTAAATTTACTTGCCCCTTACATGTACATAACATATCTAGTGTTATCTTCTCTTCCAGAAAACTCGATACTCAACTGAAATGAACAAATTATTTACATTACCAAAAAAACCTCATAATATAAATTACATGGAGTCTTTTCTAACCCTGACATTGGCTGAAAATCACCATTGTGTCTATGGTGGAAGCCATTTAGAAAAAAAAAAGAAGTAAAATACCCATTTCTATCTATATATAACAGTATTGCATGAGCCTTTAACTGTCCACTGTTGAACGTAGCATAAGGTTGGTTTTGCTAGTAGTTGCCACACTTGGCAACTGCAGTTAGCCTTTAGATATCTTAAGAGGGATGCTGTTGTCCATCCATCGATCATTAAGTTCCCTTAGTCACCCCTAATAACACCCATGGGGAATGAAGGGGTGGCTCATTTTATACGGGGACCATGTGGTAATAATAAAGTATTTCATAACACTATCTTATTGTTATAAAATCTTTATTGTACATAATTTACATTGGACACATTAAAAGATTTAATATACAATGGCGGACTTATCCCATAAAGGGATCTCTTACAGTCAACCCTTGAGAAGCTGAAAGAAAACTATAGAATGTTTAAGGCTAAAAACCATACAGCTAAATAATAATAATTATAATTTTGGACTTTTTTTTTGTTTGCTCCATTAAATATTTATTAGTAACAATATTCTTAAAACTAATGTTAGTAAATTTACATAATTTACATAAATTTACAATCCCTATGAGGTTGGCATAGTCACTCTGGTGTACTAAAGCCTCAACAAAAATATGATTAAAAAAAAATAAATAAAAAAAAATTAACATACAAAATACACACACACACACACACACACACATAATATATTAAATAGTATACAGATAATCACCGCTGTACAATTTCATTGGAAATTGCGCAGCAATGATTAACGTACACACAGTGCAGCCTGCTTGCCATCATACTCAGGATGCTGTTGGCGCTGGCATGTACTGTGTTCACCAGGGATGCATACCTTTTCCGCATTGTGGCATAAAAACAACCTACACGATGCTCAGCGGACATCCCTGACGCGCTACAGAATTGTGACAGCCCCTATAACACCCTGAACACTTTTTTTTTTGATGGGTGAAAATGGTATAGTAACCCCGCCTGCGCTAACAGGATACGCTGGCGAAGCACCAGTGAAGGGTGATAGATGAGAATGAAAACAGGCCAGTTAGCCCATCATGATAAATTCATCAGAAATTAACCATTATAGTTTCCAGGGAGAACCGCGAGGAGGTTGACCTGGTTGGGTATATTGCTAGCAACAGGATTCTCAGTCTCCATTACTAACAATCCCTTTCCCTTCAAACCCTGAACACGTTATTATATTGAATACGAAGGTCGCTGTAGGATTTTTGGGTACATACAGACCACAGGTTGCATGTGTAGAAAGATGTGCAATATTAAAAAATAAATCTATTTGTTGGAACCAAATATTATGAAATACATGTTTTTACAAATTACAAAAGTAGAGTAGTGTACGATAACAGCCACGTTAGTTAAAAATAACTGTGTCGTGGCAGTCAACGCCCACCTCCTCAAGGCAGAGGCGCTAACGTTCCAGTGCAATAAATAAATCTGTTAATTAAATAAAGGCAAAGTTAGTGTTAAGATATAGCATGTACATATAGCACATATATATACGCCCAACATACATATAAACATTTAGTTTAATATGATCTAAATAATATTTTTCTATTTAGATAGATAGATAATTTATTTACATTATTTACAGCACACAAATTACAATAAAAAAAAAAAAAACATACACATTGGTCATGGCTGGAAAGAAGCCATATAGTATATTTAAAAAAAGAAAAAATATGATTTGAATTTTTGCATACCATTCTTGTCTCTCTTTGTGTAATGTCTAACTATAATTTTGTTATGTAAATAAATATAAAAATCACTAGTGGAACTATAAAAGTGGTATCATTTTGGAGTACGTCGTATACACATAATACACAATAAAAGAGATAAAAGAATGAAAATAAAAAAGCAACAAAACAAAAAAAAAACAATATATGAACTAACAATCTCATTTCTTTCCTTTTCTAAACTGTCCCTTATAGAACAATAATTCAATATGCTGTCTGGATGTCAGGTTTAAATTTTCTTTTTACCCCTTTCAGACCTGAACGATACGGGCGTGATTGTAACTTTAAAAAATAAAAAACCGCGCGCAATTCATTTTTACGCACGAAGCTGAAATAACATGATAGTGAGATTCTAAACCAGCCAATAAGAAATCGTTTTAGCGGTTAGGTGGTGCAGTAGTCTCGTGGGTGCCGGCAACATGGCTTAGCTCCAAAACACGAAAATATATTTACTCTGAAAAAAAAAATCTTGAGTCTAAAAGGGATATATGATGAGGCCATTACATTAACCAGCTCTTAGTACCTGTCTATAAATCTTTCTACCAGTCTTTGGATGCTGTGTCGTTTTTCAAGCGAGAGAAACTAATGCTTCCCAATCCTAGTAATTGTGGGCCAATTAAAAAAAATATATAAATTTATGTATATGGACATCAAACTAATTAAAGTCGATTGCTTGGGCACCTCTGTCCCATTCGTGTTTCAACCGTGAATCTGTTGTGTTTGCATGGCTGTGTTTCGGTTTGAAGGGTGGGACATGGCGTGAATTTACTGGGTACAGAGGAATAACACCTGAGTCCTCAGGAATGGCAACGCATGGGGGGTATCATGGGCGAAACAGTCAACTCTGTTATGTCCATGGTACTGCTCATGTGTATAGGCGACGGTTACCACTTTCCATCAGGTGGGCCGTCAGCTTGTTTGCCATTCTAAGTTGTATAAAAAAAAAAAACTGAAAATGGTGAAATAGGAAATCGAGACATTCAGCAAAAATTATCAATCCAGGTTGAATAGGCATAAAGACAAACTAAATAATTATTTATTATTTTATTTACAGATTCCTAGCGTTACTGAATACCGTCAAATTTGTGAAGACTGTACCTTGAGGTTGCGGGATGCCACCACATTCAAGCACATGGTGGTGGAAACCAACAGAATCTTCTCGGAGTATCTCTCAAACTCACTGTGTGATGTAGGTTAGTTAATTGGTTTGCCAAAGATAATCAAGGGAGATGTTTCCTCCCACGAACACTCAGGTTGTGGAATGAGCTCCCTGCCGAGGTTTTCCCAAGAGACTACAGCATGAGGTTCTTCAAAAGGGGGGTAAAGAGATTTCTTCAGGGTCGGCAACGCACGCGTAGTACCTCTGGTATTGCAGGTGTTCATAGGTTACGGTAACCATTTACCATCAGATGGGCTGTATGCTTGTTTGCCACCACAGTGGTATAAAAAAAGGCCCTTAGAGTGGGTTGTTTTTTTTTTTTAATGGATGATGATGGTATGGTTGCACTTGCGTCAACGGTTTACGCTGGCGGGGCACCAGTGAGGGATGTTAGGCCAGGATGAAAAGGCAGGCCAGTTAAAGATAATATACTTAAAGATTTTTTTTTTTTATTTATTTACACTTTATTGCACCAAGTAAAAAGAGAAATAACAAATACAGTAAATATTTATGGGAAGTGATACAAAAGGCGGCCTTATCGCTAAGCAATCTCTTCCAGACAACCTTTGAGTAGAGGACATTCAGAAAAAGACAAAGAATCCCATAGAAGTTTTACTAAAATCGGTTCTCGGAAGTCGGTGTTTTCTTTTTTCGAGGTACAAAATCTACTTTTGCGATATTTTCACATACAGACAGTCCTCGATTTACGTTGCTTTAAGTTACGTTAAACAATGTTTTGACACTATTGCTCAAGCATACGTCAATTGTTTCGATTCCCGGCATAAGAGAGTTCATTTCACATCATATAATTATTTTAAGAACTTTTTTTTTTATACAACTTAGAACGGCAAACAAGCTGACGGCCCTCCTGATGGAAAGTGGTAACCGTCGCCTATAGACATGAGCAGTACCATGGACATAACAGAGTATACTGCTTCGTCCATGATACTCCCCATGCGTTGCCATTCCTGAGGACTCAGGTGTTATTCCTCTGTACCCAGTAAATTCACGCCATATCCCCACCTTCAAACCGAAACACAGCCATGCAAACACAACTGCTTCACGGTTGAAACACGAATGGGACAGAGGTACCCAAGCAATCGACTTTTGTACAAAGTCTCCGTCTGGTAATGGCATTTATTATATTAACAGGATTTATTGCAGATAATAAAGCATTAATCACAGAAATGAAACTGGAGTCTGTAAAAGTCGAAAGCCTACCGGTTGCCAGTGATGTTTTCGATGATGATGATGATTGCGTTGATGACAGTCTCGATGATAACGGTGAGTGATGTACAGTAACGACCTAAAGGGTGGAGAGGGGGGGGACACCCTTGTTTATAAAATGGCGGTAGCCGGTCTTTATTTTGTTATATATTTTTTTTATATTAAAAAAAAATTAACAGACCGCATGTTTGTTGCCTTAGTATTTTTTTTTTAATTTATTCAGTTATTTACTTATTTTTACCAATTTTAATTTGTTTTATCTTGTAATCTTTATTTTTTTTTTAATAGATGTAAATGGAATGGTAACCCTGTCCGCACTATCGGTATACGCTGCGGGGCACCAGCGAGGAATGATAGGTGACGATGAAATGTAAAATGAATGACAGGGGATATATCGATAGCGCGGTATACACCGACGGGGCACCAGTGGAAGATCATAGGTGAGAATGAATGCAGGTCAGTTGGCCCACCATGATGAATTCCACAAGAATTAAACATGATGGTTTCCAGGGGGAACCGCGTGGAGGTCGACCTGATAGGGTCAATTGCTAGCAACGGGGCTATTAGACCTCATTACTAACAATCCCTATCCCCCCTAATCTTGAATATTAGTTAATTTTAAATTTTCGCCTTGTTTACATATTTTAAATAAATTTATTACTTTTAAATTACATTTCAGAGATTCTCGCCAATATAAAACTAGAGTTAAGCAGAGACAATGTGAATGAACGTTTGGAATCCATAGAGAAATCAGTCAAACGGAAATGTACCTATAAGAATGTTCCAGAATCAAAAAAATTTAAATCGAATAAAGTTGATATGGGTAAAATGGATTATTATATATATTTTTTCTAAAACTAAATTAATATTATAATTATTGCCGTGTGGTCCCGGCGTAGAACAAACCACCCCTTTAAAAGCTTTACTAAAAAAAAAATTAAACTCTATTCTATAATCATCATCATCATACCAGCCTTTAACTGTCCACTGCTGAACATAAGCCTCCCCCTAGGGGGGTTTTGCCAGTAGTTGCCACGCTTGGCAAGCGAATTGGCAACCGCAGTTAGGCTTTAGAGATGTTTTAAAAGGGACGCTGCGGCCCATCCCTCGGCCTCCGTTAGTGTCGCCTCTTACGACACCTACGGGAAATGAAGGGGTGGCCCATTCTATGCCGGGACCGCACGGACATATATCCTCTTACGTGTGCCTCCACGCGGTTCCCCCTGTAAACCATCGTGGTTGATCAATGTTGAATTCGCCACGATGGTACAACGGACCTATTTCATCCTCACCTATCATCCCTGACTGGTGCTCCGCCAGCGTATACCGATAACGCAGGCGGGGTTACCATTCCATTATCATCCATTAAAAAAAAAAGGTTTTTTTATTAAACACTTTGGACATCACTAAAAACATTTTGTAGGATTTTTGAAATTTGTAACATGTGTCTACATGTTTTTTTTCCTTGATGGGTGAAAATGGTATGGTAACCCCGCCTGCGCTAACGGGATACGCTGGCGGGGCACCAGTGAAAGGTGATAGATGAGAATGAAAACAGGCCAGTTAGCCCATCATGATGCATTCATCAGGAATTAACCATGATAGTATCCAGGGGGAAATGCGAGGAGATCGACCTGGTTAGGTATATTGTTAGCAATGGGATTCTCAGTCTCCATTACTAAAAATCCCTTTCCCCCCTATGTGTACATGTTTATCAAATCTTCGCAGATAAACCACAAAAAGACTGGCGCAAAATAGTTGAAAGGCGCGGCAATGGTCCGATACTCAGGGAGATATCGCTGAAACTCCTCGCCAATTCCACCATGTGTGTATTTCAATGGAATAAGAGCCGGTACAGATGCTTCTGCTGCAAGGAACCCTTCTCCGATATGGACACGCTGAGGCACCACACCGCCGAGCAGCACACGTTGGAGAACATCGAAAAGAAGATCATCTTCCAACAAAACAGGCTCGTCAAAGTCGAAATCTCTGAACTAAGGTGCCGTCTGTGTAACAGAAAGATGGAAACGCTGCAAACGTTCCGAGACCACTTGAGCACCACCCACGGAATGGAGTTCACGCTAAAAGAAGACTTACTCGTACCGTTCAAGATTCAAAATGGCGATTTGCACTGCCAGTTATGCACGGAGAGCTTCAGTACATTCAGACTGCTTAATATACACATGAACAAACATTACCAGAAGCAAGTGTGCCATATATGCGGTGCTGGGTTCTCGAATTTGGTGTTTCTGAACCTCCACAAAACGAGGTCCCATCGTCCGTTGACTTGCAAAACTTGCGACGTGCTGTTCCCGTCGAAAACTGAGAAGAGACGCCACGACGCGGTAGTCCACGGGGTGAAAGTGGAGAGGAAATTAAGATTCCCCTGCCCATACTGCAGCGAACGGTTCTACCAAGAGAATTTCCGTGTACAACATTTGGTGGAGAAGCATGGAATGGTGAAGCCGCAGTTCGCTTGTGCGGTTTGCTCGAAGATCTTCATCACGAAAAGCCTGTGCAACAATCACACCAAGAATGTGCACATGAAGGAGAAGAATCATGAATGCAACGTGTGCCATAATTTTTTTTACACCAAATCCGACGTTTTGAGGCACAGTGTGACGCACACTGGCGAGAAAAAATTCTCGTGCGGAACGTGCAATGGACCGTTTGCGACGAAGGACTCCCTCCGGCGTCACATGAAAAGAGCCCACATGGGTTTAAATTAAATATTTTTTGTTAAACTGTAGTTTTCTTTATTCTTTATTGTACACAAAAGGTTATTGAAATGTAAAAACAAACATAATAGTGCACAAAGGCGAGCTTATCTCCAATAGAGATTTCATCCAGCAAACCCAATTCTTTCTATGGATGGTAATGGTATGGTAACCCCGCCTGCGCTAACGGGATACGCTGGCGGAGCACCAGTGAAGGCTGATAGATGAGAATGAAAACAGGCCAGTTAGCCCATCATGGTGAATTCATCAGGAATTAACCATGATAGTTTCCAGGGGGAACCGCGAGCAGGTCGACCTGGTTGGGTATATTGCTAGCAATGGGATTCTCAGTCTCTATTACTAACAATCCCTTTCCCCCAGAATATCGTTAGGTGTAGACAATAAAAAAATCCATATTAATTCCAAGGTTAATATAATAATAGTCACATAAGAACACATACGTGCGTACATAGCTTTAGAAATTGAAATAAAAAAAATGCACGTGTATGTTTTACCCCCGTCTCGTGGGATCCGTATCAATACTATTACTAACTTATTATACTTACTTATAGTATAAAACAAAGTTGCTTCCCGTCTATCTGTCCCTTATGTATGCTTAGATCTTTAAAACTACGGAACGGATTTTGATGCCTTTTTTTTTAATAGATAGAGTGATTCAAAAGGAAGGTTTATATGTATAATACATGCATAATATAGTAGAGAGCGGGGAAAGGGATTGTTAGTAATGGAGACTAAGAATCCCATTGCTAGCAATATATCCAACCAGGTCGACCTCCTCGCGGTTCCCCCTAGAAACTATCATGGTTAATTCCTGATGAATTCATCATGATGGGCTAACTGGCCTGTTTTCATCCTCATCGATCACCCTTCACTGGTGCCCCGCCAGCGTATACCGTTAGCGCAGGCGGGGTTAACACTCCATTTTCATCCAATAAATAAATATATATATATATATATATATATATATATATATATACTCTCTCTCTCTATATATATATATATATATATATATATATATATATATATATATATATATATATATATATATATATATATAGAGAGAGGAGACTTTGTACAAAAGTCGATTGCTTAGGCACCTCTGTCCCATTCGTGTTTCAACTGTGAAGCAGTTGTGTTTGCATGGCTGTGTTTCGGTTTGAAGGGTGGGATTAGGGCGTGAATTTACTGGGTACAGAGGAATAACATCTGAGTCCTCAGGAATGGCGACGCATGGGTGGTATCATGGACGAAACAGTATACTCTGTTATGTCCATGGTACTGCTCATGTCTATAGGCGACAGTTACCACTTTCCATCAGGTGATGGCCAGCTTGTTTGCCATTCTAAGTTGTATAAAAAAAAAAGAACCGATAACCCACAATAACAATTTTATTATGCGCAATAAAGAGTTTATTGTTATTACGAGGTCTGTCCGGAAAGTTCGTATAAAAGTGTTCTGGAATGCGAGAAAGAGGAGTGGGGAGGCCAGGTAAGCGCAGGACCCCTTCCTTATGTCCCTAACAATGCTTCAGTTCTGGTCTGACCGCCGTGCGGTGCGAACTGGCTTGTCACGCCATCTGTGAAGTTACCTCTTAACGAAACCCCGTCGGCATGGAGCCCGCTTCCGTTGAAGAGCAGCGCGTCGTAATCAAGTTTCTCTCGAAACTCGGCAAGAATGGCCGTGAAATTTTTGCCGATCTAATTCGATAAGACATCCGGGGAACCACGAACAAAAAAATCAAGAAAATCCCGCTCAAATGTCAAGACAATGTTGATTGTTTTTTTCGATGTTCGGGGGATTGTCCATCAAGAATTCGTCCCTCCAGGCCAGACAGTTGATGGAAAATTCTACGTCGATGTGCTCAGACGCCTCAAAGCTCGTGTGGCACGAGTTCGTCCAGAATTGGCGCGAGAGGGGCGTTGGATTCTTCACCACGACAATGCCCCTGCCCACACCTCTCTTGTTGTCCGTGAGTTTTTGAGTAAAAATTCCATTACGGTGACCGAACACCCCCCTATTCGCCGGATTTGGCCCCGTGTGACTTCTTCTTGTTCCCAAAAACCAAATTGGTACTTCGGGGGCGGCATTTGGGGGACATAAATGAGATAAAAAAAGCTACGACGGGGCAGCTGAGAAACCTACAACCAGAGGACTTTCAAGGAGCCTTCTCACAGTGGAAACGGCGTTGGCACAAGTGCATTATGTCACAGGGGGAGTACTTTGAAGGGGATAAAATTGATTTACCTGAATAATTGTAAAATAAAATTTTTAAAAAACTTTTATACTTACTTTCCGGACAAACCACGTATATATTAATATTTAATTTAACTTTTTATTTCTAACTTATGTATTGATTAGTATAAATGTTTTTTGTACAGCACTCGTGCACATGCTTTCCTTGCTTGTATTGTGTTGACTGGAAGAGATCTTTTGCAAAGATAAGTCCACCCTTGCTGACAATATTTATAAATGCGTAATCTATGTAATTTACAAGCACAATAAAGAATATGTTTATTACGGAACCCTAAAAACAATGAAAAACATAAACAGGCAATCAATATTAGCACAGCTGTCCAACAATTCGTTATAAATTGAAGACATAACAATATTTGCTTCATTTGACAATTAAGCATAATATAATTTAGTTGTGTCTTCGCCATATTTTTTTTTATAAGCAATTTTAACATCATGTTAAATAATCTGCGTAAATTGTTTTTTATTTTAGCTTTTATAATGGTTTCCCTCGATTTTTGCACAGGTAAATAATTTTTTTTTTATTTTTAAATTCTAACGCTAATTCTATATAATAAGTATTTCTTTTTTATTTTTAAGTGGTAGCAGGCCAGTATGAATTCTTGTTTTTTTTTTTTTTAATATATAAAAGATCTATCGATTTACACTGGCGGGGCACCAGTGACGGGCGATAATTAAGGATAAAAGCAGGTCCGTTAGCCCATCGTAACAAATTCCACTAGAATTAACCACGATGGTTTCCAGTAGGACCCGCATGGAGCTCGACCTGATAAAGCCACCTACCTATTTATGCTTTAATTCCTTCTACCCAAAGCTTGTCTGGAAGAGATAAATCTCTATAAAAAGTAAATAATGAAATTAAAAAAAAGAATGTACTTATTCTTTTTCATACAACTGTGTAAAACAAATAAATAAAACTCACTTATCGGTGTTTATATATTTTGTGTAATTAATATGTAGTTTATATTAAACTTTGAATGTAGATAGATAGATAGAAACTTTTTATTTGAGCCATTTATGACACACGTAAATTTACAAATGAATTTATACAATCAAATTATTTACACTTTTCAAAACATACAACAAAAGATAAAATATGAAAATATGGTTTCGCCATGTGTGTCGCAGTGATCCAAATAGGCTACAGCTCAGTCATGGTTTTGCTTAAAAGCAAAGCACTGATTTTCAGCTGCAGCTTGAAGTTAGGCTACACGGACGCGTGCAACGAACCCAGAGTGTAACCTGTGTAACAGCCAAAGATAAAATGTACTTATCGCACAATGTTATGGTTATGTTAATAATAAATTTAAGTGTTTTTATTGCAATGTACACAAATCATATGATTGTTTTAATTAACAATTTAAATCACATGTAAATGTTTGCTGGAAGAAATATTTTATTAGAGATAAGCTCGTCTTGTACGTTACATTTAAAATTAAAATTAAAGACTAAAGAAAGAAGAAAAATTACATCATTTTTTTTTTTACATACAGCTGGTTATATAATTTTTAAATTACTGGTTTTGTTATATTACTGTTTTTTTTTCACACAGCTGAATGTCACGGTGACAATAACGCGACAAGCGGCTGCAGCAACTACTGTGGCCATGAATGCTTTCAATCAGGACCCAGGGCGTGCCCAGATTTCTGCATGGTTGACGGCTGTGCATGTCTATCGGGTTACCAGTATGATACTGTAATAAGAAAGTGCGTGCTGCCAGTAGATTGCACTAAAAATATCTAAGTTACAGTTTATCCGCTAAGGAAACAAAGGTACAATGTTATACAGCCTTATCTTCTGTAGTACACTATTATTGCATAATTATAGTCTATGATTGTACAACATTACGAAAATACTATGAAATAAAATAAAACTTTTTTTAATTTGTTTTTTTTTTTCTACGATTATGGCGGTCTCTCTGCAATACTCTAGTGCGTAGAATTTGCGGTTGACGCATTCCTATAGAAATTTGGTACATTGTTTTCATATATTTCAGTATAATTACGCAGGTAGTTTCCTAAATATATGAAAACTGTAAAGGTAACTGAAATACGACAACATTCGTCCAAGTAACTTGACAGTTTATTCATAATAAACACACAATCAATACACGAAGCACTATAATCGCACTGTTATATTAAAAATGTGGAAGAAGCGAAAGAGGTTTGTTTGAATCGAAGCATTTGGCGTTCCATTGTTTCTGCCTACCCTAATGGGAGACAGGCGTGACAGATATGTATGTATATTAAATTTTTTTTAATAAATAAATACAATTTTTAGACAAAATCAATTTAGAGAGCATGACAAATATTAAGGTTATTATTGTTAAGTCAATAATATTTTTCTTTTTCGATTTTCAAATTTCACTAAAGAATTTATTGATACCTAGTTTGTGCACAGTGGAAGCGTGCTGGGCCCATAACCTGATGGATGTGGAGTTTTACGGGAGACCAATAATGTTATTTAATATTTTCAATATTTTATTACGTACAATGTTACAAAGATTATTTTAGTGACAAGACACAAGTATTTTTATTTTTCTAATTAATTGAGCTGTAGGTCTATGGCCGTGTACAACCTTTTTCTTACAGCCCCTTAACATTCTGTCCAGCGATATTCATCATAATCTTTCTGCATGCAAAGTTAGTAGTTAGTTAGTTACTGAATTCAGAAAATATCCTGAGTGTTGTAGTGACTCAGGATATTTTCTAAAACGGTATTATTCGATAAAACCTTAGATTATGTAGATTGAGCCTCGAGCCTCAAAAACATGACCAGTACCATGGGCATAACAGAGTATACTGTTTCACCCATGATACCCCCCATGCGTTGCCATTCCTGAGGACTCAGGTGTTATTCCTCTGTACCCAGTAAATTCACGCCATATCTCACCCTTCAAACCGAAACACAGTCATGCAAACACAACTGCCTCACGGTTGAAACGCAATGGGACAGAGGTACCGAAGCAAACGACTTTTGTACAAAGTCTTCCTATTTAAGAATATTTAAGAACGAACACGCTAGGGACATATTACTGAATTTGCATAGGCTACGATGAGGGTCGTGGCAAGGGAGTAATGTGGCGTGGCCATTGCTCAATAAGAGTGCATAGTCATACATTATTGCTTTAATTATATACTTAAAAAAAAAAAAAAACAGTTTTCCCACCTCTTCTTTGGTTTCGGCGTTTTGGTTCCCTATAGCCATTTCTAAGTATGAAAACGGGGAAATCAACGTGTATCAAAATAGTAATAATTTGGGAACAAAGACATTATAAATAGTGCAATAAAGTTTAAAATGAATAAAAAAGATCAGAAGAGTAGAAAAAGGATAATAAAAAAATATAGACATAATAAAAAAAAAACACGCACACACACACACACACAGCTCTACATACAGTTATATTAACAAAGTTGTCGCAGAAAAAAATAGCGACAGAAAGTATAGATTATTAAAAAAAAAAAAACTATCACTAATACCAAAACCCTTACCGTTCCTTTTTAATATCCCGTCTCGTTTCCTGTTTATTAGTGACATAATACGCAACACTAGCTCTTTGCCATTTAAAAAAAAATCACAAATACTAACTTTTTAATCGTGTATTCTATATAAAAAAAAAAAAAACATGATCATTAATACTAATAAACGAAATGGAGAAAGCATGTTTTTTACATTAAACATATTTGTCGTATAAAATGGTTGGCAATTATTCAACAATCGTGTAATCACGAACGTTAGGTAAGTTAAAAAGTAATAAAAGGCAAATGAATGGTCAAGTGCGAACTACAATCGTTAGTTCTAGCGTTCTGTATCCTCGCAAGTGATGTTTATATTTCATCTGTACGTATTATGATACTAACTGGAAGGGATTAATGTTATATTTATAATTAAACCGTGATCTCATAATCTTAACACTATATCTTAACATAAACTTGCTGTTCCGATGTATCGTTTAGAAAAAGTTAATACGTCTTTTATGGGAATGGACATTAAATGAGAGTTACTTTAATGATAAATGAGATAGTTACTTTCAAAGTATACTTTCCTATGGTATATTATTATGGGGTAAGACTGCCGACATCTAAAGCATATTTCTATAACAATAACGTGCTATTTGTGCAATTTATTCTATGAAAAGTCGTGAGTCATTTCTTTCCAATAATGCTTCGCAGCAAACTACACCGTAAAGGAATTTATATAATCTGTAATTTTATACTTTAAAATTTCTTATTACATTCCATCGCAGCAACAACACAAATATTGAAGAACCCTATGCTGTAGTCTTTATTGTTAATTGGCTTTATTTTCCAAGGACGCAACTTCAGCCTTGCAAGAATTTTTTTTTTTCTTTAGTGGCGTTCGTTCACCCCGATATTAGGGTATTTTGCCGAAATCTAAATTGGACGTAGACTATATTTTTGACATTGACATTTTGTTCATAAAAAAATTGTTTTGTTTGGTTTCATAACCGGATCATATAGAAAAAATAATATTTGTATAATATCTATGTTACCAATTGACTTTCAATATTTTTCATTAAAATACATTATAATTAATAATAAATAATTGTACAGTACCATGAATGTTAGTTTATTTTATTGTATAATATTTACTGGTGGTTACATAGATTATTTTCCAGTTTCGTTTATATCTAGGTAGTTTCGACGACTTAAACTTAACTAACATCATTAGACATTTGTTTTTTTTATTATTAAAAATAAAAAGTTGACATATTTCAGTTATTTTTTTATTTGTTTATCTACACTAAAATTATGGATTCTTGTCGCTGTTGCCTCACAAAGCCTTGCTTTAAAAATATATCCGACGAATATTCTTATGGCGGACAAATTGAAATATATAGTGATATGTTATTGAATACATTTAATTTATACGTAAGTTCTAAATACAATTTATTTATTTCAATTTATAATTCTGATAATAATGAATTCTATTTTTAAATGTTTCGTATGTACACATTAGATTTTAATGTAATCATTACCGGTTTAATTTGTAATTTAGTCGATAAAGCTCGATCATATTCGACACTATCCAGGACCCTTAGTCTTGAGCGGCTTTTACGTGAGCGCTAGCCTGATATTCTTGGTACACGTAAATTAAACCGACAGTTATTACATTAATAATTTTTATTTTTACCAAAGATATTGGCGCATTTTAGATAATTTTTCAGGGAGACCTCTTAATGAGCACACAATGTAGTCTTAAGTCTGTATCCTTCGGATGAGCTGCAGTTGTTTCTAGGATCCCCTCCCCTAAATAAATCTATACCAGAGAGAGACTGAACAAAAATCTACATGAATACCTCTGCCTTACATTAATATTTTCTTCTAGATAACAAAATTCACTGATTGTGAAGCACAAATGATATGTGACAGATGTATCACAAGACTCAGAGATGCCACCGAATTCAAGAAGCAAGTGCTGTCAGCGGAAGAAACTCTGTTGAGCCAGTATACTGTGTCAGATGGTTTATCTAAAGGTATCAATTATAATACTTACTAGTGATCTGTCCCAGCTTTGCATAGGTACATAGATATGTCCTATACCCAAATGTTGTCTGGAAGAGATTGCTTAGCAATAAGGCCGCCTTTTGTATCACTTCCCATTAATATTTATAAGTATTTACTATTTTACAAATATTGCATTAAATAATTAAATAGATAGAAATATAAATTTGTATTTTATAGTAACTTTATTTCTCTGTACCCTGTAAATTCAGTTACATTCACACTTTACAATTTTCCATTTTTTTTTTCAGAAGGAGACCTCATATTGGATATTAAAGAAGAGGATTATAATGAAACTTCTGATGGTCAATCTGATGATTCAACCTTTATCATTGATCAGGGCAGCATCAATGATTCTGAAGGTACATAAATGGTTGAATATAGATATGTTAAAATACATGGTGTGCGTAAGTATATAAAACGCTTATAAAGCAAACGAGTCAGCTTTTTTTTTATACAACTTAGAATGGCAAACAAGCTGACGGCCCACCTGATGGAAAGTGGTACCTGTCGCCTATAGACATGAGCAGTACTATGGACATAACAGAGTATACTGTTTCGCCCATGATAATCCCCATGCGTTGCCATTCCTGAGGACTCAGGTGTTATTCCTCTGTACCCAGTAAATTCACACCATATCCTACCCTTCAAACCAAAACACAGCCATGCAAACACAACTGCTTTATGGTTGAATCACGAATGGCACAGAGGTACCCAAGCAATCGACTTTTGTATAAAGTCTCCCTCTGGTATACAAAGTTTCCCTCTGGTAATTTGACAATTAGCTGACAAAAAGTTGATTCGTTTTTGAAACTCAATATATAATCTAAGCTAAAAGGATATATTCACAGATTGTTTCTATAGAAATTTCATAAAATCAGTTGATGTCATTGCAATTTAATAAAAAATATACAATTTAGTTTTTGGATCAAAGTAACTCCTTTTTTCACAGTTAAAATCGGTTTTTTCTGTAGGACGCAATTTTTATTTTATTTTTTAATTACAGGACAAATATTTGTAATCAAAATGGACAAGAAAGAAGAATCTGTTAATGAAAAATCAACAGTACGTAGGCCTCTACCGGTGCGGAGGAAAAGTGAGGCCAGAGTGAGGTCTTTAAGGAAGTCGAGTGAGTATATATGTATATATTGTTTATAATTACTCCTCTCCATCCAAAGGTTGTCTGGAAGAGATCGGTCTTAGCGACAAGGTCGCCCATTGTTTTTCCACTGTGATCGTTTCTTGTAATTGTTTATATTTATATTAAGCTTACTATTGTAATCTTATGGAGGTAACAATAAAGAGTATCTATCTAAAATGGGGTAGGTGCTTGGGGGGAAAGGGATTGTTAGTAATGGAGACTGAGAATCCCATTGCTAGTCCCAATCCAATTGCAAGCTAGTGCTCCGCCAGCGTATCCCGATAGCGCAGGCAGGTTTACTATACCATTTTCACCCATCAATGGGGTAGGTGCTCGTTCGCTCACCATAGTAAATATTTGCTAGAATAGTGGCTAGGTTTGCGCGGTAATATATATATATATATATATATATATATATATATATATATATATATATATATATATATATATATATATATATATATATATATATATATATATATATATATATATGTATTATATATGTATATGTATATATATGTATATATATATATATATATATATATATATATATATATATATATATATTATATATGTATATATCTCCTATTTAACCCTAGAATGGGCTCACTATGAGCATTTTGCCGCCCACTGGACAATATTTTTTTTTATGATACGAGCATACGGCTCACCTAATGGTAAGTGACTACCGCCGCCCATTTTCAGTCGCAACACCAAGGGCATTGCAGGTGTGCTGCAGGCCTTTTAAAAAGGAATATGCTTATTTAAACAATTTGGAGTCACTATAGCAATATCTCTTTATTTGAGTCACAATATCTACATATATATTGGTTCAAAAACGGATAACAAGAACGATTGCATGGCTGTGTTTCGTTTTGAAGGGTGGGATATGGCAGTGAATTTACAGGATACAGAGGAATAACACTGGAGTCCTCAGGCATGGCAACGCATGGGGAGTATCATGGGCGAAACAGTACACTCTGTTATGTCCGTGGTACTGCTCATGTGTATAGGCGACGGTTACCACTTTCCATCAGGTGGGCCGTCAGCTTGTATGCCATTCTAAGTTGTATAAAAAAAATTAAATATCAGTTATCCGAGTTTTGCTGTATGGTCCCGGCATAGAATAGGCCATCTCTTCCTTTCTCGTGGGTGTCGTATGAAGCGACTAAGGGAACTCAATAGTCAAGGGATTGGCAGCAGGGTGTCAAACCGTGGCACCTTTTTTGGCTCACCTGATGGTAAGTGACTACCGCCGCCCATGATCACCCACAACACCAGCGGCATTGCAGGTGTGCTGCCGTCCTTTTAAAAAGGACTCTTTTCTTGAAGGTTATGTTGTCGTATCGGTTCGGAAACACTGCTGTTGGAAGTTGATTCCAAAGAGTGGTTGTGCGTGGGAGAAAGTGCCAGTACCTACCAGTAAAACCCTTCAATAGGGGAAAGCTTTTGTTCAGCAGTGGACAGATAATGCTTAATGTGATGATGACGATGAGACCATAAGGTGATAATTGCTCGTATGTACTAAATTTTGTTTAAAAATTTGACATTTGTTTTACAGATACATCTATGAAGACAAAAACGAAAAAAACACCAGATATATCTCAAACGCAAATCGATCTCAGGGAAAATTCCCTGAAACTTGTGCAAAATTCAAATTTGTGCCTCTTCAAGTCGAGGAAAACGAGATTCGGCTGTTTCTTTTGCAAAGAGTCCTTCTTGAAAATCGCAGAGTTGAGGGAACACAATAAAATGCACTCTAACACGAAGATCTTAAAGCTCAGATTCAATTCGCTACGAGGACTGTCCTACAAGAACGTCGAAATTACAAACCTGGCTTGCAACACCTGTTCAGAGACGTGCAAAGACTTGCAAGAACTGAAAACGCATTTACAAATTCACAATATAAAATTTGGCGTAGACACAGAACGTCATCTGTTGATACCGTACAAACTGGAGGGAGATTTAAAATGTACTATATGCGCGCAAAACTTTAATACATTCACCAGATTGGCCGTTCATATGAACAAGCATTTCATGAACAACGTTTGCGAGATCTGTGGCGTGTCGTACATAAATCGTTTAAGTTTGAGAACACACGTGAACTCTATGCATAGAGAAAAAAAATGTACTCTATGCCCGGCTACTTTTTTAACAAACTATTCGAAAGTTAAACATATGAAGAAGAGTCACGACACTGGCGCGTCGAAGCGGTATTGTCTATTGTGCAACAAGACATTCCGTTACACGTATATGCTGTTGGAACATAGGATACAAGAGCACGGCGCCCAACGACAAATATACGAATGCACGGAATGTGGGAAAACGTTTTACGCGCAGCAAAATTTGAAAACTCACATACGCTGCGTGCATATAAAGGAACGCAACTATCCATGCAGTATTTGTTTTAGGAGATTTTTTACTAAATGCGACCAGAGGCGGCATGAGAGATCCCATGAGGATGTAAGGTCGTTTTCCTGCGGCTACTGCGAAGGCAGGTTCAAGTCTAAAGACTCGTTGCGTCGCCATTTAAAGAGGCAACACGGTCAAATGTATGAGAAATGACAATAAAATTTATTAACTGAAATTATAAATTTATTTTTTTATTCAAATAGAAATTTTGTATTAGTTTGTGTAATATTTTCTTAATACAACGCCATCTAGCGGTAAAGGTTGTAACTATATTTTTTGCATGATAATGGAGTGGTAACCCCGTTTCTGTTATCGGTACACGCTGACGGTGCACCAAAGGAAGGATGATAGGTGAATAAAACAAGCCAGCTTGTGACGAATTCCACGAGAATTATTTAAGATATGTATACAGTGGTGGGGCATCAGGGAGGGATGATAGGTGAGAATGAAAAGGCAGGTCATTTAGCCCAACGTGATGAATTCAACAAGAATTGTTCACGATGGTTTCCAGGGGAATATAATAAAACTTTTTGAGAAAAGCAACCAGCTGAGTTTCTTGTCCGTTCTTCTTGGCTTTTTTTATGTAAATTAGAATGGCAAACGAACTGATGGCCCACCTGATGGAAAGTGGTATCCGTCGCCTATACACATGAGTAGTAACATAAACATAACAGAGTATACTGTTTCGCCCATGATAACCCCCCATGCGTTGCCATTCCTGAGGACTCAGGTGTTATTCCTCTGTACCCAGTAAATTCACACCATATCCCACCCTTCAAACCGAAACACAGCCATACAAACACAACTGCTTCACGGTTGAAACACGAATGGGACAGAGGTACCCAAGCAATCGACTTTTGTACAAAGTCTCCCTCTGGTAAAAGTCAACTTAATTTGCCATAAATTTTGCCAGAGACTTATCGGTGGTCTACTTGAGGTGGAGGGAATGATATTTTGTTGTTGATATTGCATTTACTTATTTATTGCTGGAAAATAAATTTTAATTTTTAAAATGTTATTACATCAATTTGGAAATTCTTTGATTTCGAATGGATCACTGGTACGCACCTCTTTACATTCAATCAATCAATCAATCATCTTTATTCATATACATCTGTTACAGATTATGATACGTCACTTTATAATTATAATAATGACTATATAAAATAATATTGATTTAAAAAAGAAAAATACAATAATTACATTTACAATACAATTCGCATTAATACAAAATTCAAATCCATGCAGTTCTGTCATTTAGATAGTCATTTAATTTATAATATGCTTTTGTACAGAGAGTCCTTTTTATATATGTCTTAAATTTTCTCTCATTTAAATGTAAAACGTCATCTGGAAGTTTATTATAAAAACGTATACAGTTCCCCATGTAAGATGTACTGACTTTTTTAAGGCGATAACAACATTTCTGTCATTCATGTATGTTTATATAATAAAAATATTCTTTATTATCAGGTACTTAACCCATAGAGGTGGGGGGGAAGGGATTGTTAGTAACGGGGAGGTTAGTCCCCATTGCTATCAATATACCCTATCAGGTCAACCTCCACGCTGTTCCCCCTGGAAACCATCGTGCTAAATTCCAGATGTGTTCATCACGATGGGCTAACTGATCTGCCTTTTCATTCTCACCTATCATCCCTCACTGGTGCTCCGCCAGCGTATACCGTTAGCGCAGGCGGGGTCACCATTTCATTATCATCCAATAAAAAAAAAAACCCATAGAGGTGCAATTGTATTACGTGTTCGGATAACATATCAAAATAAAATATATATATATATATATATATATATATATATATATATATATATATATATATATATATATATATATATATATTGTTATTGTGTCTACTGTTTGTTGACCTAAATAAAGAGAAAAAAACTAAAAATTTTGATATAAAAACTAAATGACTAAACCGATTTTGATAGAATTTCTATACGACCAATCTGTAAGCGGGGGGAAAGGGATTGTTAGTAATGGAGACTGAGAATCCCATTGCTAGCAATATACCCAACCAGGTTGACCTCCTCGCGGTCCCCCTGGAAACTATCATGGTTAATTCCTGATGAATTCATCATGATGGGCTAACTGGCCTGTTTTCATTCTCATCTATCACCCTTCACTGGTGCTCCGCCAGCGTATCCCGTTAGCGCAGGCGCGGTTACCATACCATTTTCACCCATAAAAAAAGACCAATCTGTAAGCATATCCTTTCAGATAAGATAAAAAAATTCAAATCCGTTTACAACTGATGGAGTTATGAGGTAACTTAAAAAACGAATTGAGAACCTTTCTCTTTTTAAAGTCGATTAAAAAGGGCTAAAAAATTAAAGACTATATAAATGTAAATATTTATATTATGTATAACAATATTAACAATATTTTTTTATTACAATAAAACATTATGTTATAACAAAAGTTTATTCCATCCTTTGCCTTCGTATCTGCCAAAACAGAATGCAGTTCTATGCCTATATATTTTTTATACAAATACCATATATAGTTCCAGGCGGTATGGGCATTTACAGTCGTGAAATGACTAAAAACTGACCATAGGTGACCTTAAAATGACTAATTAATGACGTCACCTATTGACCTCGCTTATAGTGTTAGTTGTGAAAGGTACATTAAACTGTTCTTTTTTTTATACAACTTAGAATGGCAAACAAGCTGACGGCCCACCTGATGGAAAGTGGTAACCGTCGCCTATAGACTGTTTCGCTCATGATACCACGCGTTGCCATTCCTGAGGACTCAGGTGTTATTCGACGAATGGGAATGTCAAAATAACATTTGAAATTGCCATACAAGCCACCCGGTCACGCGATTAATGTATGAGAGGTAAAAAAAATCTTATAAAATTTTGTCTATTCTTTTTGGGGGGACAAATTGTTAAATTTCATTTTAACTGATACTGAATTTGAACTTGAAACTACAATTTCGACTGAAACTGTGTATTAATTACAGACGTCATTTTTTAGTCATTTTACGGTCGTGACCTAAAAATGACCGAATGATGACGTCGTTTAAGAGTTACCAAGTCACTTAGCTTAGATACAGATCCAAATCGAAATAAGCATCTTCATACATAATACAATTCTGATTAATTTTAGAATTTTTGACGTTTTTCGACACATGCATATGTCTTTAGGGAAAAATGTTCAACTTCGTTGGTAGAAAACTCCCATACAACCATTACTATTTCGATTTTACATTTTTTTATTGCACTAACGTAACGAATTAAACAGCTTGCTAGGGGGGGAAGGGATTGTTAGTAATGGGAGGGTTAGTCCCCATCGCTATCAATATGCTTTATCAGGTCGACCTCCACGCGGTTCTCCCTGGAAACCATCGTGACTAATTTATCGTTAAATTCATCACAATGGGCTAACCGATCTGCCTTTTCATTCTCGCCTATCATCCCTCACTGGTGCCCCGCCAGCGTATACCGATAGCGCAGGCGCGGTTACCATTCCATTATCATCCATCAAAAAAAGCTAGCTAACTAGCTAGCTCTAAACGAACTGTTCCAGCCAACCAAATGCTGTGATCACCATCGACTTCCTACCCTCATCGTAATTATATGACTTCAGGTCGACAATGTTTTTAATCACACTTCCCAAGGTTTGGCATTTAGTTTTACGACTGGCCGTTTGCCTGACGTCATCATCGAAGCAGAATCAAAACAACTAGCAAATTCGACTTTTTCTCGTGAATTTTAGAGTATTAATATGGCAGACGATTTGCTTCTTCAAATCCTACTGTCATAAATTGGTGGGGGAAAGGGATTGTTAATAATAGGATGGAATTATCCCATTGTTAGCAATATTACAGGTCGATCTCCACGCGGTTTCCCTTGGAAACCATCGTGGTTAATTACTGCTGAATTCGTCACGATGGGCCAACTGACCTCCATTCATCCTCTCCTATCATCTCTCACTATTTCACTATCATCCTTTAAAAAAACTATCACGACTCCTAATACGTTGTATTAAGGTATATTTTTCAATGACCACACTACGCCGAATGCAGCGGTTGAACGATCCGCTCGTCCAGATCCAGCTTTCTCTCATGCACCTTAAGGTGTCCCTTCAAGGTGCATTTTTGCGTGAACGCCCTCCCGCACACCGGACACACAAACCTCTTATCGTTGTTATGTATCCTCAGGTGCTCGGTCAACGTTTTCTTCCTCTGATATGACTTCTGACAGATGTGACACGTATGTATCCTCTCGCCGTCGTGCTTGATCATATGCATCTTCAATGCATTTTTCGTGTAAAAGGCCAAATCGCATTTGTCGCATTTATGATTCCTCTCGTTCAAATGGTCCCTTCTCACGTGGCTGGACAAGTGTCCCGGGGTGATGTAGCACTGAGAGCACACTTTGCATTTGTACCTCTTCAACTCCTCGTTGTGAACCTCTGCCAGGTGCTTCTGTCTCGCGTAGAACGAAGTCAAGGATATGTTGCACCGTTTACAAGCGTACCGGACACCAGACTTATGCTCCTTCGAGACGTGATTCTCCCTTTTGGTGACTCTGTCGAATACAGCATCGCAGTACCTGCACGGGAAGTTGCCCACTTCGTGCGTCCGCATGTGACCTCGTAATCTTGCTTTAGAAGCGAACGCCTTGCCACAACTTTCACATATATAGTTCGGGTAATGTATATTCATATGTGTATTTAAACTGACATAATTTAAGAAGGTTTTCTCACAAACTGGACAGTCGAGCTGGTCCTTCTCGAGTTTGAACGGCAGCTTATTCCATTTCCTGCCGTATTTCAGTTGGCTACAGTTGTCTATGTGGTGCCTCAGCTCGTCGTAGCTAGCGACATCTGTCGTGCACAGTTTGCAGCGTAGTTTCGTGGCGAATTTGTAGAATCTGGTCCTTTGCGAGTTTGAGAACATCATTTTTTTGAATGCCAAGTGTATATTGTTCTTGTTGTGCCCAGTTACATGCATTTTTATATCTTCCAAGTTTTTCGAACTCTCCGGACATATTGAACATGTGAACGTTGAGTTTTTACGGATTTTGAACGGGAACAGGCCGGCTTCGAGCATCGCTTCTGTGTCTTTAAGGTCGTTCTTTTTCAATAGTTTCATCAGTTTAGGCTTAGCACTCTTTGTTCTGGTTTTCCTCGGCTCGTTGTAGGGTTCCTCTTTTATTTTAAACTCATTGAGAGCTGAAAGAAAAAAAGAATATAAAGTCCCACATCGAGATATTATATATATTATATTATAGGGAAGTTTTATACAAAAATCGTCTGCTTGGGTAACTCTGTCCCACTCGTGTTTCCATCCCCAAATAGCTGCGCTCGCATGGCTGTGTTTCGGTTTGAAGGGTGGATTATGGCAGTGAAATTACAGAGTACTGCGGCATAATACCACAGTCAGGGGGGGAAGAGATTGTTAGTAATGGAGACTGAGAATCCTATTGCTAGCAATATACCCAACCAGGTCGACCTCCTCGCGGTTCTCCCCGGAAACTATCATGATTAATTCCTGATGAATTCATCATGATGGGCTAACTGGCCTGTTTTCATTCTCATCTATCACCCTTCACTGGTGCCCCGCCAGCGTATTCCGTTAGCGCAGGCGGGGTTACCATATCATCTTCACCCATTAAAAAAATACCACAGTCAGGGAATATTAGTAATGCAGACTACCAATCCATTGCTATTTGCTAGCAATATAGGGTATATTGCTAGCAATGGAATTGGTAGCCTAGACAGTCAGGGCGAAGGATGGGCAGCAGCAAGTGGTTAATATAATCTCATCATTTTTTATATATATTGAACATTTTCGAACCCTCTACCTTCCTTATCTATCAAATCTGGGTTAAAATGGGGGGGTAGATGGACAAAATCAGTCTGTAATCCAACTGCACGTCGAGCTTATCAAGTTCCGCTAAGATCACGAATAAATTTCCACCAGTTGCGTATTATTCGATCAGCCGCGATCTCCGCGCAACATATTGACACCTTAAGCCAGGGGTTCCCAAACTTATTTTGTCTACTATCCAATTTGAAAATAAATTCTATTTTATTTCACCAGAGGGAGACTTTGTACAAAAGTCGACTGCTTGGGTACCTCTGTCCCATTCGTGTTTCAACCGTGAAGCTGTTGTGTTTGCATGGCTGTGTTTCGGTTTGAAGGGTGGGATATGGCGTGAATTTACTGGGTACAGTGGCACTTTCAGTTGCAATGCGCACGAGCGCGATGGCGCTCGTCCGCACTCAAAGGGTTAAGCGAATCAACAAAAGTGTTGGACAATTAAGAAAAATAAAACAAGACGTATAAAAGACCTACACGCGGGGACTACGTGAACCAGGTTTGTCCCTTACCCTTCTTATCCATCAGTAAGTAATCTATACTTATAATAAATCTGTAGAGAGGTCAATTCTGTACATGAAATATATTTCCAAAATAACTATCAGCGGGTGATTAGTGATCGATACTGATGCCAAAAATGAAATCAGTAAAATTTTTGTCTCTCCGTCTGCATGTTCGTTATAGAAACAAAAACTACTAGACGGATTTTAACGAAACTTGGTACAATTATTCTTTATACTCCTGGGCAGGTTATAGTATACTTTTCATCACGCTACGATCAATAGGAGCAGAGCAGTGAAGGGAAATGTTGGGAAAACGGGAGAAGATACTGCATTTTTAAGCTTCCGTCGCGTGTGCAGCCTTAATGGCCACTTTTTAAAATGTAAAAAGTCCACCCGTGCGACGCCGGGACGGGCAGCTAGTCAATAATAAAACACTTACTGATATGATCATCTTCATCACCAAAGTCCGTAAAATCAAACTCCTCACTGTGATTAATGGATTCTTCTTTTTTAACACTGCCTAAGGTGCCCTGGTCATCTGTAAAGGTGGTATTTTAGCAATAAATGTAAACCAGAGGGAGACTTTGTACGAGAGTCGATTGCTTAGGCACCTCTGCCCCATTCGTGTTTCAACCGTGAAGCAGTTGTGTTTGCATGGCTGTGTTTCGGTTTGAAGGGTGGGATATGGCTGTGCATATAGAGTACAAAGGTATTTTTTATGCAACTTAGAATGGCAAAGAGCTGAAGGCTCTCCTGGTGAAAAGTGGTAACCGTCGCCTATAGACATGAGCAGTACCATGGACACAACAGAGTATACCGTTTCGCCGTATACCCTCCATGCGTTGCCATTCCTGAGGATTCAAGTGTTATTCCTATTAAAATGTATATATATGTGTATATAAAATTTATAAATAAAATAATAAAAATTTTACAATACAATACAATACACACAGTCAAATATATTTTATTTACATACATACATACATATCTGTCACGCCTGTCTCCCATTAGGGTAGACAGAAACAATGGAACGCCAAATGATTCGATTCAAACAAACCTCTTTCGCTTCTTCAACATTCATCAATCTTTTCATACACGCTCGCCGGCTACGGGTACTGTTTTATTTATTACTAAAGAATTATAAAAATCGTTTAAAAATCATTTACCGTGAAATTTATATGCTGTTTCCAGTGACTTGAGTGATGTTTCCACCTGTTGCCTGAAGAGTAGACAGTCGCACAGCTTGTTGATGCATGAGTCGCAGATGAGACGTTTCGAGTCGCCCAATTGCAATATTGTTATCTATACATATATGAAAAAATAAACCGGTCAAGTGTGATTCGCGCAAGCGTGAGTCGGATTCACGCAACGAGAGCTCCGTACAAAATTATCAAATTAAAAAAAAATTGTGAATTACAAAATTACGGTTTTCGGATTTTTTCCTTTACTTGTGCTTCATGATATTGCTTCTTACCAAATTTCATATTTTTTTACAACACAGGGGGCAAACGAGCATGCGGCTCACCTGATGGTAAGTGACTACCGCCGCCCATGGTCACCCATTTCATGATTCCAGGTCAACGGGAAGTGCCCTATTGATTTGGGGTCCCTTTGGGAATGTCAAAATATGTGATATAAATATGCCGATATCAGACCTGAGCATGTGATATTAATTACAACTTGATACCTCCACACATTCCTAAGAAAAAGGGTATTAACAGACAGACAGACAGACAATGAAATGATCCTGTAAGAGATCCACTTTTTCTTTAGAAGTAAGGAACCCTAAAAAGACGTAAAAGAAACTGTACATAAGTGGTATTTGATGGCTCTTATCTTATATGGGGTCAGCTTAACCACTGCATGTCAACCCATTGGCATCTTCTGTGCCTCCCCCTGCCTTATACATCATTTTATAGATCCTATGTATTATTTATTTATTTATTTCTTATTGCATTCCATAATATAATTAGTAGATAACATTTCAATTATGGACCGTGTTGGGCGCAGCGAGTACGAGAGAGGAGGACGACACTTCTTTCACTTTAGAAATAGTCTAAGGATCCGTTACAATGTTATCCAGCCATTGATATTGTATCACGATAGCTACGTATTTCCTTATTATTATTATTATTCATTATTTAAGTATTGCTGTGTATGTATTCATGTCGTAATTGTTGTTAGTATTATATAGTTATTTAAAATATTCTGTAGTTTATAATTATTTATATTCATATTGTAAAATTAATTAATAAATAGTTTAATAATAAAATTTGAGCAATGTCAGTTTTAGCTATGTCTTAAATCATTATCAATTCATAATGTCATGTACAGTAAGAAGTGAACGATAGCAACACCGGATGTGCCCCAGGATTGGTCCGTCTCGTTACGAAAAGGGAACAAAATCTTGCTGTACGTGTCAACGGATGTGAAAGTCGATTCAAAAAATTTCAAGTGCATCAACGCAACAGCTTTCATGTAAATTTATATTTTTGTAACTATTCGCAATTAAAATCAATTAATTCAAGCTTGTTTATATGAAATTGACCCTTTAATGATCTGTTAAAGACATCAGCACGTACCACATAATTAGTTATTTATTTATAAATTACAAGAATATATTTGAAATATCCTGTCATTTAACTAATATCCTGTTATTTGACTCATATGCATACATGCCAACAAATCACATCATTCACAACATTGTACATCAGGTGTTCCATGGAATCCGATAAATCTTTTATTGATGATAATGGAATAGTAACCCCTCCTGTGCTATCAGTAAATACTGGCGGGGCACCAGTGAAAAATGATAGGTGAGGATGAAAGTAAATAAGTTAGGCCACCATGACAAATTTAACAAGAATGTATCACTATAGTTTTTATAGGAGATTATGTGTAGGTTGGACTAACAATTAATTACCATTTCCCATCAGGTGTACACATTAGTTATAAAAATATGACAGAGGTAAACAAATGTACAAAGGCGAGCTTAACTCTGATAGAGTTCTCTTGCAGCAACACCCTAAGTGGAAAGGAGCATCAATATCAGTAGATACAACAGTGTACAATTTTTATACAAAATTAAATTAGTTTGTTATTCTATGTTGCATAAAATAAATATTTATACATAGCTCCACTATTAAAATATTTTTTTATACAACTTAGAATGGCAAACAAGCTAACGGCCCACCTAATGGAAAGTGGTAACCGTCGCCTATAGACTTGAGCAGTACCATGGACATAATAGAGTATAATGTTTTGCCCATGATACCTCTCCATGCGTTGCCATTCCTGAGGACTCAGGTGTTATTCCTCTGTACCCTGTAAATTCACGCCATATCCCACCCTTCAAATTGAAACACAGCCATGCAAACACAACTGCTTCACGGTAAAAACACGAATAGGATAGAGGTACCCAAGCAATCGACTTTTGTACAAAGTCTCCCTGTGGTAAAATGTTTATAATATTTTTTTTTACTTGTGTGTGACAAAGTAAAACTATTTTAGTTACAATAAATAACTTTTTGAGTTCTTTATAGACATATTTTACTGTACGAGGTCTGTCCGGAAAGTTCGTATAAAAGTGTTCTGGAATGCGAGAAAGAGGAGTGGGGAGGCCAGGTAAGCGCAGGACCCCTTCCTTATGTCCCTAACAATGCTTCAGTTCTGGTCTGACCGCCGTGCGGTGCGAACTGGCTTGTCACGCCATCTGTGAAGTTACCTCTTAACGAAACCCCGTCGGCATGGAGCCCGCTTCCGTTGAAGAGCAGCGCGTCGTAATCAAGTTTCTCTCGAAACTCGGCAAGAATGGCCGTGAAATTTTTGCCGATCTCAGAACAGTTTATGGGGATGATGCTGTGAAGGAACCAACCGTCCACAAGTGGCTAAAAAGATTCAGAGAGGGCCGAGAAAGCATCAAGAATTCGTCCCTCCAGGCCAGACAGTTGATGGAAAATTCTACGTCGATGTGTTCAGACGCCTCAAAGCTCGTGTGGCACGAGTTCGTCCAGAATTGGCGCGAGAGGGGCGTTGGATTCTTCACCACGACAATGCCCCTGCCCACACCTCTCTTGTTGTCCGTGAGTTTTTGAGTAAAAATTCCATTACGGTGACCGAACACCCCCCTATTCGCCGGATTTGGCCCCGTGTGACTTCTTCTTGTTCCCAAAAACCAAATTGGTACTTCGGGGGTGGCATTTGGGGGACATAAATGAGATAAAAAAAGCTACGACGGGGCAGCTGAGAAACCTACAACCAGAGGACTTTCAAGGAGCCTTCTCACAGTGGAAACGGCGTTGGCACAAGTGCATTATGTCACAGGGGGAGTACTTTGAAGGGGATAAAATTGATTTACCTGAATAATTGTAAAATAAAATTTTTAAAAAACTTTTATACGTACTTTCCGGACAAACCTCGTATTGTTAGTATGCAAGATTGTTGTAACTCTTTGTACATTTAACTCAATATCAACAAACAATTTCCAAGAAGATTCTTGTATGAATATTCAGAAACAATTGAAAATGTATTCTATACAATTTACCATAGGCAAAGTTGGTATTTTTATCATAATTATTTAAAACTATAAAAAGACAAAGGCATCTCTTAAATGCCAAAATATTGCGCCAATCCTTATTTTTCGCGTTCCATTTTTAAAATAATTTCAAAATATAAAAATTAATAATTATTAAATTTACAATTTGCATTGTATACTTACATCAATGGAGAAGCATTTTGTTAACATATCAATATAAGATTCCGTATTTTCGTGACGATGTTCGGAGAGCAACATACTTTTTACAGGTCCTTCGGTCAAACACAAATTGCACGTCCCGAACAGGGGAAGCGCCTCAACCAATATCTCTGGATCCATTATTATCTTTCAGTATATATTTTTTTGGATCAACTCAACATTTTTCGAGTAATAAAATGTAATATAAGAAGTTAATAGGTCAAAATCATAATAAATAAACAATCGCAATAACAAACTCCATTCTAATTTCGTCCATTGATAGGAATTTGACAATCGATGATTGACGTTTTCACGCTTAACTGTCAATTACGACCACAGATTTTGACATTTTATTTTTATTCAGACTGGCAATGTTGTTTAAGAATAAATTATACGATCATAGTTCAACTGAAGACTAGGCAGCATGGTCAGATACCTTAGACTGTTCCTTAAGGAACATATTTAGTACGGTATACTAAGTCTATGGGAACAGACCTTATTAAAAAAAACAAGAGATCACAGTTATTTTTCTATTGATGGGGCAATATTTTACTCCCCACTTCTATATCGCTCGTAGGCAATTTTTTATATTTTAAAAATTACTATTTAGTATACAATTATATCATATAGTGTATTGTATGCTTAAGATTAGCTATAGCTGGATTTGCCTACTTTATATTAGAAATAGATGTGCCGTTTTTTCCAGTCAGTAACATCGAGTAAATATTATATAATTATTTTTTTAATTTATTGGGTATCTACACGGATATTTTTTTTTATGTAAAATAATACTTCAGTGAATTTATTTATTTTTATTAATATGACTTATAAATAACATAACAACAATGCAACTAATGAGTAAAATTAATATATTTAAGAAGCTCGTGTAAATTAATTGTATTTAGAATATGTTAGTCGTAACATATTCTTTATCTTTGATTACATAACATATTCCTTAGCATCATTAAATGATACCTATTCGTTATAATAAAGAAAAAAAAAACCCGCTAAAATTCAATTTGAAATAACTCGAATATCTATAGTATTTTTTTCAATTCACCCTTTTCTGTGTTGTTTTTTCTTATTTTTATTATGCATATGCTTCGTTTTTTTTTCAATTTGACCGCGTTTCATTAGTAATTCTTGAGGTATGGGCATTTGTCCGTAAGAATCCACACCTGGCCCACAGTTCATTCTCATTTTGAATTCTGGTATTCGGTGCAGTGATACGGAAGGCATATATTTTGTGGTCCCGTTATGGAAGTGTAGGTCTCTGTATAACATAAATATACTATTGATATAATAAATACGAAAGTTTTTAACGATCTATGGCAGGATGGATGGATGGAGGGGGGAGGGGAGGATTGTTAGTAATGCGAACTACCAGTCAAATTGCTACGGGGTTACTATTCCATTATCGTCCATTAAAAAAAATCCGCCTGCGCTAACGGTATACGGGCACCAGTGACGGTTCCCGTCGTGATGAACATACCTGGAATTCAACACGATGGTTTCCAGGGGAGACCACATGGAAGTCGACCTGATGGGCTATATTGCTAGCGATGGAACTGGTAGTCCGCATTCGCATTACTAACAATCCTTGCGAAGGCGGAGTTTCATTATCATTCATTAAAAAAAAACTGTATAGACGTATTATATAACTTATATCTATTACTAATAGTATTGGGGGGGGGGGGGAGGAGAAATGGAATATATATATTATTCAAGAGAGTACAGGACTCCAAAATCTATACAAGACCACGCCGCTATTGCTTACGGCACTTACCCGGCGACACCTTTGGAGTTGAAACCGGCGCAAACTCAGAGGCTCCTAACCTAATCTAACCTCATCTCAAACTCTCACCAAGAGGATCAGAAAACCAGTTGTCATCGTACTAACCACCTCAAGCTCACCTGATGTCGGGAAACTGGAAAGGCGCATAGGTCCTCTCTTCTATATGTCGCTTGTACTGCTCCCAGCGGCAGGCCAGAAATTTATTGCGGTTCAAGGAATAATGTCGTATGTATACTTGCTCGAACACGCTTTTCGCAAATGTCGGTAATGTACGATAATTGTTACCGATCTCTTTTAATATAGCTGTTAAATAATAGTTATGTGCATTTATTTAAATAACTTTATTGACCCAAACTTTTTTCTTTTCCGTAGATACACGAAGAAGTGAACTAAATACTCCCCTTTTATATTATATTTATTTTCCTTTATAGGGAAAACTTACCTTTTTTATTTTTCCAAAGGGAATGTATTATGTAATTTTAACATCAACTTTGCGTTTCGGTTGGCTCCGAAATTTCCGAAAACATTTCATGGTAGGTTCTTAGATATGATATGAAATGAGTGATGATTATTCCCGCCATTAATATCCAGAGGAACTCAATATATAGATACGGGAATAGTATTCGTCTTACCCATGTTTAAATGGGACAGAGATACTCAAATAGACAATTTTTGTATAAAGCATCCCTCTGCAAAAAAAATAGTATTGCCGTCTCAGGCCTCTGACGGCTTAGACCGTCACTAACTGGAATTTATTTCAACAATAACCCCACGCGTGGGAATTACAATTGTACATTTAATATATTAAAAAAATACTGTACCTTCATCAATACTATACTCAGGTTGAACTCTCTTTATATGAGCACATTCAACATAGAACATATTGTTTTTATCAGCTGACATCCTAATGTTTTGTACCATTGATAATAATTTGAAAAAAAAAATTGGATAAATTTAACTTCGGAAATACCTAAAACTTGACAAGCAAATTGTAGGATATTAAAAAAATATTTATGTTCAAACAAACCTCCGTCGAATTTAGTGACAACCGCATAACAAAGATAAAAGACGTGTGTACTTTTATTAATCTATGAATAAAAAGTAGTATATATCTTTCTCAAAATACACAATGTAAATCTTAGATTATAAAGTACGTAGTACGGTATTCTATGTCTATGATATAAATAGTATTTTACTTTTGTCAATGGCAATCGGTCGTTATTTTTACGACTATTTCTGCCAGCGTCAAGTATTTTAATTGATGTATGTAGTTTTGCGGGAAACTAATATTATTATTTTATATTTAAATATTTTATTACGTACGACGTTATACAGAGAATATTTTAGTGACAAGACAAAAGTATTTATTTTTCTAATTAATTGAGTAGATCTATGGCCATGTACAACTTCTTGTTACATTAATTTTAGTTTTCTTCCGAACACCGTCAAGTTTAATCGTTAACAAGATTCCCGCCTTTTTCGATCACCATATTATACATTCAGCGATCACCATTAAGTAGTAATTTATCTGAGTTACAAATATTGTTTTGAGATAGTGACACTACCTATAAAAAACAAAAAAATGATAGATGTTATCACCACAGATTATATAATACTATATGTACTAGTTATCACCATTACTAATACAGTGTTTATGTTAAGAATGGGCAAGAGACACAATTATTCACTATCTTTGATACGAACAAAGTGCAATAGAATGACATTATTTTGTATTGGTTTTTGATTATCAAAATAAATAAAAATAACCCTTTGACCAAAAGGATAAGTAAGAAAAAAAATCTTAACCACATTTTCTTCAGTTGTCCTCCTTTCTCAGTACCATACACGTATATTTTATATTTTGTGCTCAGTACAAAGAATTGAACTATGAAAAGCTATCTCCAATTCCAAAACAGAACTCCATTGATACATTATAGAAGTATTAAAAATGTTAATAATTATTTGTTTATCTATATTTCCATCAAGAACACAATTTATTACCTAATTCTGAAATACATAAAAAGAAAAATTCTACTTACATCAAACTAGACTGTATGGGCTTCGTTTTGCCTATCATGCAAAAGAGTAAAAAAGAAAAAAGAAAAATAAAATTGACGTAATTAATTTTTGAAATAGATTTTCCTTGTTAATTTTTGGAAGTGATTTATTTTTTAATATTTTATTTTAATAATAATATTTTCTATGGCTAGCTCTAAAGCTAAAGACAAATATGCTGTATATAGAAATTTTGAAAAAGGAAAGCCTGATTTTAAATTAAATGAAGGTGAGTTCCTTTTTATAATACAGAGGGCAAAGGAACCAGCGGCTCACCTGATGCTAAGTGATTACCGCTGCTCATGATCACGTGCAAAACCAGAGGCATTGCAGATGTGCTGCCGGTCTTTTAAAAAGGAATATGCTCTTAATAGTAGTAAGTAGTTGAATAGTAATCCCACCTGCACTATTTTTTTTAATGGATGATAATGGAATGGTAACCTCGCCCGTGCTAACGGTATACGCTGGCCGCACCAGTGACGGATGATAGGAAGGAGCTATGAAAATTTCCAAGGAGCACCGTGACCGTTAAAGCCAGTCCTGTCTGGTATACTAGAAAAAAATCTTACTCATCTTCCAGAACTAAGAAATTCCATTGCCAGAGACTACAGAGTTCTCCCTTTGCTAGAGAAGAAGTTATACGATCACGCTTTACAGAAATATTACTCGTTGGAGTGTAACGAAGTACTCTCATGTCGCTGGAAACACTACGCTGATAACAGACAGGGAGGTCGGCGTACCCCATTTAATTTCCCTAAAGTTGAGTATGTATTTTCCATAAATTAATAAATATGACTGCCAGCACAGGGCCGAATTAACCATATCGGGACTCCTCAGAGTCTCGGACGACTTCAAGCGGGTTCCCCGCGGCTCCGGTAATAGGTGGACGAGGAACACCGGGGGGTTTTAGCCGGTAAGAGTCCGGCAGTACCCACATATCTCCTCTGAGCTATGTGAGTCTGCATGAAGCATTGCCCCTCGACAAAAAAAAGGCAATACTCTTTCCGCTTACAAAACAAAAAATAGATTTTTTTTGTAATATTCACGTGTATTTTTATAAATTGAATTTTTTTCACATTTTTCGCTTCAGAATCTTCGGAGGTAACTTCGTAATCTGTTGAATTAGTATCTATACCGTTTGTATCTTCTGCATATGTGATATGGCATTGTATTAAAATATTATGCTTGTATACCATAACACCACTATTTGATTGCACCTGATCCTCATCGCGCGGTCTTTGCTGGCATACCGACCCCAAAGAAAGTTTCTCAGATTTCAGATCATAGTCCGATTCTGATTGTTCGGCACACATGTTATTTTCTTCATTTCAGAGATTTCCACTTCTACAATTATGTGAATCGTTACATGCCTTTACAGTCGGTGAGCAATCGCGCGCATTACCGACTGCATCTATTTCCAGGGCCCGGTGTCGACGCACTCGGTCAAAAACCCATTCCCAACGACTTACAGTTGAGGAAAACAGCAGGAAGACAAAAGAAGGAAAAAAAAGGAAGCTAATTCGAAACCAACAAATTAAAAAATAAATATATTTTCATCTGTATACACTAAATTCTATGACTAAAAACCCCAGACAACCTAGTGCTGATATATATGGCTATATAATGGCGTACTTGGCTACTTTTAGGTAACCAAGTTAAATAGCTCATCCTGATCGTTCTATTTATAAAACACTAGTTTTATTCATTAGTAACAATAGTATAAAATTTTAATTTATAATTATTAAAAAAACCTATTCTAAATTCCTATAAGTTCCTTTATTTCCGTCCAGCTTCCCGCCATTCTGTATATTGTACAAACTACTAATTAATTGTCAAATTAAAAAAAAAAACAGTTCACAGAATGTAATATTTATAGTAGTTGTCTTACTGCCAAAGTGTTAACAAATAAAAAAAATTATGAAAATAGAAAATACCGCGAAGCGATATATATAGACTCAAGGCCAAAGTTTTTTTATTTATTTACACATGACTATAATTTCTTTATTAATGGCGAGCGGTGTGTTAATAGAAGGTAGGAGTAAAATTATAACGGTATTATTTGGCATGTAATTCGGCCATGTGCTTCCTATATTTAATTTTACCAGAAAACCCAATCCAGCATTCAGAACACGCGAACTTCCAATTTGGATTGTGTACTCTCATGTGATCTTTTAAACTCTTTTCATATCTGTAGGTTTTAGTGCACAGGGAGCACGCAAAGTTACGTTCCTCCGTATGCATTGCCATGTGACGATTTAAATGGTTTCGTTCAGAAAATGGCTTTTTGCATATTTCACAAGAAATGCTCAATGTATGATACTTTATCCGATGGAACGCCAAAGATTTTTGAGATTTATAATTAGCGCCGCAAGATTCGCATTTGAACTCGATTTTCATGCCGTGCGCTTCGCTCAAATGTCTCACTTTTTCATAATGATGCACAAATCTTTCCGAACAGTGTTGGCACTTTGACGGTTTTACTTTTTTAGGACTGTGCACTTTTTCTCTATGGTATTTCAGTTTTGTAACGCTTGAAAATGTGACTTTACATTTCTCACATGGATATTGATCGTTTCCATGTATCTCTCTGTGAAGTAACAGCCTTTTGTGGGATACAAAACCTTTACCGCATAGTTCACAGATAGCGTTATTGTAATGAACATTTATATGTTTATTTAAAAGAAAGAAACTATTAAACTTATCCGTACACAAGTGACAGGAGAACATTCCATCTTTTGTTTTTAAACTGTACGCTATCATTCCGTTTCCTGAGGTGGAAAATACTTTTCCGTGTTCATCTGTCAAATGTATTCGAATGTCGTTCAAATCTGAAAATGGAACGTTGCATAGCCGGCACTTCAGTTCGGAAATGTCAACTTTGAGCGTTCTTTTTCCTTTTTTTAAATGTGTCCTCATGATTTCCGATCGTTCTGGAGTAATATGGTTATCAGAGTGCTGAAGTAATGTATTTAATTCTGGATATTCTTCATCGCAGTAGAAGCATTTGAATCGGAGAGGGAAGGAGAGGTATGTGAACGGCCGGACCGTGGTATATTGTATGAAGTTGGCAGCATTTTCGCGTTCTGGCAACGTCATCGCCCATATGCTTGTGGCTGGACGTAAACTGGTACCTGAAAAACAATATAATTGTACATATTGATGTTAAATATAAAATATATGGGTTTCTATAAATTTTTAAATCAATATACTAACCTTTTTACAAGCATTCCAATTAAATAAGCTTAGATAATAAAAGAAAAGCTTGTAACGTTGATATTTTGTAATATCAGTTATACGAGTATTTAGAATCATTTATATATGACATATAAGCAAAAGGATCTTGAGATGGAGTTTCTAGAAATCGGATCATTTCTAAAAACTTTCCGAACATTGCAGTATGCTACATTCGTCAACTGCTAGAGAAATCCGTGTTCATTTAATACTAGTACGTTTTTTTTATAAAACTGGACTTATCAAATCCCGAATTGGCCATATTCATCGTTCTTATTAGAAAGCCAGTTCCGATAAGTAACTCCTTTATTATATTAAATTTATTGGATCAGTGTTAAGGTGACTATCCTCAAATATTTACCGTTTGTTGTTAATGATCTGCTTTTCTGGATTTCCTAATACTTTTAAAGACATAGTATTAGGCGTAATTAAGGGCGATTCGGGTGGATCGAATCCACCCTAGAATTGTCTATCTCAATCCCATCTCAGTATCCGAGCGGAGTTTTCAGCGATGCCGAAAGAGATGTCTGAGGATATATAAAGGTATACGCCTTTTTAAGAGAACTTCTTTAGAAAATAATCTTATAATACTCTAAAGCGCATAGCAAAAGTTATGAGTCTTCTCAGGTAACAGGTAGTAACAATTCTAAATTGCCGTGTAGTCCCCCATAGAATAGACCACTCCTTTCTTTCCGTGGGTGTCGTAAGAAACGACCAAGAGCACTTAATGATCCTGGGTTGGGCTGCAGCATCAAAAGCTAACTGCGATAGCCAAGTATTCGCCTGCCAAGCGTTGCAACTACTGGCAAAACCCTCCAATAAGAGAAGGCCTATGTTCAGCAGTGTGCAGTTAACGGTTGATAAGATGATGATGATGAACAATTCTAAATCGCATATTATTCTAAAACATCCCGAAATGAATGCCACTGTCTATTGTGTTTAACAAATTCACTTTTATTATGAAACCCGGAACCGCATTCTGAGCATACGAACTTAAAGACCGAATTATGTATCCTCATATGTTTTCTGAGAGTTATTTTGTGCATATAAGCATTTTTGCATATTGGGCATATGAAATTTCTTTCGCCAGTGTGACCACGCATGTGCTGTTTCAATTTGGATTCTATGCCAAAACATTTAAGACATAAATCGCATTTGTATTTCTCCGTGTGAAATCTGGTAGTATGTTCAGTTAATGCACGCCTTGTACTGAAAATCGCTTTGCATATATGGCATTGGAAGGTTTTAGAAATGCCATGGGCTTCTTTCAAATGTACCATCTTGCTGTAATGTTCCTTAAACGTCTGCGAGCATTCTGGACATTTTTTTGGCTTGACTCTATCTTTGCCTTTGTGGATTATCTCTGTATGATACTTAAGTTGGCTTTTCTTGAAAAATATCTTCTCGCACATTTTGCAAGAAAATCTCTTCGTTAGATGAGTCTCCTTATGTTTCATTAATAGATGTTGGTTCAGGAAACCGGCGCCACAGTTTTCGCATACCACCTTCCCGACATGACAGTTCATATGACAGTTTAAGAGCGCGAAATTGTGGAACTCTTTACCACATATGTGACAGATCAACATTCCATTTTTAATTTCCATATCGTACTCCGTCATACCGTTACTGGCTGGACAGAATTCTTTCCCGTGTTCACAGATTAAATGATCCCGTATCGAATCTAAATTTGAATAATTCTTCAGACATAACCGACATTTTAAATTTGAAATGTCGACTTGTAACGTTCTTTTGCCTTTTGGTACGTATTTTTCTAGAATTTCGTCTGCGTCGTCTACTGTATGACTGGATGTATGGTCTAGCAAATGTGGTATTTCTGAATAATACGCCATACAGTAGAAGCATTTAAAACTTGATCCCATGAATGTGAAAGGTCGTACCGTTGTGTTTAGAATGAATGCAGCGGCGTTCTTTCTCTCGGCCACAGTCATTTGCCAAATGCTCGTTTCCGATATGGTTCTATCGCCTGTGAAAAAAAAATATAACGTTCAGAACACTATGTGAGAAGGAATCTTCTAATATAAGCTTCTAAAATTTTGCTAGAGTCTAAAGTATCATTTCTAATCTCAAATATTAAAATTTTAGATTGATAGTTTAGGTAAAATTTATGTAATCGACTTCCATGATTTAAAATTTAAATTCATTCCAATTCAAAATTATTATGAACTTTACTTTTGAAAGTTTTATAATTACACATTATATTTTAATGTAATAATAGTAATAATATTCTCTGATTAGGTGCAATTTACATGTTCGTCAAATTTTAAAGAAACATACACGTAACTTTAAGACCTTCAAATATTTTTTTTTTAATAAATTGTAGTCACAGACGCATATGTTCCATGTAGAATAACCAGTTATGGAGTTAAATTAATAAATGAAAACAATATTTTACATGTGTGATTTTTTTATACCACTGAGGTGGGAATCAAGCATACGGCCCACGTAATGGTAAGCGGTTACCGTAACCTAGAAACGCTTGCAATACCAGGGGTACTACGCGCGCGTTGCCGACCCTGAAGAAATCTCTTTAGCCCCCTTTTGAAGAACCCCATGCTGTAGTCTCTTGGGAAAACCTCGGCAGGGAGCTCATTCCATTTTTAACCTTTATTTACCTGAGTGTTCGTGGGAGAAAACATCTCTAAAACCGCGTTGTAAGCGACCATCTAGGCTATGAAGTTAAACTCCTTGAAACATTACCTTCAGTGTCCTGCTCGTGACAAATGAAACAAAATGAAGTAATATTTAAGCATACAAAGTTATACAGCATATAAAGCTCGCTACTTTATTTACGTGGATTTTAGAAGTAGGAAAACCAATGTCTAGTTGCAGTTATATTATTTTAAGTAAAGAGAGAGACTTTTTTATAACTTAGTCATGCAAAAATATTGGGTTTTTTTAATTGTGGCAAACCCGATTTTAATAAAATATCTATGGGACTAATTTGTAAATATATCTTTTTAGACAAAGAAATAATTTTCCAAATTAATTTACAACTGACAGAATTATAACGATAACTGACATAAAAAAAATACATCTGAATTGAGAACCTTCTTCTTTTTTAAGTCGATTGAAAATTAAAAATATTCAGATGTTGCCACACTTTCATGTGATGACATAGACTAAGGATAGTACCTGCAACGTGAACGCTCTCAACCAATTACTATTTTTATGAATTCAAAATAAGAACACAAACCGAGTCATTGAAATAAATATATTTTTGTAAATGGAATTTCAACCATAGATGAGGTATTCTTTGGATGAGTACACCAATAATTTTATAAATCAATTAAAATAGGTGCGTGGATGCCACTCTCTTACATGTTTATTAAATTCATTTCTATTGGGGAATCCATTTCCACACTCAGTACAGGTGAATTTCACGTAATCATTCCCCTCAATATGAGTTCGCATATGCTGTCTCAAGCTCCTTTGATGTCTATAAGCTTTGTGACATAAGACACACACAAAATTCCTCTCTCCCGTGTGACAAATCATATGCTTCTTCAACGTAGAAATGCAGCTGAAACTCTTTTTACATATCTCGCACTGAGTTTTCTGAGTATGAAATTTGTTCGTATGCATCGTCAAAGCCCTACGACTTGGGAAAACTGATTTACATACTTCGCACTCGAACGTGAACGTTATACCGTGAGTCTCTTTCAGATGTTTCAACTTTCTGAAGTGTTCGGCAAAACGTTCGGGACAATGTGGACACCGTAACATACGCATCTTCGTCGTACCTTCATGTGCTTTTTCTATATGATACTTCAGGTTAGAATTTGTCGTGTACACTTTGCTGCATCTATTGCAAGGGTATCCCCCAGGTAGATGGATTTCTTTATGCTGTATAAGACGCTGGTGCGTCATGAACCCAGCCCCACACGTCTCGCATACCGCGTTACTAAAATGCACATTCATATGTCGATTCAATAGTATAAAAGTTTGGAAGACTTTATCGCATATATGGCACGAGAATTGCCCGTCTTTTGTCGACAAATTGTACGCTACTATACCGTTACGTGATTCCGTAAAAGGTTTCTCGTGTTCCGTAACTAAATGTGTTCTGATCGCGTCTAAATCTGCAAAATCTTTTGAGCACACTCTACATTTCAATTCTGATATGTCTACTTTAACAGTTCTTTTGCCTTTTGGCAATAAATCTTTAAGAATAGCAGTGATGTCAGGTACATCGTGTGTTAACGTATGTTGCAAAAGTAATTTAATATCTGAGTATTGTTCACGACAGAAGAAACACTTGAAAAAATATCTGCAATAGACAAAAGGTCTCGCCGTTGTATTCTCTAGTAGTATTGCCGCGTTTTGTCTTTCCGATAGCGTCAACTCCCATATACTGGTCAGTGCTCCTTGGCGGCGCTTTGACTCCTCCCTCTGTGGTCCTGGGGAGATAAAATATTGTCTTTTAAAGTCTGCCGTTTCAGCGTTAGATCACAAACCCTCGTGGTCAAATATTTCAACTTGAAATAGTACAGTAAGCCAAGCGAAAACTGAAAACTTTATACAAATCCAATTCATGCATGGTTCTGTAATGTGATAGGCATCTATGTAGAAGTCGATGCAGAAAGATACAGCTATAGTTTGAAGAAGAAATGAAGGGAAAAATATTTTTATAAATAAAACAATATTTGCAATAAATATACCTGAATTAATGTTTATTTTTTATATGTACAATAAAACTGGTTCATGTTATTTGCATTGTGACATTTTTGTTATTAATATGATTTAAATTACTAGAATTAAAGCTATAAAATAAATGTACCACTAAAACGCATACATTAATTTTGCTTTTGAAGTTTTTGGACATTCGTAAAAAAACTTCGCTCCTTTTTTAAACAAAAGAAAATTTAACATTAGAGGTAGATAAGTTATGAACACGATTAATTTTAATGTCACTCTAAACATTTGAATCGCTGCAAATTTCGAAAACTAATATCATTGAAATATAATAACTTATCACGTAGAAATATTGAGTCAGGTGCGAAAAATTTTCAATTTATAAGATCACTGCCAAAATTTTTTACTATCGTCTTGAACTGCCATTGTGGATGCCACTGTTTCATATGTTTATTAT